TCTTTCACAGGCAGATCCAGGCTTATGATTTTCTTACTGACCAAAAGCTGGTGAAAGAACAATCCAAAGGAACAGCTTTAGTATACATAAAATAAAATCTGTCTACACACCGTCCCCACACTCTTTTTCCAGTGTGATATGCTAAAGTTTCAATTCTGTACTAAGTCATAAATTTAACTCTATCAGTACCAAACTCGCCATACATTTCCTGGTCTTTCCAATGATAATACAAAATTCTTGCGCACTCTAGACAGAAATTATTGTAACCCTGTATATCTAAATTATTAATTTACCCACTTCTGTGTTTCGTGGTGTCTTCAACAAACTTTCTCAGACCTAAGTAGTTATTGCTGTAAGCTCAATTCTTTGAAAATTAGGGGTTAAAGTAACAAAGAGTTCAGATGGCAAGCTTCTTTTCTCACTATAACTTCCTTCCACCATATCAAAGCAACAGTTAAGTCCCTGTTTTAAAAAAAATGTTTGAAAGTGATAAAATTACTTAGTAATTATAGATATGAAAATAAAAGCTTCTTCTTCCTCCTATCATTACCGACAGTAAACTCCAGCAGAAAGTTCTTGTTGTTAGTCCACTTCTGGACTTTAGTATTAATCCAGAACCCAAGTGCTGAGTGCACATCCATTTTACAGATCTGACTTATTTGTATGCAGATTGTTGGTTCCTTGCCTCTGAGGCAGATGCATTCCAACTTTAACGGAAACCACCAATTAGCAGATTTCTATGACATGCTTGTTGGGGAGGCAGTGGGACTACACTTGTTTTCCCCCACAATGGAGCCATGGAACCCGCTCTGTGAAGACAGTGTAAGAAAGTGATAAAATAACTCAGTACTAACAGCCAAGAAAGTTAAATCTGTAATCAGTTAACCTTAAAAAGCTGAACAAACATTTGATCAAATTACCTCCATTCCTGTGTCATCTTCAAGCAGAGCAACCAGTTCACAGTCTGGAATCAAGTAATTATCTCATGTACTGAAAGCTGTATTCTTAAAGTAAACTTGTATATATCCCTCTCCCTGTGTCTGTGTGTATGTGTGTGCATGCATGGGTGTGTGTGTGTGTGTGTTAGTGCATGTATATGTGTGTGTGAATGTGGGCGTGCATGCATGCGTGTGTGTGTGTGTATATACACACACACACATATACACGCACATATATAGTATGTGGTATTATATGTCAATAATGCATACTATATTGAATCTAAATTGGTCGATTAGTAAAAAATAATTTGAAAGCTGCAGAGATGTGGTTTTATAGACAAATGATGAGAATACCCTAGACAGATTAAAAAAGAGTAACCCATTGACCCACACCAGAAGAAGACAATCTACATTCTTTGATCATGTCATGGGAAGCAGAAACCTGGAGTACATCATGTGACAGTAGGAAAGTTGGAGGGGAGGAGAGGCCGAGGGAGACCAAGAGACAAGATGCTGGACAGTCTGATATCATGGCATGAAGGATCATCTGTATCAAAGTTGCCTGAAAGTACACAAGACAGAAGGTTGTGGACAGATATGACTAACAAATCCATACGGCATGAACTTCAAGAAGAAGAACCTAGGACACTTTCTTAGCAAGTATGCTTGACAGCACAGCACAGAATCATACAATCTGGAACTGAGCATGAAAGCAATTGCCAGGAATATTAAAAAACAATAATGACTGAGTGAAGAAATGACATCGCTGCGTTCGGGGCATTCCCACACATGCTCTGTACCCTTCCTTAGTAGCTAACAAAGCATTCCCTTAATGGAGTGCCAGATGCAGTCAGATTTGGTGAGGAACATGGTTTATGTGAGTTATGAGTAAAGAACTGACATCACAGCACTCGGGACATTCCCATACGAGCTCTATCCCCATCATCAGCAGCAAGTACAGAGTTCCAATTCTGATGATACCACTAAAAGTCTGCAGAAAATATTCAAAGGACGCCAACGACCCATGACCTCTGAAGCGATGCTTGCCACTTTGCATGGAGCATGCCTGTCTCCACCTTTCTCAGCATGTTCTGTGAGTCAGTTATAATCAGGACATGTGTGTGCAGCTGCATCTGAAGCCGATGAAAGGCTGCAAGGCTTATATAGCCAGTCTGCTACACGAACAATTAGCATCTACTGAAAATGACTGAGTACCCATGTACATGGAAAAACTCCAGTTCTGGAACAAGAACCAAAGTCCAGAAGTGGATGAACAACCATAACTTTTCCGGCAAGTTTACAGCTGATGAATGTGAAGAAGAAAGGAATAACTAATAACTAGGCTGGCAGAGTTCAAACCATCATAAGTGCTACTTTATTTTAAAAACTCAACAAACTGGAAGATTATGAATGCTCACCCATACAGATTTTGTTTTTGATGTCCCTCATCAAGGGACCCATGCCTGGCTCTGTGGAGCTGTAAGGATTACCAAGCATTCTTCCTTGTAGGAAATCTTCCTGCTGCGGGTCTTTCTCCAGAATAAGAAAGAATTCTGCCACATCATTCTCTTCCTTCAAAAAATATTTATAAAAAAAAGAGTTAACAAAGCTGCAGTAACTTTAACAGAATAAACAACAAGGAATTATATTCACCAACACCCACCATCAAAAATTGTAACGTTAAATGTCATGACACATCTTTCTTTCTTTCTTCCTTTTTTTACAACTCTTATTATTGCCACGTCATCAATACTATGAGTGATGCATATCATGAGGACGAATATAATAAAAGGCATGACTCCACATCCCTGCCAAGGCTGTGGACATAGGGGTGCAACCTGGAGATCAGACTGAAGCCTGTGAAGCATGTCAGTGCCTTCTTCAAGGTTAAAATACAAGACACTTTAACTAACTGCTTATGAAAATAATAAGTAGAGGTGGTGGTTGTAGAGGTGGTGGTTGTAGAGGTGGTGGTTGCTTCATCAGAGGACTCAGGCTGCAGGGGAATGCCCAATGTGCTGTGTTAATTGTGAAAACTTTACATTACATAGTTGAGCAAATAAATAAATAAAAATAATAATTAAAAAAACAGCAGACTTACTGGGTAGATGATGCTACACAGTCTCTCAAAAATGAACACAGGTGATCTGTAGTCTTCTAGTGGGTACTTTTTGACAGTCTGTACACAGACAGACATGAATTCTTTTGTTTCTGACTCTGTGCCTAGGGAAAACAAACAAAACATACAAATATATTACCTATCAACTCTTCAGCAGTAACACAGACAACATAAAAGTGTCAATGTGAACATTCAATCAAACAGGAAAGTACTTGTCCATGTTTTTTTATAGCATAAATCAATGAAGTCTTATCTGCCCTATGAAGACTGACTGGCAATAGCTTTTCAAAAATGTATGTTTACTACTCTAGCTGTACTCAGACATTCTGTTCATCCAACTGTTGGTGATATCTTCCCACTTGTCTTACTTTGGTTGTAAAATCAGACAAGACTGCTATACATACACAGATCTATTGATATCCTCCCACTTGTACCACTGCCTTAATCTGCTGGTGTACTCGGAACTGATCTTTAGTCCCAGGAAGGATGCACAAATGGACACTACAGCTGGAGAGTGCCCAAGAAGTTGACAGAGTTGAATTAGGAACCAATATCATACCCCTTGAGACATTCCCATATGCAATCCAGTCAACAACTTCAGCAGCCAACAGAGTTGCAGTTCCAATGATACCAGTTAGAAGCTGATATCAATTCTTGATACCAAGAATAAAAACATACGTAAGTGTTAAAGTGAGAGGATCGACTTCACTGCACTGGGTGTTATCCCATATGGCTCAGTCTCTCTCCGCAGAACAGCTAGGTACCTGCAGAGAGCATCACAAATAGCAAGACCTCCGTAGCTCCAGTGATGATCCCCAGAAATCTTAATAAAAACTGCACTCATAAACTGAACAGCAAGCACCGTGAAATGAACCCACAACCTTCAGAGCACGAGATAAATGGATTGACCACTTCTCCATGGAGGATCCACCCTCCATTCCCTCCCCCCCCCCCAAATACGTAAGGAAGCCTTAATAAACGCATTGTGAGTTGTTTACTAATGAATAAATACAGTAAGGAAGTGAAGAGCCACAGCTCCAAACTTTGGATTACCACCAATAAGAGAAGACATATACTCCTCACCTGTAGTGAGCTCTTCCAGCATCTGCAGCAGCTTCTCCTGTGTGTCATCAATCAGCTTGGTTCTCTGTACAACCAGTTTGCGAAGGGACAAGTAGCCATTGAGAACGTAGCCCACTAGTTTGTTCTTATAGTGCTGCTTTAGTTTCTCCTGCTCAATGAACAGTGCCAGCAGCTCTGAGGAAGTAAAGATTCCCATAAATACTGACACAATAAAGTAAGCAAAACATAATCAAGACATATTTGTAAAGAAAACACTGGCTTAAATATATGTCACCCAGCCCAAGCTTTAGCAGGCCTGCTACAATATAGTGCGGTCTCTGAATATTTTACAATATAAGAATGGTTTGCTTCCTCCTTATTCCTGGGGTAGTGGATTTTATGTCTAGCCTCCTTGGATAAGAGTGAAAAACTATTGAGAATTAAGTCTTATTCTCATGTTTTTCAACTTTCAATAAACCATAGGCCCTTAACTAACTCAACACATACTCTGTAGACTTGTCTGTAGTTCCTGATTGTTACAGCTAATGTGTTTTACTTCAGGTAAAAGGTAGCCAATTCTCACACTAACCCTCCTTAAAATCTGTTAATGTGAATTGCTAGTGTAGTTGGTATCACATCTGCCTTACAATACCTTTTAAGACATGTATGGTAGGTACATGCACAGTGATACTATTCTTTACTTTCCTAATGGGCCCTTAAAAAAAAACCCACACACGCACACACACACACACATTGGTAGACCTGTGTGGTCAGTGCCGGTGGCTTAGGTGATGCACATAAGCACAAGATAAATACAGAAAACCCTGCCATAGGGCTAGAACCCAGTACAGTGTGACAACAACAGAAGATCCTAAGTTTACCTGTTAAAGATTTCAGAGCAAAGCCCTGGGCCAAGTCTGAGCTGAGAGTGGTCTCCTCTAGGTACTGCAGATGGTCCACTTCCTGGAAACATGAAAACACCATCATCCGGTTGTTTACACTAAACTTATTCCTCTAATACATTCTTTCCTGTGCAATCTTGTTGATATTACTGATAGAATCTAGTTTAGAACCTTAGCTTCTTCTTCTTCACATTCACCAGCTGTAAACTCCGGCAGAAAGTTCTGGTTGTTCATCCACCTCTGGACTTTAGACTTGTTCCAGAACCTGAGTGTTGTGTGTACATCTGTTTTACATTTGTGTGCAGACTGTTGGTTCCTTGCCTCTCAGGCAGATGCACTCCGACGAAGGAAACACCCAATTAGTCGACTCTTACGACACTCTTGTTGGGGATGCAGTGGTTCTATTCTTGTTTCCCCCACAATGGGGCCCCGGAAGCCACACTGGGAAAGAACCTCTTCTCTCGGGTTGACTCCATGTGTTTCTATTTCGGTGCCTGTTTGCTGATTCTGTCCACTTCTCCCAAGGATCTTTACCACTGCTAGTACATGGCCTGGATGAGAAAGCTGGAGGGATGGGCATGGTGTCAGCATCCCCACCCAGTAAATCAATCTACAGAAAATATGACCTATGAATGTGAGAATAAAAGGTGAATTTCACAGAAAAATAACAGGTATTTATGAAAGTAAAAAGTCAATTTCATGGAGACAACAGCTGAGTGTGAAAGTAAAAAGTCAGTTTCAAGAAAATAAAAGATTAATATGAAAATAACAAATCCACTTTCTGGATAACAATTAGAATGTCCCAAGTGCTCTGATGTCAGACCTTGACTCAACTCGACTTAACTAGAACCAAGCTCCAATAGGGGATAACAGATAAAAAGAAGTAGAACATACAATGTTAAAATTACCTTAGTTATCAGGTCAGCAAGGTGCAGCATAACTCCCTTGATGGCCAGGTAAAACTTCCACTTGTCCTGACCGATCAAGCGTTTGTAAAGACCAAGGAACTCTGTGGCACACTCCCCACTCCGACCGACTTCATCCAGACAGCTGTAAACATAAAGTAGAGCGTACATACTATAATTAGTCTGCTGAATACTCTTCTCCATGTGGATTAGGTGGTCTTATTTTGGGTGGGGCATGGAGGGTGGGGAGGGGGGGGGGGGAGAGACTACCCTTTGTGCTCCCACTACAAAAAACATGCTGTAAAAAATTACTAATTACAGATCTGCTGAAATTGGATGGGCTGGGCAGAACAGAAAGGAGCAGCTGTAAACTACAATATGCCAACCACCCTTTAATGGGTAAACAAAAACAAAACAAGAGAAATCAGGTTGAACAGACTGAAGACAATTAGAGACATATTACCGTAGCTGTGTAAAGGGTTAGGTCTAAATGTAAAATGAATGGTTGATTCAAGGCAAAAATTCAGAATGCCAAATTCACAGTCCATGGCAATGACGACTAGCAAAACCTGCCGGCGTTAAGAAAAAGTTTCTGAGACTAATTAAGGAGAGGGATAAAGTACCTCCTCTCCACAGTACAAAGCCTGGACATTATTGTAGAGACCATCTGTTGCTCATGCATCATGATCTCTTTCTCTCTCTCTCTGCCTGCCTTGTTTATCCAAAGAAAAGGTAACACTAGTACATTTGAAACAAAGCAGGTTTAGAAGCTGCTGGATCAAAACAGTAGTGCCCTATCTGTAGAAATCCCCTACACCTTCGTTTTATCTTACATGCAGTAATAATGGTCCAATTTTGATAATTTCAGTTTCAAAGTATGTTGAGTTGTTTCTTTGACCTACACATAATGAAGACACTGACTGATCTATTTACCTGGTCAGCATGTCTATAACTTCCTTGCGTCTGCTGAAAACCTGGGAAATGGCTTCAATGACACTGCATGCTGTCTGTCTAGCTGACCTAGAGCTTGGTGAGAACATTGCCTGCTGTGCAGAACCAACCCCATCAGCTCCTGGCTGTTGTGTGGTTTCACTAGGCAAATTTACATCCAGTAGTTTGCCATTGCTTTCTGGGCGATCGACTCCCTGATACCACTGTCGAAACCAACGCAAGGCGTATGGCCCGCAGCTGGGATCGAACCCGGTACCCCTGCATTACGAGGTGTCTGCATCAACCTAGCCACAGAGCCGACAACTCTTAAGATACTATATAAAAAAAATCACCCTTCATTTATTATTAACAAAATCACCCTTCGGATACTATTTAAAAAAATCACCCTTCATTTATTATTAACAAAATCACCCTTCGGATACTATTTAAAAAAAAATCACCCTTCATTTATTATTAACAAAATCACCCTTCGGATACTATTTTAAAAAAAGCATCCTAGTTACTACTAAACAAAAATCCCCTTTCAGTTACTATTTAAAAAAAAAAAAAACTTAAATTACTGTTAAACAAAAAATCACACTTCAGTTACTACTTAAAAAAAAAATCACCCTTCAGTTATTAATGAAAATCACCCTTCATTTGATACTTTAAAAAAAAAAAAAAATCACCACTAGATTCACTAATCCAATCATGAATTTTATTAGTGGCTTACTTGTAACCAGGTGGTCTGAGTCAGTTTCAGTGTCACAGCTGGCACCTTCCACATGTTCTGCTTCCAGCGATTGGCGTATTTCTCCATCAAATATTCCGCATGGACGTCCGGCTTCTTCACTGCCTCCTGAGACTTCTTTTCCCCAGTGTTGACCTCTGAGTGACCTGCTAGGAAAAGATACCAGTGAACTACATACTTCAGTATTTTTTTTTTCTTTTATTCTGTTCTACCTTAACAGGGCAGATGACACACTGCGTTGTGGTTTATAGCAGGGCTATCAGCAAACTGTGACCCAACAAATATGATTTTAGCAAAGCCCTGATTAATCACATCTACAACATGCTTTTAACTCTTTCAATCCCAACAAGTTCTGTAAAAGATGTCCAAAATGGCCGTAAATTACTTAAAAAAATATATAAGCCCTGACGTTTAAGTGGAAATGACAAATGTAGAAGCCAAATTTCAGTAGTGTGCTGGAGAGAGACACAATAAACACATAAAATACAGAAAACGTGCAGAAAAATAAATAAGAGACGGTAAGACATGAGACAAGACACAAAATATGCACAAATGATATAATGATTAAACTGTTCATACTTGGTCTAGGGAGTCGCTTCTTCCAATTCTGGTAAGAGTATCTGGAGTCTCCTGCTAGCCACTTCTTCACATCCATATGAAACTTTGCTGGCATTGAGTCAGTGCCAGCTTTCTCTCCATCCTTTAGAAACATATATATTTATTTATCTGTCTTGTTTAAATAGTAAAAACACACATACACACATGCACGCACGCACACACATTCATGTTTATTCAAAACAATTGGAATATATACATTGCCTGGTTTATAAAAGCTTAATGATAATTTTAGTTAAGTTGGGTCAAGAATTGACATAACAGCACTCTGGGGCATTCCCATATGCACTCCGTCCACATCTTCAGCAGCCAGTGCAGAGTTTCAATACTAATGGATAGTTTTCGTATATGCACATATAACCGCACCCATGTGGGATGCAATTTTTTTTTTAATTTGAAGCCCCACCCTGTCTTCTGCCGGGGGGCGCTGAATATAGCCTAGGCCTTAGATATGGTCATAAGGGCTGAAAGGGGTTTCTGGGACCTCTTCACTGGTGATACATATCAGCAAGGTGGCACTTTGTGTCACCGGGTGTTTATCGCCTGTGTGATGTCCTGGTGGGGTATAAATACCTACCTACCATATGCACATAGACAAAAGGCCTCCCTGACAACAACAAAAAATAGTTGTGTATTATTTACATCTCACATACTTGAATGAAGAATGTAAATCAAATGATATGAGAATCAACATCGAAAATACAGAAGTAATGTCAATAGGAAGAAAGAAGAGGAATTTAAATACAGCATTAGAGCATACTTATATTAAACAGGTATCCGAGTTTCAATATCTTGGAACAAAATTCACTGAAGATGGTAAAATGGACAAAGAAATTAACATTCTATACAGTAAAGCATGCCAAGTATTGGGACAGCTAGCAGCCCTCTTACATCATAAGGCAATCCCAATCAGTGCAAAGAAACATCTCATACAAAGCATATTCAATCCCAACCTAAGCTATCAGTGCCAGACATGGTCACTCACAACAAAACATAAACCAAAATTAGTAACCATGGAAATGAGGTGCCTGGAAAAGACTGCAGTAGTGACCAGAAGAGATAAAATCAGGAATGAGGTCATGCGAGATAAAGTTGGTACAGAACCAATTCTAAATTACAAAGACAGCAAACCAAATGTTTACTCACATGGAGAGAATGCCTTCGGATACTATACCATGCAAAGCATATACGAAAAAAGGAAGTACGGCAAGAGATAGACCAAGAACAAGATGGGAAGATAACATCAGAGATACTCTATAGCACTACAATGTGTCTATGGTCGAATCAGTTAGAAGAGTACAAAGCAGGACCTTACATCTCCCTCGGCACCTGAAGCGGTAAAAGAGGACATAAAGAAGAGACGATCTTTTACAGTATATTGCAGAACCCCAGCATTCTTTCCATATTTTGTGATTTCACTAGGCAATTTTATGTTCAACAGTTTGCCATTTACCCTAATAACAGGGGATTGAAGATGTATTAAGGGGATCTGGCCCAACAGAACTATATTAAAAGACAAGCTGTGAGGATTGCTTGCAATCTGTTTGTGACCCAAATGGAACTAAACATTAAGAATAAGCCAACTATTAAGGAAAAGGAGAATGTGTGGGAATGTCCCGAGCACAGTAAAGTCAATTATTCATTCATTCACTAAGAAGAAAAAGAAGGAAGAGGAGGAGAAAGAGGAGAAGCAGAAGAAGAAGACGCAGAAGAAGATGGAGGAAGAAGAATAAAGAAGGAGAGGAGAAGGAGAAGACGGACACAAACAGACTTACCCACTGTGAATACTTCAAATAAACTGTGCAAGGACAAGGGGCACCAATATGACAACTTAGCTGACCAGCTTCACCTACTAAACTAGGTTATTTTCTCTGTATACCTCATATATCCCACTGTTACTAGCCCTTTTATCAGACGTAAATAACGACCTACCTTTTTCTTTCCACTGATAATGAGATCATGTTTGACCAGACCCTGCAAGATTCTCAGACACGGCAGAGTAATGGACTCCATGATCACAGGGTTGCGCATCTGCATCCCCATCAAAAACAGGCGCATCACTGGGAACAACAATTTGTTACATCATTAATGTATAGTATAGTAACATGCGATCATATTTTATATAATGCAGACACAAACAATACACTGCACAATTTACTGCCAGCATATTCACTGTATCTCGTTAGGTGCATTACTACAGTTACATCAACATAAAATGAAGTGGGACACACAAACTGAATAAATCCAACTACAATGTTAATTCATTGCTTTGATGCATCGTGTTCGTCTAGTTGCTAGTCTTTCACTGTAGTCATGTGAATTAAGTAAGAGGGGTAACTTCAAATTTACTATAAAATCCATCTGCTCATATAGGAGAGGGTTGTTGAATTTAATTGTCAATGATTCGGCCATTCTCAACTTCGGCCTATTCAGTGTGTGGTGAATCACATGAAAAGCACTGGCCTTGCCAATTACATGTTTGAAATCAAGCAAATACTGTCCATTAGAAGAACTGGGTTCTTTCCTCTTGACTGGTCTTGACACCCTTGAGGATTCAGTGAACAGTGCAGTTAACCATTTGGGCATATGTTCCTCGTATGGGAGCAGACAGCGAAAGATGGACTGTCACATTTTGCAAGAGGCCAAAAGCAGTAAGCTACAGAGAGAAAACCGGCCTCAGTATAGTAGAGTATCAATGTTTTTATGTGGCAGAGACTGCCACTCTTGCATTAAACTTTACAGTCACAGCAGTAACTGTTTCCAAAACCAGCGGCACTGCTCCATGGTCCCTTGGGGCTGCCGGTTGTTGCCTACATACAAAGCATTTCAGTTTCCCTGTCATGGGAGGTTAGGAAAAAAAATTATCACATGCTACGTAGAGCTGCGAGTCCGGGACAATTAATAAAGAGGCCGAAAAATTTCTTGAGGCCTCAGAGATGTGGTTTTTACCCCAACAAAAAAATGCTTAAGATTCCTTGCACAGCCAAAATGAGTATCCCAGATGTTTTGAAAGAGGTGAGAACCTAAAGACTGCTTAACAAAAACACTGGATGGAGACAGTCATAAATGTCTAGCCACGTTAGAGGACAGTGGGTCTACTCCTTTGCCCCACAAAATGGAGCCCTGGAATTCACAAAATACTGTAACCTACCGCATCGAGTTCTCTGTTCCCAACAAGAATCATCTTGATGCAGAGAAGCAGCCAGTAACATGATCTCATGTCTCACAGAGGAGCCCTGTAAATGATAGATAGTTGAGGTTAATGATTACCTTGAGTGGCATAATTTAAATTACCATTAAGTTAATCTAATGATAACTATGATCTATTGATTACCTTGATGTAAGGAATTTTAAATAAATGGTGCTGCTTCCATAACTGAGGCTGGCAATGTATTCCCTGGTAAATATGGGGATATTATGAGGTACGGAACTTATCTCATCCATCGTGCATATCTCAAATGTGCTGTTTGAAAGCCAGTAGTCTTTTTTTTTCTGAACCTCCCTCACAAGAATCAAACCCTTGTAAACATTTAGGATTGCATGATCTAATGAATAACATAATCTAATGATTACCTTGATCTTACCTCCACCACAGGTGATCATCACCACAATCTAATGATTAACAAGAGTGATATAAAGAACTCACAGATTATTTTTTTTAAAGGGTTTCCAGGGTAAAGGGTTAATTTCAAAGTCACAAATAAATGGCTGTTGCTCTGGATTAAAATTCATAGTCTTCTTCTTAAAGTCCATGTCATGTGGCATTGGTAGTCATGTCTATCCACAACCTCCAGTCTTGTGTACTTTCAATCAACTCTGACACAGTTGATCTTCCATGCAATGATGTCAAACTGTCCAGCATGTTTTCTCCCAGTCTCCCTCTGCCTCTCCTCCAGCTCCAACTTTCCTACTGTTACATTGTACTCCAGTTTTCTGCTTCTCATCACTTGACCAAAGAATGTAGATTGTCTCTTTCTGATGTGGCCAATCAGCATCCTCATAACTCTTTTTATCTGTCCAGGGTATTCTCATCATCCCTCTACAAAACCACATCTATGCAGATTCCAAATAATTTTCCACTTATCTACCAAATGTCCCTGATTCACTTTCATACATCAAGATAGGATTTATATTGCTGTTAAGAATTCTATTGCTCATCTCAATTGAAGAAGAAAGATTACATAAAATATTCTTGCATTATTCTTGTTATCAGAACATAATAGGTTTTCAGTTTAAATTTAGTAAAAGTAAACTCTTTATCAGATCGTTGGTGCACAAGGCATACAGTAATACGGTAAGGTACCAAACCCATATTTTTATGAACCACTCAGCACTTGATGGGTGATACTGTCTAAATTAGTGTTCTTCACTTTTTTACATCTATGGACCAGCAAAACAGGCGACTTTGTTTCTCAGACAACCTAACAGCTTACAAATAAAAAATAAAGATAGCCGTTTATTTGTTAAATGTGATGTCCCAAAATAACAATTCACAGTGAGTGAACTAACTGCTGCTACTCAGAGGTTAGAAAATTCATACAGCAATGTAGTGCCAGAATAATGTAGCCAATATATCTTCCTTTTTCTTCTTGTTCAACAGCTGTAAACTGGGACAGTTCCAGTTGTTAACCCACTTCTGGACTTTGGATGAGTTACAGAACTTGAGTTCAGCATGCATGTCCAGTTTACAGATTTGGCTTATTTGAATGCACACAGTTGGTTACTGGCCTCAGGGGCAGATGCACTAACTTTGAAGGAAACACCCGTAATAAGTCAATTTTTATGACATCTCTAAGGAGATAATGTGTCTAATTTTTTTTTTTCAACAAAGGAGCCTCAGAACCCACATGTGGAGTCGCTACATGATTAGGCGTTTAGCCACTGCTCTACTAAGACTCCCAGTTTGATAGGATAACCTTCTGGATAAGAGATCTAAAACAATAGAAGACATGTTTCTTTTAGGAAATGTGCAGCCTAGAACAGCATGCTTTTAATTCCAACATATTTCTATCAGGAGCAAGAGATGTACTTCTCAAAGCCCAACCCCACATTTACACCATGAGGGTAAATGGGACAAAGTAGGGGATAGATAGGACTAGGCTAAGTATGGTATGATTTTGTGCCATGCAGCCACAGTTAGCCATGAAGGCCAATATGGGTCTCTCCACCTCCTGGCCAACAGGGCTCTGGTGAACTTGCGTTAGGCCCTAGAAAGCCGGCAATAGATTTATCATCACTACAAAGAATATTACGAGATAAAAATTGACTGGACAAACAGTATTTGACGACTGCAGAGTTAAAAGATAAAATGAGAGAAACTCTTTTAAAAAAAAAAAAAAAATACAATGTGCACATGGTTGAGGTGGCCGGAAGAGCAAGAAATAACCACAAGTCTTCTTCTTCTTTGCGTTCACCAGCTGTACACCCTGGTGGAAAGTTCTGGTTGTTCGTCCACTTTTAGGAAGCAGTCCTGCTCCAGAACCTGAGTGTTGCGTGTGCATCAGTTTTACAAATCTGATTCACTTGAATGCAGACTGTTGGTTCCTTGCCTCTAAGGCAGATGCACTCCGACTTCAAAGGAAGCTCCCAATTAGTCGTCTCTTACGACATGCTTTTGGGTAGGCAGTGGGTCTATTCTTGTTTTCCACACAATGGGGCCCTGGAACCCACACGGGGATAACCCCAGATCTTCCCCAACTCTCAAAGCAGTAAAAGAGGAAGTGAGGAATGTAAAAACTGCATACCAAATCTGGATTGGACTGGTGCCCTTTGATGGCAGCTGTAATCCGAGTCATGACCAAGTTGTTCATCTCTTCAGTACCCCGGCGGTTGTCACGAGTCAGCAAACACAGTAAAGTACGAACTTCATTGCGTACTGACAGGGCCCCATGACGCAGGTTGTAGTCGATCAGCTGCTGGATCATACCCTGGAGCAAACAAAGTATACCACAGTAAATATATAATCAAATATGCTCTATAAATTAACAAAAAAAAAGGTTATGAGTAACAGATGTAGGTTTCTTGTTTGGTAGAGACAGCTCGACAGCTGACTACAAATAAAAGTTTGTTCCCCCGTGTTCTCCATCTTCTCTGTTTGCCCTGATTCCCTGATTCAGGTGAAATTTAAAAACAAAAAGTGTCTGCAATATTTGCCTTCCTCCATTAAAAAACAGCAACACAACAACAGTGAGTGAGTGAGTGAGGGAGGGGGGGGAGGAGGGAGAGAGAGAGAGAGAGTGAGAGAGAGAGAGAGACAGAGAGAGAAGAGAGAGACAGAGAGAAAAAATAAACTGACCTGGCTACACAAAATCTGCCTCATGTCAGAGTTGGTCACCAAAGCTCTCAGCAAAGTGATGCAATGCTCCACTGCAGCACTAGCACAACCATAACAGTTGCCGGTTTTCAGCCTGTTAGGACACAGATTCAAGAGAACAACCTGACATCAGGTATTAATTATAACAATAAAGTGAAAGCTACACTGTGGTAGATAATTGCTTAAAGGGTGTGAAGTGACAGCCCTTCATAGTCTTAGCAATATTGTCCAACACCAATATTTCTTCTTCTTTATTCACCGGCTGTAAGCTCCAGAGGAAAGTCCTGGTTGTTTGTCCATTTGGACTTTTGCTTTGTGCCAGGGCCTGAGTTTTGCATGTACATCCATTTTACTGGCTTATTTGTTCCTTGCTGTTTAGGCAGATGCACTATAACTTCGAAGGAAGCTCCCAATTAGTCGACTCTTACGACATGCTTGTTGGGAGGCAGTGGATCTATTCTTTTTTTTCCCCACAATGGGGCCTCGGAACCCACACAAGGAACAACACCAATACAGAAAAGGAGTCATCAAGGAAAGCACATTAGGAAACATGACAGTCCTTCTTCTTTGTGTTCACTGACAGTAAACTCCAACAGAAACTTCTGGTTGTTCTAGATTGTCAGTTTTGCATGCACATCCAATTTACAGATTTAGCTTATTTGTATGCGAACTGCTGGTTCCTTTGCTTCTCAGGCAGAAGCACTTTTGAAGGAAACCCATTAGTCAATTCTTACAACATGCTAGTTAGAGAGGCAGTGGACCTTTTCCCCCCCCCCCCCCCCCCCTTTTTCCCCCCCTAGGAACCCCACATAGGGAGAAGTCAGTCCCAAAGCTAAAAGTTATGCAGGGCCTTCATATATTCTAGGCTATGATATATCAGGTAGGGTGGCTATTCCTTCACTGACAAATTTCTTGCAAAATTTCCCCTGAAACTGAACATTTAAGGATGATACAATCCCTGAGTTTTACTGGCCAGAAAAAAAATAAACTTGATTTAAACCCAGATCAGTGTCTTGGCAGGCAAATGTTCTAACCACCACACCATACGACTCCTAGTACCATACTAACAATGTTACACATATTTCTCTAAAGATATTCTGTATTCTCTCTGTCTTACCCCTCCTTCTTTTCCCTGACCACGGGGCCTGCTTTGCATCTCTTGGTATCCTGATCACTCAGCTTGGGCTTTATTCCTGTAGGCACAGGCACTTGTCCTTTGGCAGCCACTGCTTCCCTCTGTTGCTGATCATATTCGACAAGTTCTCGCCGACAAGCCATTACTTTCTGAGCAGGCAAAAATTGGTTTATATTAGTTATAATGATCTTTGAAAACAAAAAACAATATATTCAGAACTTCAAAGCAAAATTTCCCGTTTTAAATTTTAACAAAGAAGACACAAACAAAAGGAGGCACAATTTATTGCCTGACATATTTTGTTGTATCTCGTCAGTTGCATGGTAATCACAATATACAAATACTGGTTAGGCTAACCAGGCAACAAAACACCTGAAGAAGTCGGACGTGTCAGCCAAAAAGTACAGATATTGCAACCATGCTATGAACCAGCACAAGACAATTATGTCGTTGGATTAAAAACAGATGACAATGAAGTAAACACTGTGTGATAACACAGTCATTATAGTGTTGCCAGAATTTCTTAAAATGATCGATTAGGCAATTACATTTGAAAGTCACCTTCTTTGCAGTATTAAAATGTCCATACTAGAAACGATCTTTTAATATGAGGACAACCCCATGCACCAACTCTGTATTACCATTAAAGATACCAAGGTGTACACAGTAAAATTCACATACACTATCAACATTTTGCTGTGTGTTGGTTTTCTAATGTTAAATTTGTGGGAGGCAAGAGGCCAAATATTCTTCTTCTTTTCTCTACTCCTGGAATGTCTCGCAGCATCAGGGTAGGAAGATATCTCTGGAACGTGCCCTTCTGTCTGCTTCATACAAAGTACTTTTCAGTGTCTCTGATTTCTGCGGCCCATCTTCTGTGTGGTCAACCTCTGGTTCTTTTACCGTTGTATATGTATATAAATATTTAAAAGTGATAATAAGACAAGAAGGCTCACCTGGATGATCTTGCTGAGTTCATCAAAAGCAGCCTTGCATTCTCCACAGTACTTTTGTGCCAGCAGCTGAATGGCTTTGTTAACACTGCTCACTGGGACAGCCCCTGCTGCTCCATTTGCCTCCTTGAAATATGAACATACAAGATTAAATGCACGTTTCCAAAACCGTGTGGTATACTGTTTACATAAAAATACAGATAGGATGGTTCTCTTAACAATATTTAGCAATTATGTAGTGCAGAAACGATATCCCTGAATAAATACTGTTGAGGACAAAATGTAACCCCTTTACACAGAGACACAAATAATTCAGCTTCACAATCCATTGCAAATCCCTGCAAAGTCAATATATATCGGCTTTGCTGCACTGGCCAGTCCTTGCCAAACCTAGCTAATGGCTTTGGTTATCTTTGCACCTTTACAGTGTTTAGAAGGGCCAGATATGATAATATTTACTATTTAGTTTTTAGGCCCAAGAGACTGTGTTCCGCCTAATGCTTCCCTTCCTTTGTGTATTTTGATTACTCCTCTTCATATACCTCTGAACAAAATATTTAAAATGCATATTCAACAACCTAACAAACAAAAAATTAGTCACTAGAGTAAATTTTTTTTTAAAGTCAAATCTTTGAAGAGAATTCATGAGTGGTCATGATTGTTTTTTTCCAAAGGGTTTCTGAAGGGGAAGGGTTTAGTTTTTTTAAACTGGGTTAAACTGGGAAGAATTACAAAAAAAGAAAAAGAGTACAAAGATGTATTTTAAAAGCTTAGACTGAAGAAAACATCACTGAACAGTGTGAAGGTTAGACAATGAAAATATTTTGGCTATGTTATAACTGGTATGTGCTGAAGGAAAAAGCTGAGAAAACAGATACAAATCAAGATTTACTGATGACTGGACACATCAAGAGCTGGCAGGAGGGAGATTGCATGAATTCATCAACAAAATACAAGAAGACTCATTAAAATTGTCTTTTAGTTGGGAGATAACAAATTCTGATGATAACACAATGCGGAAAACAGTAATGGAAATCAATCATAAATGGACAAATCTTGGTACAACAATTATTAAGATCATTCAGGGGCAGTTATCCCTTTATATATTCATACATATATTTGACGTCTGTGCTGGGCTGTCGACTGCACATCCCCAGAAACTCATAAATATGCTTTATTCCTATTGGAGGTCCCTAACAAGCCCAGTTAGCAGCAGTGGTTCTGATTACACCTGTGCAGTGTTCAGGAGGCCCCTATATTATTATATTTACTGAAAATAGCACTGGAGGGTGAGGGGGGTGTTGGATTGCTGTGGGGTGGGGGGAAGGAGGTGGCAATTTTAAAGTGGTATGCTTCATGATTTCTCTTTATCCCTCTACCGAATGCCACAGAATAAATCACTACATCAAATGTTTTTTAATTTAAGTCTCAATTACACATGTCTACTGATTACTCCCTTTCATATTTCTTTTAAAAAATGCAAATGAAAAAGTTCAGTGACCTGTATAAAGCTGTTATTTTAAAAATGATCCAAGGAGTCCCCACACGGTTTTTGGTTCATAAGTGTTAAAATGAAACTACTGTGTACAATTCAGGGTGAATCTGCCTGAGCGGCAAGGAACAACCAACTGCACACAAATAAGCCAGTAAAACTGAAGTACGTGCAAAACTCAGGTCTTGGCACAAAGTCCAAATGGACGAACAACCAGGACTTTCCACTAGTGAACACCCGGTGAACAAAGATGAAGAAGAAGAAGTAGAATTCAGCCGCAGCTAAAAGTAAGTTTAATAATTAAACATGTCAAGCACCACTAGAAGCCAGCATGTCTACTGCTTCTAACTATGCATATTTGCTGTGTGATCAGTGGTTGGTTGGTGTGTGTGTGTGTGTGTGTGTGTGTGGGGGGGGGGGGTGTTAGGAGAGGAGACAAGTTTACCTGGGGGGGGGGGGGGGGGAATACAGTGACTAATTCTACAACACAGCTTCAAGTTTGTTAAAATAGCAGTTTACTGAGTTAGGCATTACTTTTATTTTCAACCAAATGTGTCTTACTGAAAGAAGAGAGCGCACCTTCCCACCAGTGAGTGGTCTATCTGAGCCGTGTTCAGCCACTTGAATCAACAGACTCTCCAACACTGGCCTGTGCAACTGAAGCTGTTTGTAGATGCGGTCAGCTTTCTCCAACAAGGAATTGATACTTGAAATGGCCTACAGATAGATCATTCAAATAATATTACATTTTTCAAGAACCTTCCAAATACTGTCACCCTTAAAAACAGTTCCTCGTGTTGTCGCGACCCCGAACCACACAATTTTTTCATTGCTACTTCATAACTTCAATGAACGTGCATTTTGCCATGGTCTTTGGGGACCCCTGTAAAAGGGTCATTAGACCCAAAAATGGGTCACGACCCACAGGCTGGGAACCGTTGTCTTAACATGTAGATGCTGACTGTTCCGGTAGCTGACTAGTTGTAAACAGGTCGTATTTGTCTTCTTATGTTCTTTCTTGCCATATCCACATTTGTCTTCTTATGTTCTTTCTTGCCATATCGACATTTAATTCCAAACTCACATTTATTTCATCTAACTTAAACATAGATAGAAAAAGATCTAACGAACAATAAAGAACATCTTGGGCAGCAAACAGAAGCTATAAGAATCAACAACAATTTGGCAACATTTCAGAGCATAAAGAATAGGGCACATGACAAGGATGTGTACTATTATCTGATCTGTTTTCTTTATACAGGAAATATATGAGATCTACCATGGACATGCAAGGAACTGTGATCGTTGATTATAACATAAATAACCTATGCAATACTGACGACCCATCTTGACTGTGACAAGTCAGGAAAAAAAAAACAACTACAGGCACTGATAGATACTGTGGTTGTAGAAAGTGAAAGTAAGTATATAAGCACATGGATAACATCCGATGGAAGACGTAACACAGAAGAGGACAGGCTAAAACAGAATTTTATCAAATGAAGAATATTTTATGCAATAAATCCATGTCAAAGGAGGTTAGGAAAAGAATTCTCGCACGGTATATAAAACCAGTTTCAACATATGGTTGTGAATCCTAAACATTTAATAAACAAGCCAAACAATTTCTTGAGACCTCAGATGTGGCTCTATATAAGAATCTGCAAGTCCCTGAAAGTATTCACGTGAGCCCCTGTAATTTAGATGTGGTGATGCTCAGTATCCATTCATTCCACAGTTTTCTTCTAAACATGACACAAGGCAACACACTTATAACAAGTAACAAAACAGAGACTGTAAAACAATTCTAAGCACACAGAACACATAAACCTTATGGCAGTATATCTGGGACAGTCATATTCAGTAAACAAAAACAAACGTAAAAAACAGCAGGCCTATAGAGAGACTGTGACCCACAGCAACACATGGTCTCCACAATACTATCCAGCCTTTGTGCTATGAAGAGCAGCAACTTCCTCCCTGGCCTTAACTGGTCCTGAAAACAAATCCAGAGTACTCTCCCTCAGTATGGGCTGCTATTCCCATGCCTCTCCACAGCACAAAATATAAACTGTTGTGCGGAAAGAAGGTGCCAGCAAGTAAAAAATGCATTCTGATGTAAGTGAACAAACAACAAAGCTGCACAGTTTGGAGTGAAGCACCTTAAGTAGTTGTTTGTGTTCACAGGCTGTGAACCCCAACGGAAAGATGTTTGTTTATCCATTCCTGGACTCTGGCTTTGTTCCTGCATCTGAGTTTTGCATGCGCATCTGTTTTACAGATCTTGCTTATTTGTGTGCGGACTGTTGGCTCCCTGCCTATCAGGCAGATACACTCCGACTATGAAGCAAGCCCCCAAATAGTCAACTCACAGTTTGGAGGAGGCAGTGGGCTATTCTTGTGTTGTACCTTGGAACCCAGAAGTATGGGGAGCACCTTAAGTGAAGTGAAAAGACAAACCACATAGGACTTTTATCAGTGGAGATTTTTGTTTATCCATTCCTGCACAGCACTGGCCTGTGCTTTGTTCCAGAATCACAAGAGTTTTGCAGGCGCATCTGTTTTACAGAAAATGCATGGATTGCTTATCATTTGTGTGATGGCACAGAGGTACAGAAAAAAAGGAAGACATGATTTGTTCCTAAAAAGATGCCTATCATGCGATAGCAGATACACTCGGCCTGACTATGAAGCATAAGCTCCCAAATAGTCAACTGATACCTGCGCTGATGTTAGTGTGACTGTGGGCTTTGTTGGGGGAGGCAGTGGGTCTATCTCTCTGTGGGCTTACCTGTACATGGCAGGGTATAATGTCAACCCCTGGAACCAAGATTGCAGTAAAGAACTTTTAAGTGAAGTGAAATTGACAGAATTTTTGGAAACGAACATAGGACTTTTATCAGTGGAGATCTAAACGTACCTTTTTCCTATCTTCCTCATTTTCAATTGGATCCACCGCACAGCAGGGCTTGGCCAGAAGTGTGAAGTCAAACTTGGCATACTTACAGAAGCCACAAGAGTTGCACAGGAACGGATCTTTCAATCCACTGGGAGTTAGAAAGGCAGAAGTAGAAGATCATCTTTTCCTCTTTTCCTTTCTCTTTTAGTTTTTTCAAAGACAGCTGACTCATCATCATTAGCAGGTCCTTTACAGAATACTGCTTCCATCAGAGCCTCTCTGAAGGCAACTCAGCCCCTTGTCAGCTCTAACACCTTATGCACTTTCCTGCATAAGCCGTCTCTTATTTCCTGTAGCCACCTTCATGCTGGTCAGCCCCTGAACCTCTTGCCTGGTGGCAGAAAGTGAATGTAAGTATATAAGCACATGGATAACATTTGATGGATGGTACAAAGCCCTCTGCCACAATTTCAGTTTCCAAGAAAAGATGCTGTCGACAGGCCAATTTTCCTTATGTTCAGATATTTTGGGATGTCAGCATTTCTAATCTTCTTAGTGAAAACTGAGTGAACATCTATAATTGCTTTCTGTTTCTCTCTGTGCATGTGAATGGAAATGTATGGACAGAAGAGAAACAGAACACACACATGTATAGTTTCATTTCTTCCTGTAATTATTATCTGTGTTAACCACTTTTTAGAGTGGTTGCAGGATGGAGGGTCATGAGACTGAAGAATTAGAGCCACATGGCCGTGAACTGTGCAGGTTAGGATATTTATTTCTACCTCAGACAGAAAAACCTCCATCACCTTACCAAGGATTCAAACCCAGGTCTCTAGCATGAGAGCCCAGCATCATAGTAATTGGTTCCTCTTAAGTCGGAGCGCATCTACCTGAGAGGCGAGAAACTAACAGTCTACATGAATCTGCCCAACAGGCGAGAAAATAAGTAAGCAGATCTGTGAAATAGATGTGCACTTAAAATTCAAGGTCTTGAATAAGATTAAAGTTTAGAAGTGGACAATCAACCAGAACTTTCTGCCAGATTTAACAGCCGGCAAATGCTGAGAAGAAGAAGAAGAACAAGAAGAAGAAGAAGAGGAACTTGGCTAGTTTTTCCTCATTAGTTTGCTAATGTTATTTACACAAATGAAAACTACCCCACCTGCACTTGTGACACTGGTACACATTCTCCCCACAGTTGCCACAAACTCCTGGAGATGCAGGCACGCTGGCACTGCATCGAGGGCATTGCAGGGTCTCTGCTGTTGCTTGTAGATTGTCGTAGAAGTCAGCATACTCAATCATCAGGTTACAGGCCACTATGGGAATGGGGAACTCTACCTGTGGCCAAAAAAACACACTGTTATTTAAAAACAGTGACAGACGTGATGTTGTGTAAAGATTTCCATTAGTGTAGAAAACGTTTTACTATTATTTTACTACTTTTATTATCACTATTATTGTTATTGTTACCAGCCAGTATTATGAGTGCTACAATTAATAATCACGTTACTTTATTATCATTATTATTTTTACTACTACTAATTAGGTTTTTTTTAAATTTATGTTTTCTTCTGCAGCTACAATTAAACTCTGACAGTTATTCACGCAACTTTCCCATCTTTGCTCTAATGCCCAGAATTATTGTTGTAATGCTAACTGATAATGGTTTTTCACTGTTTTTCATTGTAACTGATTCAGAAAGCATGCTGAGGAAGATCAGAACAGGTATGCTTCATGCAGAGTGGCATGCTTCGCTGTGGAGGACACGGGTGAGAAGTATTGTCTGGATTTTTTCACCGGGTACGCCTGTGTGTTGGGAAATGAACAAGCGGACAGACCAGCTGGCTCTGCACAACTTGGTGAAATACTGATACATGATAAGGCAGACGTGGTTAGTGCCTTGTGGAAGAGCGTTTACAGTTCGGAGGAGCAGATGGATCACCACAGTCTGGTGAGACTGATGCAGCGGGAAGTGACAAGAGGTTCTGGCAGAAGCTCGAGGCTCAGAGGAAAAGAGAGACGGACATTTAATCAGAATGCTACTGGCCCCATTAGTATCGGAACTCTTCGTTGGCTGTGGAAGATGGGGACAGAGTGCTTATGGGAATGCCCAGAGTACTGTGATGTCGGTTCTTGAATCAAATCAAATCAATCACTGTTTTTCTGTGTGACTTTTCCCCTTCCCTCCCTTGTTGAGCTATATCCATAGTATGCTGTGGTTCTTCACAGACCTGCATCTAACCTTGCAGGACTTGAGATGGGTGATATCTTACTATTTAAATTCATCCTCCAGCATTACAATAAATACGCTGCTGTTGTTGGCATCTTTCCAGACAACAGTGTTACAGTCACAACCCATGCCAATGGAGAGTACTACAAGCAAGACCTGCCTGCGTTACGAAATGTCTTCCACAATCAGAGCATGGGATTTCAGGACCATTGTTGCCATCACATGTATTTAGTGTGCTTCTTCTCAAACACTCAGCTCTAAATTTGTCTGCACCTCCTCCCCCCCCCCCCCCCCCACTCAAACCTGATTCGCCCCCTCCACCCAAAGCTGTCCATAAATCTACCTCGATACCTGTATCAACAAGTTACTGATTAAAGCATGGTTAGGCATGTCTATGCCACCTTAGAGGCTGAACAGAAGAAATTCTAACCAACTCCTCATGAGAACAATCAGTAGAGGTCCCGTGGAGAGGCTGCTGCATCAGAGGACTGAGCAGGCATAGGAATACCCAATTAGCAGTGACATCCCTTGTGATAAAATAACATTTGAAATATACAGACCATGTTTCAAATACAGGGTAAGGAGATAAATGACGTAAAGGATAAAGGAGTAACATGACAGACATAAAGAAAGAAAAAATTCATGCATGTGTGCTCGTGGATAAGTGATAATTCGATGGAATCTAATGTTTTCTGTTTACTATGAAACATGGCTCTCTCTAGATGTGTTTACACCAAACAAAAGATATGGTGGAGTTGGAAGGACACACTGAATTTAATTTTTAAGTGTTCTCTCCTTCTCTCACATCCAGTCACAGAATGAAATTGTAAATTCAAATTTAACATCTTGACCTACCTTGACCTCTGTTTGACCTGAAGTCAGCCTGACCTTACGAGCTTTATGCCACAGTCCAGGTCTGTTTCTCAACTCCACCACAGCCTGAACTGAGCGGTTGTTGTAGTAGAAGTTTAGAGTCTGAACCTGGTAGCAGATCATAATAAACAGTTTTAGTATTACAATCAACAGCAATGTTAAAAAGAATTTTTTTTTTTCAAATATTTTTAGGTGCCAAGGGAAAGTAATCCATTTAATTATCTGGCCCCTTTGTGCTTATTGATTTCTCCCCTTAAGATATTATTTCTTTAAAAAATTCTAAAATGTATATTTTTGGGGAGGGGGGATCATAAAAGCAATAACTGTTTCAGTATACAATCATCAGCTGTAGCAGCAGTAGTAGTATATAAATCGTCTTCATAGCGTTTAGTGGATGTAAATTTCGGTGGAAGTTTGACCACATCTAGACTTTGGTCTTGATCCAGAATAATGAGTTTTGCATGCACATTTTTTTTTTACATATCTTACTTATCTGTATGCACAATTGTCTACCAATTTGCCTCTGGGGTAAAAAGCAGGGGAGATAGTGCAAATCCCTCCTACTTCAAAAAGTTGCGATGTACAAATCAAACAGTAAATTCATACCATTTTAGTTCTCTTGAGATCACTGATTCGTAGAGATATTTTGGAAATAGTGTGACTGCCTACAAGTTTGACTATCTGGGTGGTTGTAGTAAACTTGGAGTCAACTTTCACAGCAGACAGCTTCAGAGTCTGAAATGTAATGCAGTTTTACATTATAGATACACACAACACTGGATAATACAAATTAAAACTATCAGTTTTTGATTATGTACGAACAAACGAACTTTATTTTCAAAGGGCTACAAATTGGGCACGCAGGCCCGTCTGACATTCAGAGGGAAACTAAGCCAAACTATCAAGCTTAGAACATTCAGTATTCGATTAATAATAAAAGAAAATAAACTGAAATGAGCTAAAAATTAAACAAAAAATTTCTGGAAACCATGAAAACAAGATATATTCTGAAAGGCATTCTAAAACAAACTACAAGGAAACATGATAATAATTTGTTCAGACAAGCTACAATATTACAAATGATTAGTTAACTCTTTCAATTTCAGACAGTTTTAACACACGTATATAAATATATTGTTTTTAAAATTATTAGTAACCCATGTTTTTCTTTTAAAGGATTTTTCGGTAATTCCCAGATTCTTGGGGGCAATAAGGTTAACGCACTGTTAACCAACCAAACCAGCCACAGTCATCAGCTTACCTGGAAAGGCACCTCTGGGTTATTGCAGACTAGACAGGGGTCACTCTCAAGGTAGTAGCCATCAAAGTCTACAAGGCCCTGTAACATGCTGAAAAAAGTATCCACAAACATGTCATGACATTAGGGGATGATATACAACATGTTTAAACTTTTAAATAATGAAAAAACTGAGTCATAAAAGAGTGAAATTTCAAGTGTAAGAAAAAGTTATTTCATAATAAATAGGTCTGCATGCAGATATTACAAAGGAAAAACATACACTGCAATGTAATACTGCAGTCTAATAAATATGAAAACTTTACAATATTTCACTTCTGGTAAAACTGTAAAGACAATGTACATCTGAAGAAACCAACAGATTTATTTTTTAAAAAGTATTAGTGAATAAATGTTGAATGGAAACATTAACTCTTGGGCTTATCATTGTGTTAGTATGGCACTCGAAAAGAAAAATGGGGGAAAATCCATAAATATTCAAATCATACTTCAACTGAATTATCTCTAATGTGTTTGTTAACCTAAGGTCTCTAACATGATATTAACTGATTTTGACTTTCACTGAATTTCTTTGACAGTTAGGCTTAATCAACTGCACTGCTTGAGAGGGAAATTCTCATATGAATATCTGAACTCCAGGACTGGATTCTCCTCCTGTAAAATATTTCAGCCAGAAAAGCCAACAAACTAGTTTCATAAGGATCTATTCTTTCATTGGCGGAGAAAGAGCAGCAAAAGAAGATATAACAAAACAAACGATAGACTGCTGATCATTCTCACTTCACATCAAACCATTCAGACCAGACATGATCATGTCCTCTCCTCAGTAGATCCTATCCTCAGTATATCACCCCCTCTCTGCATTTCACCACTCTCTTCAGTATATCTTACCCTTTCCTAAGTATATCTCTCAGCTTGTAGCATCTACTTCTTCTTTGACTCTTTGCATATTGTTTTTTGTTTGCTCCTACGTCCTCTTTTTACTTCTTTTTTTTTCTTCTTCTTTTGACAGCTTGTTTGCATAATTAGTCATCACTTTACTCTCTCTCTCTCTCGCGCGTAGCATGCACATACACACACAACAACAATTTTTTGTAACGAAACAAATTATAACTGAGACTATTTACAATGAAACAGACACTGATTTAAAACAAGCTTACTTATATATTATAGCATTTGGATGATGGACCAGGATGTGGTTTTCATCCTTCAGAAGTGACACTACCTTCTGCAAATACTCTGACACCTGTAAGAGTAACCATATTTAAAGTTATTCATATAATTTTTACCTGTGTGGGATCAGGACACCATTTTTGGGGGGAAAAGAATAAACCCACTAACCAATAACAAGCATGTTGTTTTAAAAAAAAAAAAGGCTTATTAGAGGTTTTTCTTTCCAAGTTGGAACATATCTGTCAGAGAGGCAGGAAACCCACAGTGTGCATACAAATAAGCCAGATCTGTAAAACGAATATGCAGACAAAATTCAAGTTTTGGAAGACCAAAAGTCCAGGAGTGGACGAACAACTAGAACTTTCTGCTGGAGTTGTGGACGAACAACTAGAACTTTCTGCTGGAGTTAACAGTTGGTGAATGCTAAAAAGAAGAAGAAATCATTAAAAGACAACAAACAAAATGAAAAAAGAAAGAAAGAAAGAAAGAAAGAAAGAAAGAAAGAAAGAAAGAAAGAAAGAAAGAAAGAAAGAAAGAAAGAAAGAAAGAAAGAAAGAAAGAAAGAAAGAAAGAAAGAAAGAATAAAGCAAAATGAAAAGAAATAAAAGTTAAAACAAACATGAAAAAAAAAGAAGTTTAAAAAAAAAATTACAGTTATTCTTAATGAAATGCTTAAGGGCACAAAGTTAATGAAACAACAAATATAGAAAGAAGTTGGATGGGGGAAAAGTTAGCGGTGTGTCATGTACACAATGCTGCAGAAACTAAATCAAATTGTGTGTGTAGCTGTTAGTGTTTGTTTACGGACACTAGTTTGCCACTGCTTTGTTTACGGACAGTAGTTTGCCACTGCTTTCTGTATGGCTGGCTCTTGACACCACTGTCAAAATTAACAACAACAAAAATGGTCTTCTGTCGAACCGTCCACACTAGAACTGAACTGTGTAACTCAAAATTAAAAACCATACCAGCAACACCCAATCCACAGGTAAACCATTCATAAATATCAAAATATGCTAACAGAGATCACAGAGATGCCTAATAACGATACAATTTAGCCAATGATCTAAAAATTTTCATGAAAGCACGAACAAGAACATTAAAAACACATGCATTTTATCACAAACCAAAAAGGTTCAGAAGATCTGTAGTCAAAGTGTAAATCTTACAACACACTGAGATATTACAAACACTCACTTTCTTGTCTGCTAGTCCAGGTGTCTTCAGTAAGAAGTAGCCTAGAAGATCCACAAACTGTGCAGCCTTCCGCCCAAACACCGGCACTTCCTGCCATAGGCCCCACAGTGAACCCAGCAGGTCTTGCTGTTCCTCTTGGCTTGAGTTTCTGAAATAAGACACAAAAGGTATTGTTTGTATCCTACATAAATAATATGTATTAGAAATGAGTCTATTTATGTGTGCGTATGTGTGTTTGGATATGTGTCATGCATCCACTCAGAAAGCAGTAAAATTACATATCTTGACTATTTTCATTGATAAGACACAACAGAGAAAGAAGATATCTTGATTCTTCTTCCCCCTACTGAAAAAGCCTAAAAAATCTCTTTTAAATGAATGAAAATCTAACTGAAGTTTACAGCAAAGCAGTACAGTTTTTCAAACTTTCATCAGTTTACAATCAGACAGTTATTGGTACCATTGGAATTGGAACTCTTCAGTTGCTGTTGAAGACAGGGACCGAGCGGTTATGGGACTGTCACAGTGCTCTGATGTTGATTCTTAATTCAACATTCATCAGTTAATAATGACTCCAAGTTATTTACTACATTAGTAAAGATATGTATTTGATCATGAAAAGATAAAAAGCAAACCTGTAGATCTGTAGCACAAGTCCATGAGCCATCCATCTGTTACTTGAGGAATTGGAGTCCAAAAGGTATGTCCTGATAAATTTGATAAAGAGGTTTCTGTCCAGTGTTGTGTTCAGCTGCCTCACCAGCTCCTGACACAAACTATCATCAAAGGGTCTACTGCCTTCCTCTCCTTTCTTGAACACGCCACTTGAATCTAAATCTGAGTGAATGAAATTAAGTATGGAATTAATCCAACAACAAAAGTCATTTATGGAAATCAGCAATAACAAAAGTTATGTACTGAAATCAACAACAAAAAGTCATGTATGGAAATCAATAACAAATACCGTGCATAGAAATCAATAACAAAAGTCAAATATATGGAAATCAACAACAACATAAGTCATATTTGGAAATAAACAACAACAACACCCCCCCCCTCCCCCACCCCCTTTCTACCCCCATCCCCCACCACCAAACTGTCATTACTTCTACAGAACTATTTAATTACTACTGTAATTACCTTTTTTTTTAAAGATGGTATAAAAGTAAAGGATACTGTTCCACTGAGCATTCATACATTTTAATAAAAAGCAATTTATAGGATTGATCCTAAATCAGAATGTAAAATAACACAGTTTTTTTTTTTTTTTTTTTCAACTTTTAAAACACAACTAAGCTCACTTTGTACTCAATCTGATTATATTATACTGATTGCTGATGTATTAAGAAAAGTCCCTGTGTGGGTTCTAGCACTCCCTTTGGTATGGGAAGATCCACTGTCCCCTAACAAGTTTGTGGTAGCACGCGGCTATTTACTTCCAAGTTGGAGTGCATCTGTCTGAGAGGCAAGGAACCAACAAAAGGCATACAAATAAGCTACTGCAGTAAAAGGGATGTGAGTGCCAAACTCAAGTCTTAGGACAAGACCAAAGTTCAGAAATGGACAACAGCCAGGACTTCCAGTCGGAGTTAACAACCGGTGAACACGAAGAAGAAGAAGAAGAAGAAGAAGAAGAAGAAGAAGAAGAAGAAGAAGAAGAAGAAGAAGAAGAAGAAGAAGAATTAGAAGAAGAAGAAAGTAAATAACAGCCACTTGTGACACCACTGGCACAACTTTTCCTCCACATTAATGCAGACTGGAAAAAAAAAAGAAAAAGAAACACAATTTACCATCCATTTTGATCTTGACTGAGTCCTTTTCTTTCTTCCCTCGAAGTTTAACTGGAGAGGTTGAGGAGCTACCGGATGCACTGCCTTGACTGTGGCCATGACCTTTAACTCCACAAATAGCACACTGCAAGAGCTGTAGCAGTGTTGGTGCAACACCTTCATCCAGAAGGATGCTTGCTTGCATCAAATAGGGCAGAGTTTCTGTAAAACATGTATAAACATTCACATCAGTTCAACCTGAGACTGCTAGAGCAAATAGAAAACACTGATCAAAAAAATAATCTTCATGCCCCCCCCCCCCCCCCCCCCCCCCCCCCCCCCCCCCCCCCCCCCCCCCCCCCCCCAACCGTGGTGTGCATTGGTCTTGTGAAACATTTACATTTTTCAATGTGTCTGACGTAGTATTTTTATCATTGTGTAAAAAAACATTTAGATTTTCACATTACATTTAGAATAATAAGTCCATTCCCTTTGGAATCTACTCGTTTACCTCCAAAATGAATTCATGTTGCTTCTTGAAATAAACTCACCGTGCCAGTAAATTTTATCTGAAAATGTTAAGATTAGCAGGATGTGAGGATAAAAGCAATCAAGATTAAAAACAAATGTAGTAAAAATTTGACACAGAGATAGTATATTGATGTTCAGATGTAAAAAGAAATCACAATTTGTAGATACCTTGTTTGAGATGACAGTAGAGTTGCCAGTTGTATGGTCTGGAAGAGGCAATGTCACAAACCACTTTGAGATGTTCGATCTGAAATGTATGATTACATTCATTAGTACATACAGTGAAGAACTAACATAAAAGCGACTATATTTAATAAAAGATTAGATGTTACATCAAAAACATATGAAATCTCCAGTTACAGAGAAGTACAATGTACAACAATGTACAACTGTGAAAACATGCAAACATTAAACAGACAATATAAAATATATATATATATATATTTATTTATATATATATATCTATATATATATATATATATATATATATATATATATATATATATATATATAGAGAGAGAGAGAGAGAGAGAGAGAGAGAGAGAGAGAGAGAGAGAGAGAGAGAGAGAGAGAGAGAGAGAGAGAGAGAGAGAGAGAGAGAGAGAGAGAGAGAGAGAGAGAGAGAGAGAGAGAGAGAGAGAGAGAGAGAGAGATATGCATTATGTACCATGGTAAGCAATGTATCATAGGGCAGTATGATACTATGTGGTGCCATGTCCACTCCTCCTTCCAGGCCCCCCTTCTTGCATGTTTCTGTCATCTGCTTCAGGTTGGACTGGATTGTATGGTCATCACGCAGCTGTCTGTATTTCTCTTTGGAGCCACAAATGAACAGAAGAAGCTGAAAGAAACATGCTGAATTAATGCATCTTTTATGGAAATAATAAATGCTTCAAAGGACACGGGCGTTAAAAAAGATATTAATAAAATAAACACAATCAGGCGTACTGGGCATATAGGGCTAGACCTATATTTTATAGACCAATCAGCATTTGGTGGTTGATGTAGGCAACATCATGCCAGCCGCCTTTACTTCCCAGGACTGTACCTGGTACCCGCTCAAGGTTGGGTCGACCTGTCATTTTTGGAAGAAGAAAAAAAGCCCCATTCTATCACGAACCCAGGACATCCCGACACATATGTGAGCGTCTAGCCACTACACCAATGTGACTCCCAAACTGTATATGAAACAAAATATAATCTACTTATAATTAGTAATAATAACAATAAACAAAAATATATAATTAACTTGTTTTTATTTTCATAACACATGGTCTCTGTGTGGGTACTGGGGCTCCATTTTGGAGAACAAAGAACTGACTCACTGTCCCCTAACAAGTATGTCATAGGAGGTAACTAATTAGGGTTGTTTCCTTCAAAGTCAGAGTGCTTCTGCCTGAAAGACAAGGAACCAACAGTCTGCATACAAATAAGCCAGATCTGTACAATGGATGTGCAAGCGAAATTCAAGTTCTGGTTCAAGATCAAAGTCCAGGAGCATTGATGTGAACAACCAGAACTGACTGACTTTCTACCCCACCAGGACATCACACAAGCGATAAACACCCGATGACACAAAGTGCCACCATGCGGATGAGGATCGCCGTGGAGAGGTCCCAGAAACCGCGTTCAGACAATTGGCCATATTTATGGATTGCTTATATTGCGGCCCCCGGCAAAAGCCAGGGTGGGGCTTCAAATAAAAAATGTCATCCTGAAAAGGACGATATATGCAATAATTAACAACCAGAACTTTCCGCCAAAGTTTATAGCTGGTGAATGCTAAGAAGAACAGGAAGAAGAAGACAAGGTGCTGGTTGCTGAGGTATTACAATGTGGTGTTTATGTCTCTTTTTTTTCCCCCCGATGGCTGGTGGTTTTATCTTCCAATAGTAAATGATCAAGTCCCTTTTTTATGGCTATGAAGTGTGGTTATAAATGAGACCAACTGGCCAACTGGATAATGCATTATGTAGAAGTTATTGCAACCACATTCCCTTCTTGACATCATCTATATTATTTTACCCTGTGATATTAACAGTGCTATCTGAGAAAACAAACTGCAATGTTGAAAAGGAAACAAATTTCATCAGGAACAAACAAAACTAATGCCTGTTAACTCTGGTTATATAGCCAGGGGCCAAGGTTAGTATTGATTCCACATCTCTCTACCATTTTAACTCTTAAACTTCTGAAAATAACATATATGTTCTTTCTCTCTGCAGCTCACATATTTATATATCACTATACTTCAAGCACCCAGAATAGCAGGGTAAGCTAAGGCACTACTTGGTGTAGAAGCAGGATCCCCATTTCCAGTTATTCAATATGGTTGAATGGAGTACGTGGAATCAGTTCCTGCTGGACTGGCATCCACACTGTTGTTGACTGGGGCACTGGGGTGTAAAATCCTGAGGTGGCCGCTCATCCCCACATAAATAAATAAACTTTGAAATATTCCATTTATGAACATCATGACATTTCAAAGCAAACAGGTAACCTACTCACCTTCCTCACTTGACGTTTCACAGACAAAGTCTGCTGAGTCAGCATATACTGTGAAACAACAAAATTATAATGATTATTTCACTATTAATTATAATCAATAACGACACATATTTCAGAACATTTCTATACACTATATTACAAAAAGTCAATCAGTCTGAATAGATCAAACTTGAATAGATCAAACCTGCATATGTATATTTAAATGATTATGTTAATATTTATGTTAATAAATCTATATGTTTATGTATTTTGCTAGGTGTAACAAGGAAAGATCAACTTAGGAATTATATCAGAAGGAGAGTCAGCCCAAAACCAATGCTGAACTTTTAACGGTAGACAAAAGATCAGATGGTTTGGCCATGTATCAAGATTTGTAACAGATAGGCAACACAGAAAGAGATGTTATACATATACAGCAGTAACAGATCCAGAGGCTGACGACACAGAAAATGGACTGCACTGCACCAATTTCGGAGGTCCAGAAAGCAATGGCAAACTACTGGACGTAAACTTGCCTAGGAAAACCACAACAGCCAAAAAATGCTAGGGCTGGTTCTGCAACATCCTGTAAAGGAAATGCAACAAACAATATCGGAGACACTGAAAAGTACTCTATACAAAGTGAACAGAAAGGTCCCACTCCAAAGATCTCTTCCTGCCCTGATTCTGAGAGGCATTCCAGAAGAAGTTGAAAACAGTAAGCAGAAGAAGAAGAAATCTATATTCTTGAGCTGCATAGTGCTTGCTACTGGCCTTAGCAAAACAATAACAACAAACTACAACCGCTCACACAATGATTCCTCACCTCAGACAGCAGTTCATGCCATTTGGTATCAAACACTGATCCATGCAGTTTTTGGTCATCAGCAATCTTTTTCAACTGTTAGAGATAAAATATTACATGATATGATAATATTAAGCAGTATACAGGAGTAATTTGGTTGCAATCGGAAAATCAGATTTAGTTTTTACTGCTTCTTATGCGAACTTTTCAGTCTTTTTCACCTTCTTCTTCGCATTCACAGGATATAATATAAACTCAGGCGGAAAGTTCTGGTTGTTGTCTACTTCTGGACTTAATCTTGTTCCGGGACCTGAGTGTTGCATGCGCATCCATATTACAGATTTGACTTATCTGCATGCAGCCTGCTGGTTTCTTGCATCTCAGGTAGAGACATTCCGGCTTAGAAGGAAACCCCAATCAGCTGACGCTTACGACATGCTTGTTAGAGAGGCAGTAGGGCTTTTCTTGTTTCCCCACAATAGAGTCCTGGAACCCACACAGGGAAATGTGTTTAATGAAAAGTTCTTTGTGGATAATAAATATGAAAAAGTTTACATGAGAAGTTAATCACAAACACAAATATTTGAAAAAAAAAAAAAAAAAAAAAAAAAAGAGCAGATTTTAGAAAGAAACTTGCAGGAAGACAGACAAGTGTAAAGAACAGAGAGTGACTGGCCGAGTATACCTGATATGGTAACCGCAGCACCATCTCTGTCAGTAGCTGTGGGTAGTCCTGGAACACGTCACTGGCATGACCTTTGACATACTGACGCAGGAAGAAAGGTGACATGTCAGGAGGGGCATGTGATGGGTGTGGCTTCAAAAGTTGACCTGGGACATTTGATGCATCCTCCTGCAAAGGAAATAAAATATCATTTAGTACTGATAATTATGATTACTCTTTGTGTAACAAACATAGCCTGGTTCTCTGCCTCTGTTGGAATCCTTTCAACGGCTTCTTTTGCATGACTTAACTCTTTCAGTACCAAAATGAACAAAGCTTAAAAATAAAAGTTAAGTTAGCTGCGTACAGGATGTTGCAGAACCAACCAAAGCACTTTTTGGCTGTTGCAGTTTTTCTAGGCAAATGTTATGTTCAAATACTTAATTCTTAAGTAGTTCAACAGAGATACTATGGGACAGAACTGGTTAAACTTATAATTCCATTACAAAGGGGTAATATAACACTCACACGTGGTAACAGACAACAAGAACATTATAATATTACCATGGAAAGATCAGTTAACATATGATGCATTGCTTAGTATTGAAAGAGTTAACAGGAGAGCACATGATCATCACATGTCATATTTCAACAATTTATGAGGATCACCAGAACTGTGAATCAGGTCAGTGCTCTTGTCCCACCACATCCATGTGGCCAAGCTATCTTTTTCTTCTTAAAGTCCATGCCTTGTGGCGCTGGTAGTCATGTTTAACCACAACCTTCTGTCTTGTGTAGTTTTAATCAACTCTGACACAGATGATCCTCCATGCCATGATGTCAAACTGTCCAGCATCTGTTCTTTCAGTCATCCTCTGCCTTTTGTCCCCTTCAACTTTCCAACTGTCATGACGTACTCAGTTTTTTTTCTCCTCATCACATGAACAAAGAATGTAGATTGTCTCTTTCTGTTGTGGGCAATCAGTTCTCTTTGTGAGTCAGTTTCTTTAATGACGTCTTCATTACTTTTTTTATCTGTCCAAGGTATTCTCATCATTTGTCTATAAAACCACATCTGCGCAGCTTCCAAAAAAAGTTTTCACTAATTTACCAACTGTCCATGATTCATTTCCATACATCAATATAGATTTATATAGCTTTAGCTTTTAGGAATTCTCTTTCTCATCTCAATTGACAAAGAAAGATTGCATAAAATCTTCATTCTGTGAATGCAGTCTTTGCTTGAGCTATTAGATATTTAACTTGCTTATGAAGTTATCAGGGTACCCAAGTACTTAACATATCAACTTGCTTAAGTTTTGTCCTACTTACTTTGATGCTGCATTTTAGAGGGTCAGTGTTCTTTGTAATAACCATTACTTCTGTTTTTCTGCTGTTCAAACTAAGACCATTGTTTTCACCTTCTGTTACAATTATATCCCTCATTTCTTGCAGTCGTGTTTCATTTTCAGTGATCAAAACTATATCGTCAGCATATCGCAGGTTGTTAACAATATGCCCACCAACTGATATTTCTGGCATACCATGTATGGATCTAATTATTATTTCACTGTACAAAGTGAAAAAATCGGGTATTAGTACACATCCCTGTCTAACGCCATGTTTAATGTTTAAAAAAGTTTCATCTTGGTTGTCAATCCTTACGGCTGCTTGTTCTTTCCAGTATATGTTTTTTTTTAAATATTATTCTCAGATCTGTACCATCAATGTTTAAAGTTTCCAAAATTCAAATAATTTCTTCATGTTTCACTTTATAAAATGCTTTAGTTTAATCAATAAAGCACACATACAGATCTCTATTTCATATCAATCATTCTTTCTGAAAATGTTCTCAAGATAAATATGGGGTTGTTTGTGCCTTTACTTTTAACAAAACCACACTGCTCTTCTCAAATTTCTTCACATTTATTCCTTCACGTAATATGTGCACATAATATTCACTGTCAAAGTCTAATTTCTGTAATATGTTTACTGCCTTTATCTGTCTTTGGGATGACTGCCTGACCCTTGCTTGCCTATTATTCCCTGACATTCTATGCATTCTTCTTAGAAACCATACCTTTGCTGCTTTTATATGTTTTTAAGCTTGACTGCATACTGTCCGTCTCAGATGCATATAACAGCATAAATTTTATATATCACTTTAACACTCTTTTTCTCACTGCAATGGACACTGATCTGATGACCTCAGGTGATGAATGATGAGTTACCTTGGAATCTTCTTTGTCCACCGTTTAACAAAAAATGTCTTGAAGGTCTGAACCTATCATGTCTATCTTTTCCTTTTTTTTAATTAGAGCAATGGAGGAGAATGGACCTTTAGCCTGAGGATTAAGGGCACATGGCTAGTGCAGCCATCACAGACTGAGATGTTAGGATTTCCTCATACTGTTAGTTAACTCAGACAACAACAAACAATTCCAACAATATTGCCACATGGTCAAAATCACTTTCCTCTTCTTCACTTCCACCAGCTGTAAACACTAGCCGAAAGTTTTTTTTTGAGTGCCCACTTCTGGGCTGTTCCAGAACCTGAGTTTTTGCATGCACATCCATTTCACAGATGTGGCTTTATTTGTGTGCACAGACAGGTTATTCTTTGCTTCCCAGGCAGATGTACTCTAAAGGGAAACATCCCTAATTAGCCACCTTCATGATATGCTTGTTAGGGACGCAATGGGTCGATCCTATTTTTCCTAAACCGGAGCCTCTGGAACCCACATATGTTCAAAACTATTTTTATAACTTCAATAAAAAACATAATTATTCCACAAACCAACCTCATCAGCATTGTAGTCCCTCCAGTAGGGAAGCAAACTCCTGAGCACCTGCAAGCAGTAGGGGATTGTGCCTGACTGCAACAGGGCAGATGCCGTCTTGCTACTGATGAAGGATGACTGAGGATAAAATAAGTTGCACATGAGTGGACATGTTTTACTACTGAACTGGTCAGATTATGAAATTTATGGGTCTAACATAAAATGTTAGTGGTAGGTAAACCGTTTCTCCCCTCAGTTTACTTAACGTAACAGTATCTTTCACAGATAAAATATGTTTGGAAATAAGGAAAAAGGATTCCTTTTAACTGAAATATGTCTGTTTTGGTAATACTGAATGTTACATGTTCAAAGATTTCAAGTGCGATAAATTATTTGATAGCTACAGAATGTAAAAGTAATACTAATACTGCCTTCTTCTAGAAAAAGGCGTACTCAGGGTTGTGATTGCCAGCTAAAATCTACACCATTCAGTCCAACACATAAGATTTCAGCAAACCCATAATTACATCAATTTCCTACGTATGGGACCCATACAGTTTTCGCCACATATTAAAAAATTAATATTTCAATCCCCTTATACACATTTTTTTTTTCTAATTAGGAATGCACATGGTCTTAAACATGGAAAAAATATGGTCATTGCAAGACCCATTATATGTAATAGCAGCTAGATGCAGGCCTGAAGGTCTTATGTTCAAATCTTCCCCAAGTCAGATGTATTTTTTTTAAACTGACCTTGGCTCCCAGGGTCGACTCAGGCTTAAATGTGTACCAGAAACATTATGAGAAGTAAAGGCGGCTGACGTGATGCTGACCACATCATCCACTGACTGCAGACTGGTCTGAAAACACTGTATGTTCGATATGCCAGTGGCATTAACTCTTTTAGTCTCAAGGAATGTATCACACGCTAATTGGTTTCTACGCCAATCAGTGCATGATGCGTTTATGTCTTTAACTGACAACTGGCCAGTATAACAACATAAACCAGCTGTTTTGAATGGTATTTCCCGTTCTCTGTGTTTGAAGTCCATTTGGGATATTCAAAAACGTGGTTAAAAGCATAAAATTTAGCATGTTTGTGAGCTTTACTGAGTTACTAAGTGTCTGTGTGAAAACAATATGGCATACGAGCAGACTTCTTTATGCATGCCAACACGATTTATGACATCAAAAGCCTCATATTAAAATAAAACACTTGTTTATCAGATTTATCCATAACTAGACAAAGAAAATTTACGAAGCAGGCTTGTTTCAGCCATCGATAAAGTCAAACTATTATAAGGGACAGCTCTGATATTTACCTTATGCAAAGCCTACAACGATAACAAAATCAGCTGGTACAACAAAATTAAATGTTAGTGACAAAGCAATTTTCGTCAGTGATCAGTTAGGTCTAGTTGAATTCCCCTATTATTTGAGAACATAGGATACAAAATTACGGGCCAATTAAGTGTTATATAAAGTTCTTTTTGTGTGAAAATATTAATTATTTTTGGAGGTCATTTTTCTTTACCAAAAAAGGTGCTCTGTTATGCTCTAAAATTTTATCTTGAATGAGACCTAATGGGCAAATTGTGTTTATATTTTATTTATACATAATTAAATGGTTCATGCTCATTTGTGATTCCTGTTGGATATATTTTATTGAGTTTTCTTTGGTAAATTGTAAAATTATCATTTCTTTTTACTAATTTCTTGAAACATATCTGTTTAATTATTAATAATTAACTACCAGCACAATATATTTTTGTAGCAGTAATTTTAATATTATTTCTCAACAACCCCTGGTCAGTTTAATGTGTAACATGTGTATGTTGTGCTGCAGTTGAATTAGTTTAATCTGTTTTAATGTGTAACACTTGTGACATTTCAAAATTGCATTACCACCCCTTGGGCCTCCAAAGCTAAACCCCCTGGGACTCAAGAGTTGAAAGGGTCCTTTACTTTGAATTACTTAATTTGTCACCTTTTACATCATGCTTGTTAAGATTCAGTGGTTCGATACTTTGTATCCCTTCCAAAAATGGGGCCCTGGAACTCACACTAGAACAAAGGTAGAACATAAGTAGATACTGACCTCACTTGAATACTTTGACCCCGACCTTGATCTGGACAACAGTACACTGACCAGTCGAAGCAGGATCAACTTCACCTCATTGCGGTCACTGCGGCAAGCAATTTGTTCCAAGTCCTGAGGAAACCATTGGGCATGAATGGATTAACGTTAGCCACAAGAAGTAACAGTGGTATCATGATAATGGTCATTGAGCTTGCTTACTAACACAGTGGCGGAGGCTCAATCTTCAGCAGTAGAAGGATATCCCATGCAACAAAACACTGTTAATGGACACATAAATTTAACTGCCTGCCTCAAAGTTAGTGGGTTTGTTTCAACGACTGCATCATTTAATTATTGTGTTCATTTTTACGGAGAAAGATCCCCAAGACTGCTATTGGAGCTATAAAGTCGGTGCTTTATACAAAACTCCCAGAAGACAGCTAGATGTTCTGCATGCGGGTGCGCACGCACGCACATCCAGAGAGAGAGAGAGAGAGAGAGAGAGAGAGAGAGAGGGAGAGGGAGAGAGAGAGAGAGAGAGAGAGAGAGAGCGAAAGAGAGAGAGAGAGATGGAGGGAGGGAGGGAGAGAGAGAGAGAGAGAGAGAGAGAGGAGGGAGAGAGAGCGAGCGAAAAGAGAGAGAGAGAGAGATGGAGGGAGAGAGAGAGAGGGAGAGAGAGAGAGAGAGAGAGAGAGAGAGAGAGAGAGAGAGAGAGAGAGAGAGAGAGAGAGAGAGAGAGAGAGAGAGAGAGAGAGAGAGAGAGAGAGAGAGAGAGAGAGAGAGAGAGAGAGAGAGAGAGAGAGAGAGAGAGAGAGAGAGAGAGAGGGCACAATCACAAGAAAAGCCTCAAGAAATGTTTTATATATAGTGTAGAAAAATAAAAAGATAAGAAACATGATGGCAAATGCCAGTCAGCATGGCACTTGGTGATGACGTCCTTATTTACTGATAATTTTGAAATGTGTATCAGAATTTATTCTAAAGTATTCTACTGTTTTAAATGATAAATGCTAATTTATTTAATAATGTTAACGATGGATGTTTCTATAAAACAGTTCTCCTGTTGTTACCTCTGCTATTAAAACTGAAATCCTATTTATAAACACAGGTTATCAAGAGGACAACAAATAAACAAGTCATTTATACACTGAAATGTCATTTTAGGAAGGTATATTTCCAAAATGAACAATCTCTTTTTCTTTATGTTCACCGGCTGTAAACTCCTGGTGGAAAGTTCTGGGTGTTCGTCCACCTTCTGAACTTAGTCTTGTTTAAGAGCTTGAGATTCGTGTCTACATTCATTTTTCTGATGTGGCTTACTTGCTTGTTAGCAGACAGTGGATTCCACACTTCTCAGGCACATGCACTCCGACTTCAAAGGAAACCCAATAACTAGTCAACTTTTTAGTTTTATGCATTCTTGCTGGGGATGGGGGGGAAAAAGGGGGGGGGGGGGGAAGGAGGAGGAAAGAGGGAATAGTGGGTCAAATCTGGGTTGTTTTTTTTCCCTCATAATGACACCCTGTAATCCATCTGGGGAAATATGAACAATGGCAAATAGTTAAATAAACTACTACTACTTATGTGTTCTTTAAAAGAAGGCTGGTATGTTGTGTTGTCGTTTACAGCTAGGCTGTGACATCTGCACCTTTTGGCCCAACACAAGCAATGTCAGCAAACCATTAATTAGTCGCCTTTAATAACATGCTTGTGTTAGGGACCTGCTGGATTATCTCCCCTGGCCCCTCAAACGTAGCCCTGGAACCCACATGGTAAAAAGTTTGCACTATATGAAGTATCCAAATCAAACTCACATTGCCAGACAGGTCCAATTCTGTTATAACTGTAGTGAGGAACAGATCCAGTGTTGCTTTGTCTCTATCTTCATCTGCCTCAAGGTCTGTGGTCAGAATCAGAAGCACCTACAGAACAGCAAAAGAAGAAAGGCAAACCTGCTTTACAAGATGAGTTTACTATGCTATTTTAACTACAATCATATTACATTTCTTTTCAGTTTTTCTTCCTACTTTTATCACTTCTCTAATGCCATGACATCTTTGATAGAAAAGAAAAAAGGTTTTGGTATTGTGGTGTGATTTCGGTCACAGGTATGAGGGAAATTTCAGGCTGGTGTGATGTGTATAAAGATATATTCCATGCCTCACCTTAAGCGCCAATAGGCTCTGTGCTGGTTTTACAGATCCTAATGCAAGACACCTGATACACTACATTATCATGCGCTATGGATAATGCCCTATGTTGGCCTTAACTGAGTTGGCAGGGGATCTCGGAGGTGGCGGCCCCCAGAGATGCAGCACCCAGAAATTCTCCACCACTTATCAACCTACCACCTGTGTATAAGTGACAACATATACTGTTATAAAAAAGAAACGCATAGTTATCCGATGGCGCGTTTTTATTAGTTTGTAAATAAAATATAGTATTCGGGTATGTGAAAAGCAGACTCACATGTTGATTACCTTGTCCAGTGGACATGTGGGCGTCAACTGCATGAGTTTTTGTCATCGTTACATCGCAGTGGTCAATGGTGTTTAAACCAGTTTTGTGAGCACAGTTCACGATGCGCTCACGAGAAAGCAACACAATTTGCCTACGCAGTGAAACCCTATAAAAAGATAACCCTGCACCAGAACGATCATTTCATTTTCAAACAGTCACTAATGGCTGCTCTATTGATAAATTTAAGGAATATTGCTATTGGCCGATTGCAGACAGGAGAAAGTCAAAGTCAGGTTGCCAGGCATCTAAACGTGCACCAGAGTACCATCAGTCCACCTCGGCACAGATTCTAAGCCACTGGTTCAGTTGAAGACCGACATCGCAGTGGACGACCCAGAGTGATAACAGCGGCGGAGAACGCTTTATTCAGCTTTGTAAGCTTAGAGACAGGTTTACAACAGCTTCCTCAATTGCACAGGCATTGCCTCCAGGACGTCACATGTCTGACTAAACTGTTTAGAACAGACTGCATGATGTTGGACTTTGGGCTCGACGACCACACTGAGGTCACTGACCAGTCCTTATGCATCGCCACCGCTAAAATCGACTTCTTTGAGCCAACCAACATCGTCCCTGGGCAAGTGACAATCAGTGGAGACATGTCTGGTTCAGTTACAAATCTTTATTTTTGTTGCAGCGTCATGATAGACGGCATAGGGTCTACCATAGACGAAATGAAGGTTTAGCCAAAAATTGTGTTGAAGCTCTGCTGCACGGTGGTGGGGGTGTATTGGTATGGGGAATGATCAGTTAGGATGGAAGGAGTAAATTTATGCACATTGAAGAAAGCTTGAATGTGCAAAGATATGCCCATGAAATTCTTTGACCACATGTCCTTCCATTCTGGGATGCCAACAGATATATTTTTAAACAGGACAACAACATACCCCATTCAGTACAGCTGACCACGCAGTTCCTGACTACCAATAACATTCAAACCCTTTCCTGGCCATCCCTGTCTGCAGATATGATTCCGATTAAGCACCTGTAGGATGAGCTGCAAAGACGTGTTTGTCACCGAAACGTTGCTCCAGGCACTCCAGGAAGAGTGGGCAGCCATCCCACAGGACCACATCAGATATCTAATCGCATGCATGCCCAGGAGATGACAGTCACTGATCTACGCAAGAGGAGGCCACACACCATAGTAACGGGAAAAGCCTACGCTTAAAAACTATCGTGACCCAGATCCCAAAAAAGGCGATTAGTGGAACCCTAAGGTATTCTTGTGTAAAATTTGAGTAATTTCACTGACTGCATTACAAAGATGCAGAATGTCAAAATTGTGAGTATGTTCCTTTCAGTAACTATGAGTTTTCTTTTTTTTTTTGAACAGTGTAGATGGAAAACTAGTCTGGAACATGAGCAAAGTCTGCTGGTCGAGTACCCTGCTAAATGACAAACTCAGGTTCAAATGTCTGTTGTCCGAACAGTCTTACTGTAGACAAACCTTGACCCAAACGTCTGTCGACTAAGTCTCCTACTGTATGGCTGCTTAGCTTAAAATGCTCATCCATCAAGTGTCTTACTGTATGACAGCAAAAGTTTAGACATTCCTAGCTCAAAGATTCTGCTGTATGACACAAACATTTCAAGCGCCCACTACCAATGGCCACACTCATCAGGGTGTAATGACCACACAGGGAAGCCATGCTTGCTTCTCATATGAGCTCGGAAGGAACAGAACCAACTACAAGGAGTAGTAAAAGACAGAAGAAGAGTCTGATCTGGCTGTACGCCTGTAATCCATCAGAGGATATAAGGCAGAAAGATGGGGAAGGAGGAAGAGCAGTAGAAGAATAAGAAAAATGATCGACATATGGACAATCAGAGTATACTAAAACCATTCAGAAGCCTCAAATACAATAATCCTGCATTCAGTTATACCAAATCACAGTTATGCTTTCAATTTCTGTCATGTTCCCATCTTACCTGCATGAAGGGAATAGCTCTGACTCCTCCAACTTTCTGCACTTCTGGGATGTAACTTAACAAAGTCTCCAGAATACTGAGCCGCAAGCTGTGAAGTCTGCAAACAAATGCAAACACAAAAATGAACTACAACAACAAAAATTATCAAACTGTAGACAGCATACAACCAAACTCAGTATTATATCACTAGTTACTAGTTTAATATAAACAATTATAAAAAATATATAAACTCACTATGTGGATTCTATTTCTCTTCTTTAAAGAAAAATACACACCCACTGCTCATAAACAAGTGTGTCGTAAAAGGCAAATAATTAGGGATTTTCTTAAATCACATGTGTTAGGTTGAAGGGCATAGATATTGCAGCCCAGCTGTAAACCCCAAGACTGCGTACATCTGACAAGGGCAAACACAGAAGAACAACACATAGATAATATATTGCCATTCTTTCTTCTTCTGGCTTGATTTTATTTATACAATTCAGTTGTAGTTCAAATCAACATTGTTACACATGGAACTGACTCCTGAATACACTTACCTCTCACAAACATTTCATGTCATTAAATTCTACTGCCTTGTGTATGTCTATGTCCAATATGTTTCTCATGTCCTGTGCCCATCTTTGATCTGGCTACTTCTGCCTCCTTTTCTAAGAACCAACAGTACTGTGCTTCCCAATCCACTGTAGCATTTAATGCAAAAATTACATAAAAGTAAAGGACCTTCTTTTCACACCTTTAGTGTATCTGGCATAGAGTGTGTATGTATGTGAGTTGTACCCCACCAGAACATCACACAAGCGATAAACATCCTGGGACACAAAGTGCCACCATGCGGATGAGGATCACCCGTGGAGAGGTTCCAGAAACCCCGTTCAGCTGTTAAGCCGTATTTAAGGGCCGGCTATATTTAGGGCCCCCGGCAAAAGCCAGGGCGGGACTTCAAATAAAGAAAATTGTCATCCCACATGGGGGATGACTGATAATGCTACGGACCAATCGGCAACCAATAAATGAAGTGGTCAACCTCATAGTGGTGGTCTTTACACTCCAGGATCAACCTGGTAACCATTTTAAGCTGGTACATTCTGAAACGAGCCACCTGGATGGAGATGAAATTGTTAAACATTTGAAGCAACAACAACAACAAAAAACACATGCAAGACATACATTACCTCTGTGTCATGTCAGTGTCTTGTTCATTTGTGTCCATGCAGGGAGCTAGGTATGCTGAGGTGCCGTAATTGACAGCCTCACTTCTGGTTCCTGCCGTGAAACTTTCAGTGGTGTGAAAGCCATAGGAACTACTGCGTCCACTGGTGGCTGTAGAGGAACAAGAACATCCTATGGGTTTCTAATCATGAAGCACATTTAAAATAATGACTGAACACACTAAAACATCAACTAGAAAGAACCTCAGCAAAAGGAAATAAACACACACAAGTGAATATTCTGACTACAGTCTTTATCAACAAACAAAACAACTCACTTTATATACTTTATTACAAATAAAAGAATGAATAAATGAATTCAAAATTGACATCAGTGCATTTGGGACATTCCTTCATATGCTTCCTCCCCCTCATTAGTAGTCAACAAGAGTTTCAATACTGATAGTGCTATCCGTAACCTGATTAAAAGTCAAACTGTCTTTACCCCTCTGTGTGAAAACTGTCCTGCAGCTCTGCTTACTCTGCTGAAATTAGTTTTTCGAGGTATGGACATTCTAGCCGCTCTGTTGCATCATCAAAATGAACCTAGACAGAGAGTCTTCACAATGTCAAAGTAGCTTACAGCTTAGAGGAGCAGCAGCTAATCTATCAGCCTATACAATACCCTGTTCATTACTACAGAAACAATAAAAAAAACTTGAAATGCAAATTCTTCTTCTTTTTTGCGTTCACTAACTGTAAACTCAGGCAGAAAGTTCTCGTTGTTTGTCCACTTCTGGACTGCAGTCCTGTTCTAGAGCCCGAGTGTTGCCCGTGCATCCTTTTACAGATCTGACTCATCTGTATGCAGACTGTTGGTTTCTTGTCTCTTCGGCAGATGCACTCTGTCTTCGAAGGGAGCTCCCAATAAGCCGACTCTTGCAACATGTTTTTGGGTAGGCAGTGGGTCTATCCTTGTTTTCCTTTTAATAGGGGCCCGGGACCCACACAGGGTAAAATGCAAATTTAAACTTATGTTAGGAAGCACAGAAATATCATCACTGTTTGCAAATGCCAAGCTAGATAGCTCTAGTTATCAGTTTGCCATCTCTAAAGATCTTCTCTCTTCCTGCCTATGCTTATTTCTGTTATTTAATTTCGCCAAACCATCCAGGTATTTACTTCTCATGCTCATTTCATATTTGCCAGTTTTCAAGTATGTTTTCATTTATAATCATCATTATATAGCAAGTCCTTGGCAGAGTGCAACTCTCATTAAGTCCAGTTTTTAGCCTTACCAGTTTCTGCCCAGGACGCCTAATGTTCTATGGCCACTACTATCATGCTGGTTGCTGCACCATCACCACATTAAACAAACGAACACAGAGTCTATTGCACTACCAACATTTTTTGAAGCAGCTCTACTACCACTACAAACAAACAAACAAACAAACAAACAAACACAGACATATCAGATACAGAGCAGATTACACTTCTGCCACTGTCTGAACCATCCCTATGCCACCACAAACAAACAAGCAAACACAGACCCTATCGCCCTACCACCACTTTCTGAAGCAGCTCTACAACCACCACAAACAAACAATCACAGACACACCAGATACAGAGCCCACTGCACTACCACCACTTTCTGAAGCAGCTCTACAACCACCACAAACAAACAATCACAGACACACCAGATACAGAGCCCACTGCACTACCACCACTTTCTGAAGCAGCTCTACAACCACCACAAACAAACAATCACAGACATACCAGATACAGAGCCCACTGCACTATCACCACTTTCTAAAGCAGCTCTACAACCACCACAAACAAACAATCACAGACATACCAGATACAGAGCCCACTGCACTATCACCACTTTCTGAAGTAGCTCTACAACCACCACAAACAAACAATCACAGACATACCAGATACAGAGCCCACTGCACTATCACCACTTTCTGAAGTAGCTCTACAACCACCACAAACAAACAATCACAGATATACCAGATACAGAGCCCACTGCACTATCACCACTTTCTAAAGCAACTCTACAACCACCACAAACAAACAATCACAGACATACCAGATACAGAGCCCACTGCACTATCACCACTTTCTAAAGGACCTCTACAACCACCACAAACAAACAATCACAGACATACCAGATACAGAGCCCACTGCACTACCACCACTTTCTGAAGCAGCTCTACAACCACCACAAACAAACAATCACAGACATACCAGATACAGAGCCCACTGCACTATCACCACTTTCTGAAGTAGCTCTACAACCACCACAAACAAACAATCACAGACATACCAGATACAGAGCCCACTGCACTATCACCACTTTCTAAAGCAGCTCTACAACCACCACAAACAAACAATCACAGACATACCAGATACAGAGCCCACTGCACTATCACCACTTTCTAAAGCAACTCTACAACCACCACAAACAAACAATCACAGACATACCAGATACAGAGCCCACTGCACTACCACCACTTTCTAAAGCAACTCTACAACCACCACAAACAAACAATCACAGACATACCAGATACAGAGCCCACTGCACTATCACCACTTTCTGAAGTAGCTCTACAACCACCACAAACAAACAATCACAGACATACCAGATACAGAGCCCACTGCACTATCACCACTTTCTAAAGCAACTCTACAACCACCACAAACAAACAATCACAGACATACCAGATACAGAGCCCACTGCACTATCACCACTTTCTGAAGTAGCTCTACAACCACCACAAACAAACAATCACAGACATACCAGATACAGAGCCCACTGCACTATCACCACTTTCTGAAGCAGCTCTACAAGCACCACAAACAAACAATCACAGACATACCAGATACAGAGCCCACTGCACTATCACCACTTTCTGAAGTAGCTCTACAACCACCACAAACAAACAATCACAGACATACCAGATACAGAGCCCACTGCACTATCACCACTTTCTAAAGTAGCTCTACAACCACCACAAACAAACAATCACAGACATACCAGATACAGAGCCCACTGCACTATCACCACTTTCTGAAGTAGCTCTACAACCACCACAAACAAACAATCACAGACATACCAGATACAGAGCCCACTGCACTACCACCACTTTCTGAAGCAGCTCTACAACCACCACAAACAAACAATCACAGACATACCAGATACAGAGCCCACTGCACTATCACCACTTTCTAAAGCAGCTCTACAACCACCACAAACAAACAATCACAGACATACCAGATACAGAGCCCACTGCACTATCACCACTTTCTGAAGTAGCTCTACAACCACCACAAACAAACAATCACAGACATACCAGATACAGAGCCCACTGCACTATCACCACTTTCTGAAGTAGCTCTACAACCACCACAAACAAACAATCACAGACATACCAGATACAGAGCCCACTGCACTATCACCACTTTCTAAAGCAGCTCCTCTGGCATGACAACAAAGAAACAAAGACAGACATACTAGATACAGAGTCTATTGCAATTTCTCCACTCTCTGAAGCAGCTCTAGTGCCACTATTTAAAAAAAAACACACACAGATACACAGCCCACTGTACTACTACCACTTTCTGAATTTGTTCTACTATCACCGCAAACAGAGACATACCAGATATAGAGTCCACTGCACTTCCACCACTTTCGGAACCAGCTCCACTGCCACCACCTTGCTCTGCGGGCGAAGTTCTCAGGGTGGAACCATCAGTGGCTGCTGTACTGCCAATCTCATCATCACTGGCAGGAGCAGAGGCTGTTGTATCAGAAAGAGGTTGTTCTTCGAGTTCAAGGTCATCGTCCTCCTGGCCAGCTTCTGATATAGAATTTCCTTGAACAGCCAAGTTGCCAGCACCTTCTCCCAAGTGGATGCCAAGGTTGCTGGCTAACTGGCCAGCCAAGCTGCTGGGGATCTGTGCCACCTGCCCACCGCCCTGTTCAAACAAACCAGTAGCAAGTTATCATTTGTGAAACAACAGCATCAGCAACTATCAAATTGGGGAGGGATGAAGGGGGGGGGGGGGGGGGGGGGGTTTGTATGTGTGTGTCTTTCTAGTCTTAAACGATAATTTATTAAATTTCTTTTTAGTATTCACCAGCTGTAAAATTTAGCAGAAAGTTTTGGTTGTTTGCCCACTCCTGGACTTTAGTCTTCATTTAGAACTTGAGTTTTTGCATGCACATTCATTTAACGGATTTGGCTTATGCAGACTGCTGGTTCCCTATCTCACAGGCAAATGCATTCTAACTTTGAAAAAAAAAACACCCCTAATTAGTTGCCTTCAATGACATGCTTGTTTGGGAAGAGGGGGGAGGGAGGGGGGGGGGGGAGGGAGAGGAGGAAGAGTAGGTCTATTCGTTGTTCTCCAAAATGCAATTCTGAAGAAGATGATGTTAGTGAATAAACTTAAAATAGGGTAACAAAACTGACTACATCTAAACACACCTGTTCCTGAAGACTGAGAGCTATTGCCAACTCTACCATGGTCTCATCGTCTGCATCAGGGGGAATCTCCACCATTGGGGGAAAGTTAGGTCCCAAGTCCCAAAGTCCTTCCAAGCCTTGGATCCCGTTAGCCTGGCCAGCACCACCATCAAGCATTAGATTATGATCCTAGGTGATGAACAAATACATCAATGAGCATGAATTCCTTCAGTGGCCAACAATACAATAATATGTGTACTTGAGTTCCCATACATGCTAGGTTTTTATCTATCAACTTTTATTTTTGCCAGCTGTAATATTCACTCAATCATTCTTAGAATTCCTTACAGAGCAAAAAAAAGAGCAACCGAGATGTGTTTTGAAACAGGACACGGCCCAAAGATAGCTCATCACAAACATCATGCGCCACACATAAAATAGTATTGCCATGTGTAACAAGAGTGAAAGGGCTGAATGTTGGACTGCCCTAGGTGCCTAATTTGTGACTCTTTGAAAATTCAGTTCTATCACTCCCTTCATTCATAGGATGTCTTGTACTGTAATATATTTATAAACAGCTGTGATGTGTGCAATACAATACTCACCACTACCTCATATAACTCATCAGCTTCTGGCTCCTGGTCCTGTTCTGGAGGAGGAGTAAGTGGCTCGTTGGCTCCAGGAGGATGGAAATGTGATGCGGAAGGGGATTCTGCTTTATTCTGTTTGTCTTCTTCATTGTCATCATCTGCTTCATCTCCTGGCCCTGCAGATAATTCGTTGATAGTTTTGGGTTTTTTGCTCATTTACTACTAAAAAATTTACTAAGTTTTCAGTTTCAACTGACATGACATTTACTTCACAACTTCTTGTTACCAATTCCAGTTGTTTCACTACACCACACAACCAAAATTGTTACTTAATTTGGGTAGAGTAATGTAATGTAAAAACTGGTATACAAATTTTTTTTAAAAGAAAGTACCCTTTTTAAGCCAGTTATGCACTGGGCATATGATTCTAGACCCAAATTTTAACATACCAGTCTTGACTTAACAGTACTTTACCGGATACAAATTTTAGGTGGGGTCAAACTGGGAGGCAAGATCATTTAATAAAAATCCAACACACTGTGGATTCAAAGAATCCAAGATTTCTGAGTTGCCAGCGAGCATTTAAGCTTCCATGCCACTGTAACCAGAAACAACTGGCATTATATAATCAGAAATTAGTTACAAACTACAGGTAGCACACCATCATCATACCTTTAAATACTGTCGCTTAGGATATGGCTCACCTGAAAGACCATTGGTCCCTTACCAATTAACCTACCTTATAAACTTTAATGATAAAAAAAGAAAACAACTTTGGCCCTCTCCACATGAAGTTTGGATGCAGGGTACCACTGTTGTCTTTCAGACTATGTGGTGAGATCCCAACCTTTTCTATTGTGCAGCTCTCATACCAGTCTGAAAGTCATGAGAGTGTCATTTTTTTTTTCTGTTTGCGGCAGAGAACAAGCCCTTGCACTCAAGAATCATGATTAGGGTGTTTCAAATGTCCAGTGTCACCTACATGCTGATCAACTCATCATCTTTGTTTCAAATGTCCAGTGTCCCCTTTATGCTGGTTAATTCATCATCTTTGTTTCAAATGTCCAGTGTCACCTACATGCTGATCAACTCATCATCTTTGTTTCAAATGTCCAGTGTCACCTACATGCTGATCAACTCATCACCTTTGTTTCAAATGTCCAGTGTCCCCTTTATGCTGGTTAATTCATCATCTTTGTTTCAAATGTCCAGTGTCACCTACATGCTGATCAACTCATCATCTTTGTTTCAAATGTCCAGTGTCACCTTCATCAGTTCTCGTTATGCCCAATGGCACATGAGGCTTCAGAGAGGACTTTCCATGCTTTCCTGTCCTGTGCAATCTTCAGTGCAGTTTTCCATGTCAAAGATGCCGCACTTAGGTCACTTTCCATCGTTCGTCTCTATGTTGTTTTTGGGCGCCCTTGTTTTCTCTTTCCCTCTGATGTCCATGTGAGAGCTGTTTTGGCAGGTATATCAGAAGTCATTCTCATAACGTGGCCAAGCCATTTCCATCTTCTCTTGGTAATCATACTGTCTAAAGTTTCTTGGTTTGTGGCTTGAAGTAGTTTAGTGTTTGAGATTGTATCTGGCCAGAAAATTTTGATAATTCTACGTAGACATGTGTGGTGGAAGGTGGACAGCTTGTGTGCATCCTTTTTGGTCATTCTCCAGCATTCTGCTCCATAAAGAAGAACTGGCAAAATGATGCTCTAGTAGAGTCGGAGTTTCGTTTCTCTGCAGTAATTGTTGGATTTCCAGATTTGCCTCATCCTTCCAAAAGCAGCTCTAGCTTTGTTCAGACGTGACTGTATGTCTTCCTCTGTCCCTCCCAGTAGGGACACCACACTGCCAAGAAATGTGAAATGTTCTACATTTTCAAGTGATTGGTTATTTATGGACACTGGTTGTTGGTTTGGACTGTTTGTCATGATCTTAGTTTTCTTTATATTTATTCTCAGTCCCACCATTTCTGCTGTGCAGTTTAGTCTGTTACTTTTCTCTTGTATTTGTTCATGTTTATGTGATAGGATTGCTATATCATCTGCAAAATCAAGGTCCTCAAGCATGATGAATGGAGTCCATCGTATGCCTCTTAATGTCCTGTCTACTGTGTTCTTTAGTATCCAATCAATCACAAGGTTGTAGAGGAGAGATGACATAACACATCCCTGTCTTACACCCGTCTTTACTGGGAAAGATGTAATTTTTTATACTGCAGGAAAAGTCTTTATAGAAGAGAGCAATTATGGTGACTATTTTTTCTGGAATTCAATAATGTCGTAAAATTTTCCACAGACCGTCTCCATGGACGCTGTCAAAAGCTTTCTCAAAGTCCACAAAATTAATATAAATACTTCTCTACCATTCGTTGCATTGTTCTAAAATGTTACGTATGGCAAAGATGTGCTCAGTTGTTCCTCTGCCCTTTCTGAATCCTGATTGTTCCCTTTGTTTCCATAAAAATCACCCCATGCCTTTCTTAAAGTTGTGTGTGTGTGTGTGTGTGTGTGTGTGTGTGTGTGTGTGCGCGCGCGTGCGTGCGTGCGTGCATAAATATGTTGTCAGATCATATTAAAGAAATCTGGCTTTTAGAGTGAGTGCTTCCAATAGGTGTAGCCAATGTGAAAGTAATGCTCACATGATGGTGGCTACTACCTCCTTGGACACATCTCCTGGGACTGAAGAGTTAATATAGCCAAAGCATTTCGGTTTCTGAGAAGTTTAATTAATTACAATGTTTCTTCTATTTTCTAACATTGTAGGATGTCAGCATTGTTCTTCTTCTCTACCTCAGGTGTTCTAAGGCAATATGCAGCCATTTTAACAAACACAAAAAAAGTATAGCTAAGTCTGTTAAAGAAAAGACTTTCAAACCAATTATAAATAAATATGGCCCTTAACAAATTTCTGCCATACAAACACCCGATAACAAAAAGGATGAACAAACTTTATTTTCAAAGGGTTACAAACTAAGCATGCAGGTCTATCTTACATTCGGCCCTTCTAAGGACTCATCTTTCAGACTGCAACTGTATGTTATCAGTATTGCATGTTATGTTTATAAAAAAAATATACATAATCAAATAATGCAAACACACGTGTATTTTTATTTATACCCACTCCTCCTATACATGAAAACACTCACTTAAAATAAGACATGTCAGGCACATTTTAACAATAAAACAGAGATAAGAATCAACTCACCTTGAGGGGTCAGCAGGGGGGGAGAGGGTATATAGACTCGCCGTCTCTTATGTCTGGGTCTCAGTACCCGTATCAGGGCTTGTTTGCAAGAAAAGCTGACTACAGGGTCCTGATAAAAATGAATTATACCAACGATTTTACAAATAAAAAGATATCAAAATGCAATAATTATACATTATTTTTTCGAGGAATTTCATCCTTATATGTGGTGTTTCCGATGGTACTGGTGTTCATGCCATCTCTGAGCATCTAAATTCATTTCTATTGGTCTGTCTATTCTATTCTTGATCTTACCTCTCAGAACACTGTTCTCCACTGCCTCTTTTCACATCGACATTCAGTTTTCCAAGAGATTCACAACCAAAAGCCTTCTACTGTATTTGTCTGGCTGTCAGTGTCTCCTAGTAAAGTGTTTAAGTCTGTGAAGTAAATATGTGTCCATGTCTATGTTATTCAATGTCAGAATAGGGTTTCCAAAGGTGAGTGGCTCAATTTCACTTCATAGGGTCCAACATGTTTGAAATACCATGTGGATCTGCCTCTCGCTGTAGAGAGACCAGCCACCTGAGAGAAAAACATCACACAATAATTTAACCCCATAAATGCCAGTGATGACCTTGAAATGATGACCAAAACACTTGTACTCATGAACACCAAACTGAGTCCGGTCCCGCAATCATGACCTACAGAATGCAAAGTGAAACGCTTACACACTTCATCCTCCCTCCTCCCCCACCCATGTCAAGAAAGGTTGTTCAAAAATGAGTTTTTTTTTTTTTTCTTTCTTTCCCAGCAAGATGCCATTCTCGCCTACTCTAATCCAAGGGTAGAGAGTCCACATTGATGAAAGACAAAATTTGACAACAGAATTACTACTGAAGTAAGTAACAGGTAGCAAACATGAGCAGATATACCTACCGGTGACAACAACATGCGGACAAAGTGTTTGGTGGCCAACTGAACACACTCAGTATCACAAAGGGTGAATGCATGAATGACTTCCACCAAAGCTCCCACTGTCACATCAAGATTGGTGAGACCTGCAACAGATTAACATTTGAAAAAAATATCATTGGGTAGGTAATTCACCCACTGTCCCTATTCTGCAATTATATACATAGTCAAGTATTTCTCCATCCTCTTCTGTCCCATGCAATAACCTTAATTTCATGGATGGAATCCAGTCCAGCACCTTTGGCTTCTCTCATCAACTTTTGCTTTAGAGTTTTCCCTTAAAGGTCCTTGTTTCCTCAATCCCTCTATTCCCATTTCAATGCCTGTCTGGCGATTCTCTGCTCATATTTCTTTTCAGGATGTGCCCAATAAAGTACCATCTTCTATTCTTATAACTGGGGGGAAAAACATGCTACTACTGAAAATTCCCATCAACACTTTTCAGGCATTAAAAGCATCTAAAAAAAAAAACTAAAGAAATCTAATAAGATCTACAGATATAACTGTAACTGTAGGTCTGCCTGAGTATTGTCTTTCACAGATTCTTTAATTCAAACAACTCTTATTGTTTGAGAAAGCAACTGTCAAAGGGGCACTTGCATGGCTGGCAGAACAGAAAGCAACTCACTCACTGATAGTGACAGACTCATGCTTAAGATCCACATTGGCAAACTCCAACTATAACGGGCTGACAGCATCCAGAAGTTCCACTTCAAGAAACTTGGCTGTACACAGCCAGAAATGATGGGGTGAAAGGCAATGAAAGAGCTGACAGACTGGCAGTGTCTTAAATGGCTGGTGGAGGAAGAAGTATGGACAGGGCAAACATACTGAATGTGCTGCATGCTAGAGACTTCGAGTCAAAGAAGACAGAGACAGTGAACCGCCAGTTGGAAATGGGTACTGAATGAAGACAAGCATGCTGAAACCAGCTGCAGGGTTTTGAAAAAAAAAAAAAAGAGATACCAATCAACTCTTTCTGGGTAAGCCGAGCATGTAGACATTGAGATGGCTGCTGCATCGAAGGACAGAGCATGAATAGGTTTGACCGATGTGCTGGGATGTCAAAACAAGTAACAAGTGACCTCTTATTATTTTACTCTTACATAAAACAATAAAAAAGAAGTAAAACAGTAAATGGACCCTTTTCCACATCTTTCAGGCTCTTTGGGTTAGATCTATATTTTATAGACTAAACGGCACTTGGTGCCTTTACTTCCCAGGACTGGTATACCTGGTATCCACACAAGGCTGGGTTGACCTGGGAGTCAAGGTCATTTTTTAAAAGTTTGGCCCCTGTCAGGAATCAAACCCATGATCTTCCGATCCACAGGCAAGCATTTAGCCGCTAAACCACAGCGTCTCCCAACAACAATAACATGTGCAAATATAATTCTAGTCAACAAATCCATACAAATAATTACACACAAAAAAAGCTTAGGAAAATATACAATATAACAAGACACAAGAATGTTTTGCCACATAAAGCAAAAGTAAAGGACTGATTTTCCCCTAAGACACACTGGATATAATGTGCCAGATTGACAAATGTTGACCAACTAGCACTTATGTGATGTGTTCCACATTTATTTGTTTCAGCATAATTTTCCAAAATGAATTTGAGTAAACATAAACTCACCAGGCAAGCAGACGGGTGCCAGCATAGGGTTGGCAGGTTTTGCTGCATGCAGTCTCCAAAAAGCATCTACCAGCTTGGATGTGAAATGCAACTTTTCTGAATCTGTCAGTGAGTACATAGTTTGCACACAGACTTTCTCCTTCACAGGTTCCTTCTGGTCATCTTCATGACTTTCTGCAACCTCTAAAACTGAAATAATAGTAATTTGTTGAAAAATTTTTTTAATTAAAAATGATCTGAAATGTAAGTAGCAAATATGAAAGAAATGTCAGCCTAATCATATAATACTGCGAGTATTAACTCTTTTGCCCCATAGATGCCGTAAATCTGGCTTCGTCATCCATTACATATTCCATACAGCTGTTTAGCAGGATATGCTACTGGCTAGTTCCCAACAAGCTTATTAATCAAGTATAGTTTTTTTCCTTCTGCAACTATTCAGTGTTTATATGGACCAGATATGATTACATTCATTTAAAAATACCACCAAGGGGAAAGAAAGGTGAAAAATAAAATGCTTTTCTGTGTGTAAGTGTCAGGTCATAATTAGCTTTCAGTGGCCGCATTGTGATGACAAAGTCACTGAATAAGTCACTGTATACACCCGTAAGGCTTAAAGTAACCTGTTGATTCTCTGCTTTATTTGTGTTAAATGATAATAAATTATTCCATTCATATATTTCCAAATCCTTTTTTTTTTTTTAATATAGCAGATTTCAGGAGGCCTGGTAATATGCTTGTTTTGTTTCTAAAGAACTGTTTTCCTCCCAAGAATTCCTGGGTTTCTGCATATATGCATTTTACAGATCTGGCTTAACTGGATGCAGACTGTTGATTCCTTGCCTCTCAGGTAGATGCACTTCAACTTCAAAGAAAATGCCCTTAATAAGTCTCCCCTTTTTTGCATATGCTTGCTAGAGGGACAGCTGGTCTTTTCATTCCCCCCCCCCCCCCCCCCCCCCCCCCCCCCCCCCCCCCCCTCCCTCAACCATAAGGTGCGAAACAAGAACAAAGTCCAGAAGTAGAGGTCGCCGGGAATATCAGCCAGTGAATGCTCAGAATGAATTTGTGCTTTCTTGAGTCTTCGCCTTCTTCTTTTTCAGCATTCTGAGCCCCTAAGGTTCACTGCTGCAGATATCACCCGCCTTTACATATGATTTCCAGTCATCACATATCTTCTCCTTAACCAGGGCAACAAATGCCTGCCGAAGTCGAATGTGTCGGCCTAAAGGCACAAATACTGCAGCCCTGTTGTAAACATGCCCAATATTATTTACATCTTTGGAAAATGCAGAACAAAATCTTCAGCAACTTCTTTCACTTGGTCAGAGTCTTCAACTTGCATGGAAAACTCAAGATTCTTTAAACAACATTACAGTTGCATTAAAAACCAGATGCATCAGATGAGAACAAAACCTATATATAGTTGGCTATTCCAATACCAGACAAAAAACACACATTTATTGTCTACCATATATGTGTTTTTCCATTGGTTACAATCCTAAATTATATTAATCCATTTGATCCTATATGTTACTCTGTGTGATCTGCCCATGGCTGTATTATTTGAAGTCATCAAGGTTCCTGCTACTTTTAGAGTACATAGACCAGAGCAGAAACTAACCGCTGTTAGACACTAACAAAGGTAAAGGAGTTTTAGCATAGTCCTATTATTTTCCCTCATCAAGATTCCCTGATTACTACTCTAAGAGTACATAAACCAGGACAGGAAGTAACAGCTTTCTGAGACTGATGAGTTTTAGCATGGTTGTATTATGTGAACTCATCAAGACTCACTGGCTGCTTCTCTAAGAATAAATACAAACCAGAACAGAAATTACTGAAGTAAGGCATGTCTTATACTGACACAATTAAGGAGTTTAAGAATAGCTGTATAATTTGATAGCTGTATTATTTCAGTTATCAAGATTCAGTGAGCGATACACTGCAAAAAGAACATAAAGTACTAAAGTAACATGTCTGATACTGACAGAGTTAAGGGGTTTTAGAATGGCTATATTATTTGACAGTTGCATTATTTCAGCTCATCAAGATGCAGTGAGTGCTGCACTAACAATACATAAACTAGAACACAAAGTACTGAAGTAAAACATGTCTGATACTGACACAATTAAGGGGTTTTAGAATGGCTGTATTATTTGACAGTTGTGTTATTTAAATTCCTCAAGATTCAGTGAGTGCTACTCGAGTTCATAAACTAGGATAGAAAGTACTAAAGTAACACTTGTCTGGCACCAACTAAGTTTAGTTTTTTAACACTAAACAAAATTTCTTATTCTTCTTTGCATTCACCAGCTGTAAACTTTGGTGGAATTTCTGGTTGTTATCCGCTTACGGACTTTAATCTTGTTCCATAACTTGAGTTTTGCATGCACATCCCCTTTAATGATCTGACTTATTTATATGCAGACTGCTGGTTTTTGTCTCTCAGGCAGATACACTCTGCCTGAAGAAAAGATCTCTGATTGTAGCCTGTTATGACATGCTTGTTAGCAGAGTAGTGGGTCTATTGTTTAATAACAGAGATCTTACTTTGACTGGACTCTTGGTTCTCAGCAAACTTCACAAGATTGGCCGGCCTAGACACCGACAGAGAACGAGCTGTAACCAACATGTGTTGGAAAGCTTCCACGTCTAGGTCTGGGACGTCTGGAGATGACAGGCAGGACATGACATACTTCAGCTGAGCCTGGTCCTAAAAAGAAAAAAGGGGAAAAGGAGTTATCAAACATGGGTTCTACACAATACAATATTTGAAAGTGTATAATTGTAATTTAATTAATTATAAAGTATCTGATGAAAAACCCTAACATTTCCCATTGTACCAATGGCTTCGGAAGGAGGAGTGTATTGGGTAGAGTACACCGAATTCGATAAAATTATTGCTATCTACATTTGCTTGTGACTGCGCGTGTTTGGTTAACTGACAGGAGGGCTGTGGATTAATTTACACTCGTTTGGTAGGCCACGTATATGAGGGGGAAGGGGGGGGGGGGGTAATGTCAGATTATCACCATCTCACAGCGAGAGAGTTAAAACCAAATCCAGTACAAAACTCACCTTGTGGTTATGATAAGCTGTTTTTGTAGGAAACAAAGATGCCAACAGAGCCTTGGTGTGCATCTGGACAAGTTCAGGGGTGGTCAGTGTCAGCAGAGATGTAGCCAGGTTCAAGGTCTTTTCTCTGGCTTGATCCTTCTCATCTTGTGGGCTGGTGACCACAAATGCTCCATCCAGTACTTCCAGAGCACTGCCCAGCAACCTGCATAATGGTAAAACAAATATGCATTAAGTTCTCCACACACAAAAACATGAAGATAAGGTGAAAATGGTAAGGACGACATTGGAATGTGAAAGCAAGGACTGTACGATGTGGTGTAAGTTGGTTTAGGGCTTATACTTCACTGGGGGGATAAAAAGCACAAAAAGAAGACACTCCCACCTCATTGAATACTGTGTTAGATATGATTGTGAAAGATAATGTGTTGTGGAAGTACAAGAAAGATGGGTGGGGATAAAGTAAGAGCATGAATATGATGATTCATTAGAGAGAGGAAGAAGAAGAGAGAGTCATATCTCTAGTTACTGAACAAGTTGAAGAAAGTGCACAAGACAGGGATATATATATATATTTGTGTGTGTGTGTGTGTGGAGGGGGGAAGAGAGAGAGAGAGAGAGAGAGAGAGAGAGAGAGAGAGAGAGAGAGAGAGAGAGAGAGAGAGAGAGAGAGAGAGAGAATTGGGGGGGAGGGGGAGGTGGACAGGCGTGATAGCAACTGCGCACACAGATGGGGGAGGGGGGAAGCAAAGACAAATAAAAAATAAAGACGAGGGGAAACAAAAGGGAAAAAAAGACAAAAGCCAGAAGAAGACAGGGCAATAATGAAACTGTCACACCTAGACAGACAGGAGAAACAATAAGGTACAGAGATATTTTCTTCTTAAATGACAGCCTATGAAGGTACATAGAGAGACCCCAAAAAATGACTTAAAAACATCAATATGTGCTGCTATTGAAAATATACTGGAAGACTTAAAACAAAGACATACTTTAAATGCCACTATCATGTAAAACTGCCAAAAGGAAGGTTAAAGGAAACAGTAAAGGTCAGACATAATCAGAACACTTACCTATCTGCAGCAGTCAAAGGAAGCGGTACAGCTGGAACATTGTCAAATTCTGAGACTGTCACGCCATTGGATGAGTTGACCAGTTTTGCAGCAGATGTTGTTGCTGGCTCTGGGAAATCTTCTGGCTCTTCGGGCCACCCAAAAGCTTCCTTGGTTTTCACATAGACTTTCACAGAGTCAACCATTGTGACAGCATTTGGATCCATGCTGCAGCCAACTGTAAATACAACATGCCACAGTGGATTTATACCAAAAGAATGTAAATTTAAACCCTTTTGCTTTGTGAATACTAAAAAAAAAAAACATGGTTTGAACCTGCAGGAATTCTAGGAAAACCTCTTAAAAAAATAATAAAAACAACATATTACACAGGTCTCACTAACAGATTTAAAAAAACAACTTATTATCTATATTTTACAACAACAAAATTTGAAAATATATAAAGATAAATAGAGGGGTAGTATAAACACAAAAGGATAAAGCATTAAACTGAATACCTTCCCTGCAGCATTAAAAAAAACAAAAAAAAACAATTGTGTCAGGTGACTTAAGCAGCGACCTTGTGACCTCTATCACCTAGGCTTTTACAGGAAAATTTGACATCAAGCTGGCTTTCAAAAAGCCAAAAACACCACCACCATACCTCCCCCCCCCTCTTTTTTCCCCCACAATGCTATTTTATTAAGACTGCTTTAGGATAAAGACAGCTTAACATTCCCTGTGAGGGTTCCAGTGCCCTAGCGTGGGGGAAAAACAAATAGGCCCACTGCCTTTCCAGCAAGCATGTTGCAAGAGTTGACTGACTGGGGACCTCTTTCGAAGTTGGAGTGCACCTGCCCGAGAGGTAATGAACTAACAGTCTGCAAACAAATGTCTGATCTGTCAAATGGATGTGCGTGCAACACTCAGAATCTGGAACAAGACTAAAGTTAAGAGGTGGACAAACAATCAGAACTTTCCGCTGGAGCTCACAACCGGTAAACGCGAAGAAGAAGAAGAAGAAGAAGTAGGCACATTTTTACAAACAAGTATTCATGCCAGGATTTTGTCTCACTTCTTTTTAAGTCAGGAGGACACCAGATCTTTAAGCCATTCAATATTATTACTATTACACTGACTGGGGGTCACAGAAAGATGCAGAATTAATATTACTGTGAATATGGTAAGAATATGGGACATGAAACGGTCTTATAAATATTACTGAAACATCACAAAACTGATTTGTTTTAAAATGACCATATGAAACAAAAACTACAAATATGAAGACTCACAGAAAATACTGAATTTCTTGTCTGCAGTAAGAGACTCCTCTCTGGTGAAAGGTATGTCATACCAACGAGCTCTTGAGTTCAGCTGCACAAAGAAACAAAGTTGAGAAAATTGATTTTCAACCCCAGATGATTTTAAGAATGCGTAGATTCTACTTTTGACAATTGTTTAAGAGTGATCAGTATCTGATAATTCAAAAACCTTGTTCAATTTAGTTGACACTGCAGAATTATATAATGCCATATTTTTATTAACTATTATTTAGCATTTGTAACAATAAAAAAAATTATTTGTTGATATTCTCTGCTATTAAAAGGAAGATTTCAAACGCCTTAAGATGTATAGGGCATATAGGGCTAGACCTATACTTTATAGACCAATCAGCATAAGATGGGTGATGTGGTCAGCATCATGCAAGCCGCCTTTACTTCCCGGGACTGCACCCGGTACCCACTCAGGACTGGGTCGACCTGGGAGCCAAGATCATTTTTTGAAAAAACCTGACTCTGACAGGAAGCAAATCCACGACATTCTCTGCTATTTAATAACCCGCAATTAAAATTGTTTTTTACAGATTTTTAAAAAAAATTGAAACTAAAACATCATAACATAAAAATCATTGTATTCCCTGAGGCCGTTATGAAATACTTGTGTTACTGTGAGGATACAGAGCCGTGGTTTCACTGTTAACACACACTGATCAAAGTGGCTAAAGGTACTGGACTGGATTCCTTAAATCATAATCATACTGATAAGTTTGCATAGTATACAAGGGAATCAAGGAATAGACTCTGAGCACTGTGTGATGTATACATGGAAGAACAGGATAATGACGATGAGTACTGTTATGATGGTCGTACATAAAATGAGTAGCAGAAATATCTATGAAGCAAATGTGATAGCAATGGAACATATCCCCTGACCTCAATATGACCTATGTTTATTAAAAACTCTTTAACAACTCACAACCATGTGGTATTATCAACATCAGTGTTACTTTTACCATAAACTTCTAAATTTTATTTACATTTAGCAAAGTTTGCCATAATATGGCAGCTATTTCTTTTCTTTTTGGTCAAAAACATGAAAATAATTATCTTTACAGGCTGTGAAAAGTCTTATTCCAATAAGTGCAATCATCTTGTTCTTGTTCTTTTATACTGTTCCCCCTAATATGGTGTTTCGTACATTGTGTTATTTTCAGCAAAGTGATGCTATCTTTTCCTTTTGACTCAACACATTTAGGTTTCGGCAAATCCTAATTAGTCACCTTATTACAATAAGCTTCTTGGCAGAGGGGGCAGTAATTCTGTTTGACTTCCTGCCCAAAATGGAACCCCAGAACACAAAACATGAAAACCACTGTCTTAATAGGCTATGAAATTAAGAATCAGCATTCTTTGACTGGCGGGGGGCAGTCATGCCTCTTCTGTTTGAGCATGTATTCCTGCCCAAAATGGAACCCCAGAACACAAAACATGAAAACCACTGTCTTAATAGGCTATGAAATGCCTTATTCAGAAGAATACTCTGGTTAGTTGTGTATCCTTCACAGGATGTTGCAGAACCAACACCAGCATTTTCTTTTACTGTTGTGGTTTTTCTAGGCAAATTTGCGTCCAGTAGTTTGCCACTGCTTTCTGGGCGGTCAGCTTAAAGATACCACTGTCGAAACCCACGCAAGGCCCGCAGCTGGGATCGAACCCGGCACACCACCATTACGAAGCGCGGTCGCAACACCTAAGCCACAGATGCCGACTAAAGAATACGAAGAATAATCAAAAATTCAAACAGAGAATGTTCATTTTTTCAGTGTGATAAAAGATTAGGCAGGGAAAAGGTAAAAGGAGGCAGCTGTAATCAGTAAACAAAATCATACCTGGACATGAGTGGTTCTTCCAAACACTACAATGTAGGATGGCGCTCTCTCTGCACTCTGTGAGCCGACGAAGACTCGAACGCCGACTGGGACTGTGGTGGTGTTTGTGTTGGTGATGTCTATGGTGAATCCTGTAGGCTGTGGACATGAGTTACTGGGTAAATAATCAAACACTAAAACGCCAGCTTCGTTTCCAACCGCAAGTTTATCCCTTAACATAACATAACCCTTGACCCGTTAGGATTGTGGAGGTGTACTGATGGAGGCACTAGCACATAAAACCCTCAATCTTTCTTTGTCTGCATCTACAGAGCGTTAACACTTTTGTCCCGTAAAAGTTATGAAAGAAAAAAATTACTTAAAAAATTTTGTTTAAGCAAAATCTTAAGAAACCAGAGGAAGATGGGGAGAAGAAGAAGCAGCAAAAGAAATTTAGTCTAGGTCACAGCTTTTATTCAATGAAGTGGATTGACATCTCTGACCACCAAGCTAATGCATCGTCGTTACCCCTCCTCCCGCAAGTCACTAAAAAAATATGGTATTTATCTGATTTAGAATCACTTTTGTGTGTGTGTGTGTGTGTGTGTTTATATATATTTATAGGAAGGGAAGTAATCACTAAACACAAAAGGAACACAGAAATAACTTTCTTTTTCCCTCTTTGATGAAGACAAACAGGGGTTTCAGAGAGCAAACAGATTTATCACAAGTTTAATCATGATGTCACACACACACACACACGAGCGAGAGAGAGAGAGAGAGAGAGAGAGAGAGAGAGAGAGAGAGAGAGAGAGAGAGAGAGAGAGAGAGAGAGAGAGAGAGAGAGAGAGAGAGAGAGAGAGAGAGAGAGAGACAGACAGACAGACAGACAGACAGACAGACAGACAGACAGACAGACAGACAGACAGACAGACAGACAGACAGACAGACAGACAGGGAGACAGAAAGAGAGACAGAGAGAGACAGAGAGAGAGACAGAGAGAGAGAGACAGGGAGACAGAAATAGAGAGAGACAGAGACAGAAAGAGAGAGACAGACAGAAAGAGAGAGACAGAGAGAGAGAAAGAAAGAGGGAGACAGAGAGACGCCCCCCCCCCCCCCGCCCCTTTTCCCCCCCCCAACCAGAAACAATACCTTTCTGGGTGTGTAAATATAATCATACCAGCCACACCCACACACTATGCAGTTACAACAATTACTGGCCACTTCCCAAAGATGTCATCCGGTCAAAATCCCATAAAAGTAGAAAAACTGGCTTTCACCCAGGGTTGATGCAGTTTTTGCAATGTTCCTGATGGCTGAACAGCCCATATACAGAAAGATGGTGAGCAGAATACCCATTTTCCTGATGTGGGCCAAACCCTGGGGAGCCATATCTGTTGAGAACAAATCCAAACTCTGTTGGGGGATGAATCAGACCACTGCCCCAACAGGCAAAGGTGATAAACATTTAGCTCTGAGTGCGGCCACCCTTATACAATATAGCAACACAAACAGTAACAAACAAGTTAGTTTCTGCTGCTTACCTTGGTACTTGCAACATACAAGCCTGTGGTGTTGAGCCTGTTCTTCACTTGCTGGGTGTTGTACACTTGAAGAATGTCATTCCCTCCATACTGGCAACCCAGAATTAGATTGATATTAGTTCATTCTGGGCAATAACGATGTAATTTTTTTAAAACCCCACACAGTGCAGAGATAGCCCTTTAGGAGCAAGGGAACAGTGCGAAGGGGCAGATAGATCATTACGGTCTAAGGAGAACCCCCCCCCCCTCCCCCCCAAACAGAATGTGTGGTGCTTCTATACACAGTTTGAGATCCTCACTGGCTGCAGTGAGTGTGTGCTCTGTGTTGAGGGATTTCCTATAAACTCTAGGACAGAAGCACATATGAAGTTATCCATGTGCACCAGGGCTGATACTAGTCAAGACCTGTTTAAACCACGGTCATCAAAAGGTTCCCAGCCAGGGGCCTGGCCAGCACAGAATGGATCTACATTTGCTTGAAGTCAAAGTGCATCCACCTGAGAGACAAGGAGCCCATAGTCTGAACACAAATAATCCAGATCTATAAATGGATGTTCATACAAAACTCAAGTCCTGGCATAAGACCATAGTCAAGAAGTGGACGAACAAACAATTTATAGCTGCTGAGTGTGAAGAAGAAGATAAAGAAGAAGAAGACTGGAAGAAGAAGAAGAAGAAGAAGAAGAAGAAGAAGAAGAAGAAGAAGAAGAAGAAGAAGAAGAAGAAGAAGAAGAAGAAGAAGAAGAAGAAGAAGAAGAAGAAAAAGAAGAAGAAGAAGAAGAAGAAGAAGAAGAAGAAGAAGAAGAAGAAGAAGAAGAAGAAGAAGAAGAAGAAGAAGAAGAAGAAGAAGAAGAGAGGGAAGAAAAAGAATTCTGTTAAACATTTTTATTCATGGCCTAACCTACAGCTTCTGAGAAATGAAGTCATTAATAGCAGGCACCTCCACAACTCTACATCAGTTCTGTCATCTCTCATAATCTTCTATTCTGGTGAAATGCACCATGACAGTGAAAAACAACAATGCAAGTTTAATACAAAACTTACCTCTACATCATTGGAATGCTGACAATGCTCAAAGAAATCAACAGGAAAAGAAATACTACTGCTTGGTCGACCTGAAAGGAAATTAACATTTTTCATTAACCTTCTAAACCAAACAATCCACTGTATGTGGATCGTGTCTGAACACTGAGATCAGATAAAAACTGTAGCTGTGGGGGGAAAAAACAGGAGAAAAAAAACTACTAGATTTTGACCTATCTGCAGAAAGAATTTCCATGCGTGCTTTTGGGATACAGTAAAATGCAAAAATAAAACATCTTTTTATCTGCAGCAGGAAATTCCATGTTTGCTTTTTTAGCATACTGTTAAGTGACAAAAGCCTTGAAAATGACCCAAGGTAAAAACTGTCCAAATTGCATTTAAGTGACTCCTGCGTAGTGCCAACAATATAATATTATGTTCTGCTGTGACTACATTTGGCCAAATATCCACAATGTAATTCATACGCAATCTCCTCTAGTAAAAGGTGGGCAGCATACATTTATGCAACTGAAATAATACTGCTAGCTGGGATTATTACCATGTTAAACAAGATAAAAACACTGTTGGCAAGAAAATTATCATGTTAACCATTGTAACAATGCTGTTAGAAGAAAATTAGATTAACCACTGCACAAACACTGCTAGCAAAGGATATTATCATGTTAACCATTGTAACAATGCTGTTGGAAGAAAATTAGATTGTTAACCTTTGCACAAACACTGCTAGCAAAGGATATTATCATGTTAACCATTGTAACAATGCTGTTGGAAGAAAATTAGATTGTTAACCTTTGCACAAACACTGCTAGCAAAGGATATTATCATGTTAACCATTGTAACAATGCTGTTAGAAGAAAATTAGATTGACCACTGCACAAACACTGCTAGCAAAGGATATTATCATGTTAACCATTGTAACAATGCTGTTAGAAGAAAATTAGATTAACCACTGCACAAACACTGCTAGCAAAGGATATTATCATGTTAACCATTGTAACAATGCTGTTGGAAGAAAATTAGATTGTTAACCTTTGCACAAACACTGCTAGCAAAGGATATTATCATGTTAACCATTGTAACAATGCTGTTAGAAGAAAATTAGATTGACCACTGCACAAACACTGCTAGCAAAGGATATTATCATGTTAACCATTGTAACAATGCTGTTAGAAGAAAATTAGATTAACCACTGCACAAACACTGCTAGCAAAGGATATTATCATGTTAACCATTGTAACAATGCTGTTAGAAGAAAATTAGATTGACCCCTGCACAAACACTGATAGCAAAGGAAATTATCATGTTAACCATTGTAACAATGCTGTTAGAAGAAAATTAGATTGACCCCTGCACAAACACTGCTAGCAAAGGATATTATCATGTTAACCATTGTAACAATGCTGTTAGAAGAAAATTAGATTAACCACTGCACAAACACTGCTAGCAAAGGATATTATCATGTTAACCATTGTAACAATGCTGTTGGAAGAAAATTAGATTGTTAACCTTTGCACAAACACTGCTAGCAAAGGATATTATCATGTTAACCATTGTAACAATGCTGTTAGAAGAAAATTAGATTGACCACTGCACAAACACTGCTAGCAAAGGATATTATCATGTTAACCATTGTAACAATGCTGTTAGAAGAAAATTAGATTGACCCCTGCACAAACACTGCTAGCAAAGGATATTATCATGTTAACCATTGTAACAATGCTGTTAGAAGAAAATTAGATTGACCCCTGCACAAACACTGCTAGCAAAGGATATTATCATGTTAACCATTGTAACAATGCTGTTAGAAGAAAATTAGATTGACCCCTGCACAAACACTGCTAGCAAAGGATATTATCATGTTAACCATTGTAACAATGCTGTTAGAAGAAAATTAGATTGTTAACCTTTGCACAAACACTGCTAGCAAAGGATATTATCATGTTAACCATTGTAACAATACTGTTGGAAGAAAATTAGATTGTTAACCTTTGCACAAACACTGCTAGCAAAGGATATTATCATGTTAACCATTGTAACAATGCTGTTGGAAGAAAATTAGATTGTTAACCTTTGCACAAACACTGCTAGCAAAGGATATTATCATGTTAACCATTGTAACAATACTGTTAGAAGAAAATTAGATTGACCACTGCACAAACACTGCTAGCAAAGGATATTATCATGTTAACCATTGTAACAATGCTGTTAGAAGAAAATTAGATTGACCCCTGCACAAACACTGCTAGCAAAGGATATTATCATGTTAACCATTGTAACAATGCTGTTAGAAGAAAATTAGATTGACCACTGCACAAACACTGCTAGCAAAGGAAATTATCATGTTAACCACTGTGACAATACTACTACTTCTTTTTATGCGTTTGCCCTCAACTTTTTCACCCACAGAATGCTCAACAACAAGGGGTCATGCACCCATAGAAATTTCTGAGAAAAATCCTTTAAAATCTATTTGACAATCACAGGTTTGAAAATGGTTTAAAAACTTATTTATCTAAATATTAAAAAAAAACATGTTTGTAGAAATATACAAAGATATATAAAGGGAGTAACCAATAAACAAGAGCAGAGTGAAGCACTAAATGGAATACATTTCCCAGGGACAAAAATAAATATTTATCAGATGACTCCTTCCGTTACCCAATTACTTCAACCAATGAGGCTTATGGGAAAATTTTAAGTCAACCTGGCTTTGAGAAAAAAACCACTCGGGTACAAGGAAACCCTTCCAAATGCTATATTTAGTTAGGCCTCCTAACATTACGCAGTCGCACAACTCACCAGATTTGACAATCTTCTTCTTCTTCACAGGTTTCAGTACAGCAATAGGACTCTTAGGCTGGAGGCTGGGTGACATCCAGTAGTTTGTGGCTTCAACATTGGCCATGTAAATTCTCAAGCTTCCATCTTCACACAGAAGTATCATAGTAGTACGATGCTGCATTTGCAAAGACAGAAAAATTCACAATCAAGAAGTTGATTATGCTAACAGTCAATGTCTCTTTTTATTTGTCTGTCCATCTGTCAATCAAATCTATCTATCTGCCTATCTAAGCAAATCTATCTATCTGTCCGACTCTAGCCCTATAACACTGTATGTTGCTGGGTCACTGAATTACTGTCTGATCAGGTCTTTCCATTTCTGATGATCAGATGTCTTGACAATGTTTTCATATCTGAGCCCATCTAGTCTTTCAGATTTGGCATTCAGGTTTTTGGCAACATCATGTAACAAATATTAGGTCCAGCTTAGAGAGATTTCATGTAGCAAGCAAATGAAGTATTCCAAAAGTTATTCTGCATAATAATAATAACAGTGTCAATCCTTCTGACTTTCAAAACCAGCAGTAAGAAGACAAGAAAGGTTTGGAACACATGCGTAAATCAGTTTCTATGTCAATAAAATATTCACATTGAATGCATCTTTTCTTAGCATAAAGCATTTTTACCTGGTCTGAGTTTGATGCTGGATGCCGGATAGCAACAACATCTTGAATCTAAATCAAAGATGGAGAAAACAAAAAATATTTACTTACAATGTCATTGATTGATGTCTACTCATTTTATCAACATGAGCCGTCATAGTCTTTTTCTTCTTCGAGGTTCACCAGCTGTAAACTCTGGCAGAAAAAAATGGTTGTTCATCCACTTCTGGACTGCAGTCCTGTTCCAAAACCTGAGTGTTGTGTGTGGACCGATAAAATACAGATCTGACTCATTTGTATGCAGACTGCTGGTTCCTTGCCTCTCAGGCAGATGCACTCCAACTTTGAAGGAAGCTCCCAGTTAGTCGACTCTTATGACATGCTTTTGGGTAGGCAGTGGGTCTATTTTTGTTTTCCCTATAACAGGGCCCCAGAGCCTACACAGGAAACCTGTGGTAGTGTAGTACGTAGATACCTCATGGCCCAAATATTCTGCAGCAAAAAATGACCCTGATATAACAAACTTTTTTTTTTTTAATTGTCATTGCTACCACTGTTTAGGGTGGCATAAGACACAGAGGTATTGAACCTGAGAATTTAGGGATGCATGGCTAGTGCAGTCGCCACAAACTATAATTTTAGGATGTTTATTTTCGTCTCCTAAGAAAAAACCGCCATCACCTTATATAGGATTTGAACCCAGGTCTCCTGAATGAGATACCAGTGTTATAACCACTCGGCCAGCTGCTTCTTTGCAGCTACAAGGTTATGTTCTAAATTTCTGCATATAAAAATAATGCATTATGATGGCTCACTTACTTTTTTTTAAACAAACAACAATGTACTTTTTCCAAGTCTGGTACTTGTAGAAAAAAATGTATGGAGATATTTTTCCAGCACAAGTTGCACACTCATGAAAGTAAAAATTATGGTAAGACCAATTTAGATAATGTAGCTTAACTTCGCCATTTACAAGCAGTTGTTTTTATTTAAACTCCTTTCTGTCTCATGTAGCTGAGCATAAAAGCAATTAATATTTAGGGCTGAAGTAGTTTAACAGAGACACCAAAGGTCAGAAGCAGGCAAAAAAAAAAAAAAAAAAAAATAAGATTCAAGGGGTTAATATAACACCAGTCAGTGACTGAAGGAAGACATCGAGAACATTATTCTTTCTTTGGAATAGCAAAGAAAAGTATGAAGCATTCTTTGGTATGGGAAGTGTTAGTATCAGAACTAGATTAAAAGTTAAAGCACAGCGTGATCAAGTGGAATGCCTAACCTTAGCTTTGGAGGGCAACACTTTAATCTCCTGGACCATGATGACGTCAGGCTTGATCATGAGCACAATAGGGTTGTTGGTGGTCTGGGCCATGCAGTAGAGCAGGCCTGTGTGTCCGGGCACTTCTGACCATGACACCAAGGGCTGAGAGTTGCCGCCTTTGCCTCCTCCATTTGAGCTGAAGAAAGAGAGTAAAACAGCATCTGGCATAACAAGCTGAAATATTTATGAAAACAATGAAAGAAAATGAAAAAAATGTTGAGGTAAGAAACAACATCTCAGTACTTGGAGCATTCCAATAAGCCCTCCATTCCATCTTCAGTATCTGTGCAGAGCTCCGATACTGTTGTTGTTACTAGCAGTCTGATTATATAACCATCTTGCCTTTCCTCTGACATTAAATGTCGGCCAGACCCCTGCTCACTCACTGCTGTACTATTCTTTCCCCATCCTGATGATGTATTCATTTTTCTGCATTGTAAGCATGTTTTAACATTTAATATATTGACTGCAGAAAGTTTTATACATTTTATTGTCTTCTTTTGAGCAGAAAGGGCAATGGAAATTCATTAAACATGAATCCAGTAATAGATGAAAGTAAAATAAAGGACCCTTTCTCCCGCCTTCAGGCGTATTGGGCATATAGGGCTAAACCTAGATAATAATAAAAGAAAAAACCATAACACTTTTTTTTCTATTCACTACGGTTCTTGTCATCATCATCTTCTTCGCTTTCAAGACTTTCAATTCCAGCATAAATTTATGGCTGTTCATTCACTCCTCTTGTGTTACAGGACTTGAGTTTTGCCCATAAATTCATTTCACAGATCTTGTTTCATCTGTGTGCAGACTTCAGGTTTCCTGCAGATGCACTCTGACTTTGCAGGAATCATCAGTGACAGCTGTGCTGGCCAGTCTCCCAGTTGGGAGCCTGTTTTTAGAATGACTGCGGGAAGGTGTAGATAGGTTCTATTCAGTACCAGTCCTGTTCCTGATGATCTACCACATATGGTCCAGCAGCTCTTGCATTTCTGATGTCATATGGTCATTACCCAAGATGTTCTAACATCCACTTACATACAGATAAGATAGAATGCAGGAAAAAACAATAGGAAAAAAATTAGTCAAATTGATCATCAAGTCTCATAAAATTTATCACATATGAGACACACATCTAACACCAACCAAAGAAGTTGCTACAAAATAATAAATAAAGTAAATGACCCTTTTCAAACCTTTGGCACATCAGGCATACAGTGCCCAGTCGGCACTAGATGGGTGATGTTGTCAACACCACGCCTGCCACCTTTACTTCCCACCATATTTTGGCTGGGTCGAGCAGCAAGCCAATGCCGAAATGGAAAACAAAACCCAAAAAACGGCTTGGATACGGTTTTGAACTCCAGACCTTCGGTTTTAGAGGTGAGCAAAAATAGCGCCATGCTAGGGGGACCTCGTGACAAAATAATAAGAACCAATGACATTAAACCAACCTCTTGAAGGTGATGGGAAATAAATTGGTGACTGTTGTCAGGTCCTTGGCAACTGGAGCAGCAAAGCTTTTGCCTGAAATATCAGTTTAAAACACATGACACTGAGTATAAATTATATTATATTGTTTGACACCATCATCATCAACATGTGTCCTGTCATTACATGTAAATGGTCAAGCTTCATTTTCTCATATGACCACCAGGACCCTGAATCAGGTCAGTGCTCTTGCCTCACTCAATCAATACAGTCAAGCCATCTAGGGATTTTTCACTTCTTCTACCCTTTGCTCTCTTCCCACCCTTCTTGCCAGTTGTAACCAAGTTCTTGAGTCCAATCCTTCTCATATATAACCGAAAAACTCTATGTCTAAATTCTATAATCAGTTTAGTTTTCATTCCTATCTATGTAACAACAGAAAAATATGAATTGTGGATTATTTCCCAGCCCTTAAGGGGGGAAAAAAACAGGGATTTTTGAGCTGAAATGCTACAGAATTTTCAGAATACCAAGGACAAAGAACAGACATTCTAAAAGATCTGAACATCAATGAGATTGGCTAATAAACAGCATCTTGTCTCCAAGGCAAAAAATACTTTGGTCATATCAAGCAGCACGGCAGACTATAAAAATAATAACAGCAAGATGCATGGTATAAGGAAAGAGGGTTAGGGGCCGAACGTGAAGATGGGCACAGGATATAAGGAACTCCTTCTATATGAAACTGCACAAGGCAGGAGAGCTGCCAAAACTGACTATTATAACAGTGACATTCTGCAAAGGACCTGCTACATGATGATGATAATTGGTATTTCATTATCACTTGGATCATTCAGACAATCTGTGTGAACAAATATTCAGTCAAGGTTCAGTGTAATAGATACACTGGATTATGAGCTCAGCTATCTAAGGTTTAATCTCCAACAATGATTGGATACCTCCTCTCATCAATATGCCTCAGGTATCGCCTCAACTCAGACAACCGTACCAGATATTCATCTAGTACATAAAAAGCATGACATTGACAGTTTACTTTTCAAACGTCTAACGGTTTTTAACACACAAAAAAGGGGAATAGGAGAAAATTATTTTAAAACTCAAGGTAACCAGAATAAAAGTAAGCGTACAGGACCTTTTCCACGTTTTTGGTGCATCCGGCATATGATGCTAGACTTAAATTTGACAGAACAATCATCATTCGATGGGTGATGTGGTCAACACCACGTTGGCCGTCTTTACTTCCCAGGACATTACTGTTTTACCCTATTTTAAGGCTGAGTACAACTAGCAACCAAGGTCAATTTTGAAAAAATAAATTTGAAGGTAACTAGAGACCTCAGCAAAAGTAATAAGAAGGATTAAAAAAAATTGGCATTCACTTAAAACTTTAGGGAAGGGGGGGGGGGGGGGGGGGGGGGTCCCAAATCTGTAGCACAAAAACATTTAGCATTTATTTTTATTTTTTTAAGGAACAGAATAAATGGTGTATTAGAATGTGTTAAAAAACACTGAGTAGACAAAAGCATGATCAAAATAAATTTGCCAGCATTAACAACAGCTTTAGTATAAACAAACAGAAAAATATAAGAAAAAACAGATGGGACTCTAACATTCTGGATTCAAAACCAATTAAATACAAAATTTTCAGGCACAATTTATGCTTGAAAACCAATGATGTCACACATAAAATTCCAAATCTTCTTGCATAGGGACAAGAAACATGTTCTGTGTGCAAACTGCTCCAGCAACGCTAAAAATATTTCAAATTGATAAATGTATCCACATTAAAATAGTGATAATAAATGAGAAAGAAGGAAGGTAAACCCTTATAAAAATGTTCTGAAATGTAGATCTGTATGTATGCCTTACTTACCTTGTGCGTAGCTGAAGAAAATGAGCTGCAGTGCATGTGAGTAATACACAGAGACACCCCCACCAGCTACTTGTCCATTCATATCCTGCAACAACAAAAGAAAACAGACAAGAGAGTAAAATAATATGAGTGTATGTTCTGAACAAAATAAAGTCAATGTATGAATGTGATACCTAAGATAGACCAGTCGATATAAGGAATTAACTGATGGTTTCGTTTGTCCCTGTGGGTTGTTAACCAAAGGTTTACTATACCACCCTGAGATTTAAAAAAACTCAATCTAGATGGCAGATCAAAAAAGGCATTTGCCAAATACCTCGTTCAACATACAAAGAAGTTATAAGTCAGGCTATACCATCCAAGTGTGTAACCTGCAGTCTTTTGCAGATAAAGATTTGAAACATAGGAATAAAGAATAACTAAGTTTTATATAATGATCCATAGAAGGATACCTTTGACTATCAAAGATAATCTCCCCCCCCCCCTTCCCCCCAACTCTATGCTACCAGTGCCAAACATGGATTAGTGTAAAAGCATAACAGAGATGAAATGTCTTAGAAGAGCTGCTGTAGAGATATAAAATTAAGAACAAAGAAATTAAACAAGGACTAGGACTTCTTTTGCGTTCATCCGAAGACAATTTTACTGTGCCCATTTAGAGCATGGCTCAATATTTGCACCTTTCGGCCGAAACATCAAACTTCTGCAGGAATTTGTCGACCAGTTAGCCTTCCCAGAGAAAGACTTGCAACAAAACAACTCATACAGCTCATTAAAGAGCAACAGATGAGATTGTCTGGCCATCTGATAAAAATGCCCTGGGTACCAAGTGCCACAGAGAGCCACTGAACACATTACAAAGAAAAGACAACGCAAAAGATGAAACAATGGCATAAAGAACAGCCTTAAAGAAATTAAGATCAACTAGTACAAAGCATCAGAAAGAGCTCATAGAAGATCCTCAACACTTCAATGAGGAAACTGGAAGAGGAGGAGCAAGATACAATGAACTAGTGGATTTTCACTGGAATAATCTTCCACTATATGCTAACATCTTTAAAAGACATACAAATACACTTTCTCCTTAAACAGAGAACATGCGTGTGGACTCACTTTGAGATCTACATGTTTCACTTCCATGACATTGGTGATGTAGAAGGGGCCATGCCTGGCCGAGCTAGAATCCTCCAGGGTCTGTGTGTAGATATAACCAGATGATGCCATGAGAACAAGAGCCCGACTCTCGTCATTGAATATGAAGGTCACGTCCCTGATTTTGCCACTCGGCAGCAGGAAGAAGTACTGAGGGCTAATAGCATCCACTCCGAGGTCATATATCTGCAGCAAATGATTGTGAAAAAAAACCATTAGATCAAACTAAACAATAACTACACCCAGTAAAGAAGTATATACATTAAATTATGCTAATTCTTCTTCTTCTTGTTTGGTTTGCTTGAAACATATTATCTGCAGGTTTGAGGTTTGAACAACTGATCAACATCATTGCACACGGGTAGGAACCCACAAGTGCACCGTTCTTCTTCTAACTCAAGCCTGAGCCCGAAGAAGCTCAGCAGTGCACCGGCAAGGATCCTGAAATACTTTGGGTAGATTTTTAACTCCAAATTTTGCCCAGGCAGCGCCGTTAAGCTACTCTTTTCAATTTCCAACTGCCAAGGGATTTTTTTTAACCTGCGCAACAATACATATAGGCGTCTGATCTCACCAAGGGGAATTGCTAGAAATAACAGTCCAAGTGAAAAAATTTGCAGCCATTACCGGGAATTGAACCCGGAACCTCAAGCGCTCAAGGCGGACACTATGCCTCAAGATCACACAGCGAACTTCAGCCTTTTTCATCCACTCCGCGACCTATAAAGTCTGGCTTCCATGTGCAACTATACTAATGATCTTGAGGAGATACAACTGGTCAGAAAGGTCAGGTTTCAATGGCAATTATGCGAAAATATGGCAGTCAATATAATAGAAGAGAATACTGGCAAAAATAATAATGTGTAAATTGTGCAGTACATTGATAAACTAGATTTTATTTTCAATCTTCAAAACTGTCAGGTGTTAACTGTGCAGTTGTAACAAACTAGGACTCTTTTTCTGCCAATGTTATAGCACTCATTCAGTGTTGTTAGACCCATATATTTAGAGACAAGATAACACTTGACTGGTGATGTGATCAACATCATCTGCCACCTTTACTTCCCTAGATGTTTCCTGACACCCGCTTCAGGCTGAGTCATTCAACCTAGGAGCCCCGCAAAAGTAAAAGTAAATCCCACGCCTTCAGGCATACTGGGCATACAGTGCTAGACCTCTATTTTATAAACCAATCGGCATTCAGTAGGTGATGTGGTCAATATCACGCAGGCCACCTTTACTTCCCAGGACTTTCCCTGGTACCAATTGAAGGCTGGGTTGACCTGGAATCAATGTCTTTTAATTTTTAAGTCTGGCTCCTTTTCCACTTGAACTCTTAACTTTCTGATCCGCAGGCGAGCGTCTAGCCACTAAACCACTGAGACTCCCTGGCAGCCCCGAAAAAAATAAATCTGGGTCAATGCTAATTCAAGCCTAAGACCTGGGGGATAATAGTCAAGCCTCTAGCCACAGCAGTATTGTGGCTCCCAGTTGCATTATCACAGTCAACTAACCCTTTATGGTGATAGAATTTCTGTCTCAACCCTAATGTTTGATTTTAAGTAGCTTCTTCTTCTTCTTCTTTGTTAGCGTTCACCGTCTATAAACTCCGGCAGAAAGTTCTGGTTGTTTGTCTACTTCTGGCCTTAGTCTTGTTCCAGAACTTGAGTTTTGTATGCATATTTATTTTACAGATCTGGATTATTTATATTTATATGCAGACTGTTGGTTCCTTGGGTCTCAGGCAGATGTACTCTGACGGAAACATTCCTAAAAAGTCAATTTTTATGACATGCTTGTCAGGGGCAATAAATCTACAGCCCCCCCCCCCCAATGGGGCCTCAGGATCCACATAAGGACTTTAAGCAGCAAGTGTGCTAGATAAATGCTATAAGAAACAGACATATAAGTGTGCTATAAAAATGCTATAAGAAACAGATAAATAAGTAAGGCATTAATTATTAAATCTCTCTTACCTTCACAAAATCCGCTGTGACTATCGCCAGCTCAGTCTGAGATCCCGGTAGCCAGATGGCCTGTTAAAACAAATCAAGTGCCCAAATAAAATCAAAACAATGCTACAACATAGGCAGTAATTCAATATGTGAAATACCAGAAAGAATATGCACTCAGTCTTCAAAGAAAGCTTCCAATTAGTCAACTCTTACGACATGCTTTTGAGTAGGCAGTGGGTCTATTCTTGTTTTCCCTACAATAGCGCCCTAGAACCCACACATGGAGAAATTGTACTGACATGTAGTAAGATCTACTGGTCTCTTCAAAACAATATTAAAGGGCTCAGTAGAGTGGAAGAGGAGAAGAGGCAGACTATGAAAGAACTGGAAAAGGAATTTAGCTCTCTGACAGGCATCAAACATGTCAGGGACTAACAGGTAAGGAATTTATACTGTTGTATCTGGGTGGCAGTTCTATGGTTAGTTATAAACACTCACTAACAGTTTTAAAAAAAGAGACAAAACTAATAAAAATGACATTCGCTGAAAGAATCAGACACACTCCTCTGATACAGGAATACAGAAATAGTAAACACAATATGAGTAAAAAACACTGAGGATCCTATGATAAAGTTAATCAGATGAAAACACAAAAGAATCATCCACAAGATACAAGAAATACAGGCAGACTTGAAGAAAACAAGAGTTATAGACAAAGGTAAGATAGAAGCAACCCAAGATGAGAAATTATAAGGATTGCTCAGAGAAAATTAGGAACACACACTACTTACACAAGAAAAGAGAAAACAGTAACAAAACTTAAGTACAACACACTGCGGATACAATGATAAAATCTATCAGATAACAGAAAAATAATTTTTAAAAACTAACCATAGCTATAGTGTACAAGGAATAGAGGCACACATATACAACTTATTGAAATCAAGATTTAGAGACAAAGATAGAGACAAAAGTGACAGAAGACAAGAAATTATAACAAGGTTTGGTCAAAGGGTGACGACATTAATGGCAGTAAAATAACTTACTTTAATAATGAAGTTTCCAGTGGCCAGTGATGGGTGAAGGACCAGGTGGTCAGCTACTGTTCCAGAACTAGTGAATGTCATGACATGGCAGTCCTGGAAGTGACATACAAGTTGTAACATTCTGCAAATACTAAAGCTGAGCAATTAAAATTGAATATTATAAACTAAAGGATTCTTGCTTGCTAAATACATCCAGTTGTTACATATGGCTGTTAGTCCTGGACAATTGGCAGGCAGGCAAAACAATTTCTTGAGACATCAGAGATGTAAAAAATACCTTGGACAGCCAAAAATAGCAACCAAGAGGTTTTGAATGAGCCCAAAGATAACTTCTCACAGACATCAGAAGGAGACAGTCATCATTTTTCGGCCATGTTGTGAGAAGAGGGAAAATGGGACATATGGTGACCACTGGAAAGATCTGTGGAAAGAGAGACAAAGGAAGACGAGAGAAGATCCTTGACAGTCTTGTTGTATGGCATTGAGGTGTGTCAGCCCACAAACTGATACATGCTGCAGGAGATCGTGGATTGTGTAGAGGCACGATTGACCACGCCAATCGGCAAGGCACCTGATGATGATGATGATTATATATTATGGACAGTTTGTAATATAGCTACTTCTTCTCTACATTTACTGGCTGCAAACACCAGCTGAAAGATCTGATTTTTAATCAAGTTGCAAATGGCACCATCAGTAGGGAAACTTCATTGGCTACTGAGAAAAGGGAAACAGAATGTATGGGAATGTCCTATGTGCAATGATGTTTGTTCTTAATTCATTAAACAATTTATAAGCAGTAATACCCATTTCAAACATTTTATACATATATTGAGGCAGCATTTGAACATTTCTCTTGTGTAGCTTATGTTTCTATAAACTAAATACTGACAAGATTTTTTCAAGTCAGAGACAAGGTGAGAAATCAGAAAGAGACAGAAACTTGCTGCCTGACTAGGAATACTCAACGACTAAAAAAAAAGAAAGAACTGGGCTTTCTTTGATGTATTTTTTGTTTACCATTCACTAGGAAAAAGCAATTAATTTCTTGTACGATCCATAGGATTGTCTACAGTACCACATGTCAAATGAAGGGATGACATACATGGTAATAAATAAGGTGCCTTTCCTCTTAACCATAGTGTGTGTTTAGGTGCAGTGCTGCACAAAATAACCCACAGCCTAAGCTGTCTACCTAGGCACAAATAAAAACCAGCTACTGAATTTCATGCACCTGCTGGGAGCACACCTGTTGTATCCTACAATATTTATGAACCTTACTTGTACATATTCAAAACCTGATTTCAGTTTCACTGAATGTAAAGACAATCTGGAGGTCCATACAAATATGCTAGCAAATGGAAGCCAGGAACTGTTAGGTCTGAAGTAGTGTCCATAATGTATTTATTTTTGTTGTGCATACCTTTAAGCCACAAACAGCCAGGTAATCCTCATTGCAAGGGTTTCCAGTAATGGACAGAACTGTGAATGGGACAGGAGCAGAGGACAGGCGCTGAAAAAAGAAATTGAGAAGATTAAAATGTGCTCGTGTAATTTAACCAAATTAATAACACTGCTGCACTCCAGGCAAGTTTACAAGTGCCGAGTTGATCTCAGCAGATAGACACAAATATGCAGACTAATTATACCTCCGAGACAACTGATTGTGGACATGCCTATATATTTGATCCAAATGCAGTCTCAAACTCAGTGTTGCATCTAATGCAGTATTACCATCTAAAGGTCAATTAAATATCTTTGAAACAGATCCCCCCAGTCTGAGAGACTGAAACAACTGTGACTAAGTTATTAGTAACTGAAACAGGCTTGTTCACTAAAAATGATCTGTCTACCTATACAAGCAACATGATGTGTATTTTTTTTTTCTTTTTCTTAATTGGAATAATCTGCTGTACAATGAAAACTCAATATCAAAAGTATTACCATAGCAGATATGTTAAACATACACACACAAAAATAATAATGTTTTGAAGCCTAAAAGCATATCAGAAATGTACAATGCTAGCCCAGTCTTGTTATACACTAAATAGCATTCTTCTTCATCAACATCTTCTTCTTCTGTGTTTGTCCATTATAAGGGTGACTGGCTAGTTACTGTTAACAGCTAAGCCTTTTTTTTTTCTATTGGCCCAACAAGTGTGATTTCAGCAAATCCTCAATTAGTCGTCTTTATGACAAGTTTGTTAAAGAGCAGTGGGTCTGTTCTTTATATCTCCCCCCCCCCCCCCCCCCCCCCCCCGCCCCCCTCAAGCCTTGGAAGCCAAATGAGGGATAAACAGCTTTCAATGTCTCAACTGGTCAATATCACACTTTTACATCCCGGAACATTTTCTGGTACTAATTTTTAGACTAGGATGATCTAGAAACCTAGATTATTATTATTACAAATCTTATCTTCCCAGAATTTCGACCTGTGTTCAGGCCAGGAGACAGGCATACTAGCCACTGTACTACTCCAACTCCCAGGATTCAGTCTTCAACATTTGTACCACAAGATGATGTTGGGTAGCCAGTTCCTTTTATCACTAAATTCCTTCTCAGATACTTCTTAAAATTATCTGGTCTCCATTTGATGAGTGGATCGGTCCCAGAGCCTAATTGGTAAGAATATTTCTAATCATACCATTGCTGAGAACTGGCTCTTCAAAACGTTTTGTGGAAGAAAATGTACCTGCATATTTATTTTTAAAAACTCTGTGCTGAGTGGCAAGCATTACTCCCAGGTAAAAATGTCCTTTGGATTTTCTCTCCAGGTCATGCAGGTGTGTTGGGAAATGAACAGTCAGACAGACTTGTTAGTGCACCACTCAGTGGTAAACTGATGCTCAATGAGAACGAGTGAACAGTGCGGAAGCACAAGCAGATCATCACTGTCTGAAGAGAATAGCGTAGTGGAGAGTGACCAAAAGATCTGGCTGACACTAAACACTCAGAGGAAAGGCAAGACGGACATACAACTAGACCGCAACTAGTAACATTGTAATTAAACTATGCACTGGCTGCTGAAAATGAGGACTGTGTGTTGATAGGAATGTCTCAAGTGCCATGATGCTGGTTCTTAAATTACCTAAACTCAACAACAAACAAGAAATCTATATGCTCACAGTCAGTGTCAGCTTCTTTTTGCTGGAGTCTGCCTGCTTGAGGAGAGCACTGAGTTGAAGGATGGTCATCTTCCCTTTCTCGTGACTGACTGCCAGATGCTGCCTCTTGCCTTGTGGGGAGGACAGCACACACATGGCCACCCGCCGCAGCATGTGGGAGGTGATCAACTGTCTAATGGCCTGGCCTTGATCCCCACTGTAATTCATGCGGACGTTCTCAAAGGCTCCTTCCTGCGAGCCTAATGTCACTGTCTAGAAAAGAAAAATTATCCAGGGACAGTTTAGAATAAATATATTTAAAATGCAACATTAAAAAATAAGATTCTAGATCAGTAGTTTTCAACCTGGGAACGCAAGGAAGTTTCAAGAGGGGCATTCCTGCCATATGTTAGAGGTGGGCGACCTGAAATAAGGTTGAAAACCATTGTGCTAGACACATACACACTTCAAATAAAGACATTATTTAAGTAATGAATGATCAATGCTGATTAAAGATGAGAGGATCAACATTGTTGCATCAGGATTTATCATGTCTGGCTCAGTCTCTCTCTACAGAGTAGATGGCCAACTGCCAAGTGTCACATAAAGCATCTGCAGCTCCAGCAATGACCCCCAAAGGGTCTCCTATAAAATCAGATTTGTGACCCAAAAGCAGTCTGAAAACACACTTAGGAACATGAGGAGAACACACAAAAATGAATTTCAGAGTGTAATGCAGACAGCTTAAACACTTCGCCACAGAGAAAGATTACCCAGAACAGTGTAAAAACTGGTAAGAATAAGTTTGCCACAGAGATGGTGAAAGATTACTTAGAACATTGTAGCAACTAGTAAAAATAGCAGTTCACTATGGAGATGTGAAAGGTGACTGAGAATAGTGTAACATCTGGTAATAGAGGTGGTGGTAAATGTTGCAGGAGAAATTTCTCTTACAAATATTTACAATCTTAAATTACTAAGAAAAGAAGAAGAAAATTAACAACAGTAAACTGGGAAGCTATTAGACAAAATATAGCAGAAGAGACCAAGGCCGATAGTGAGAGAAGACTGCAGCTTTGCATCATGAAATGTAACGAAAATTATAAATTGAAACTCTTGTAGAAAATGGGAGCTGTGATCATTCATGTCTGAGACATGGCAAGGCACTTGATACTAATGACAATCATGAAGAGTGTGATTTACATTAATTATTCTTCTTATTCTTTTGTGCTCACCCTTAAATGGGGTGACTGACATGATGTGCTGTGGTTTAAAGCTAGGCTGTGATATCTGAACCTTTCAACCCAATACAATTGATTTTAGCAAACTACTAATTAGTTGCCTTTTACAATGTACTTGTTGGGGGCAGTGACTTCTAATTCAATTTCTGTCCTTCACAAATGGGACCCAAGAATTCAAATGGATAGAAATAATTTTTAATGTGTTGGATAGCTACTGTCCCATACTTCAGAAACTATGCTATATACCAGTGCGCGCTCTCTCTCTCTCTCTCCCTCCCCCACACCAGATTGTGACCAGTACCATCAGTATTGGAACTCTGCGCTGGCTGCTGAAGATGAGGATGGAGCATACATGGGAATGCCCTGAGTGCGGTGATGTTAATTCTTAACTTAACTCAACTCTCTCACACACACACATATATATACACATACACACACATAACTATCTTACCATGAGCTGATCTGAAGTACACTCCACTTCTTTTGGTAGATTATGCAAATCCATCAGAGCCCGCTGTGCATTCATGCTGCTGCCTGCAAGAGAAGCCACCTGGTACCTCTGCGTCAGCACAGGTATAATTTCATCCAGAATGTGCAGGATACTGCTGACTGTGTCTGATGTTTTCTTTTTTTTTTAAAGGCAAGATATTTCACATTAAATCTGAGAATTATGGTGTTTTAAAGTAAAGTAAAAGAGTCTTTTCCATGCCTTCAAGCATATTTGTTATATAATGCTACATCTATATTTTATAGTCTAATCAGTACTCGGTGAGTAAGGTGATCACTAAAATGCCAGCCGCCTTTACTTTCCAAGAATTTACCAGGTACAGATTTAAGGCTGGGTCAGCCTGAGAGCCAAAGTAATTTTTATTTCCAAGGAGTCCAGTTTCACTCCAATCTGGACCCATGACCTTCAAATCCACATGTGAGCATTTAGTCGCTTCACCAAGCAACTTCCTGATGGTGTTGTTACTTTAAAGGAACAAACAACACAAAAAGTGGTTTTTTAAAAATGCAGTACCATAAAGTGACAGAAAGTCAGACAATTATTTTTTCTGGAAAGAAAATAAAATAAGCCCAAACTGGTTAAAATCCAAGACAGTTCCTTCTGTTCTACACACCTTCAAATGATTACGGATTGTTTAATATTAATAACTTACCAATGGTGAAAAAAAAAAGAAGAAAAATATGAAAGCAGAAAAAACAGAAAGAAAAAATACACAACTTCTGATAAAAAAAACTGTTTCATTTTGAACTTACTGGTGTGGTTAAACAAAATGTGAAATAAAAGAAATTTCTGTCCGAGTTTATTAGTTAATGAAACATATAAAAGCTGAGACTACAAACAAGAGAGTCTAAAGATATATTTACCAAACTTTCGAGAAGCTTGTCTTTGTATTCCTGAAAAGAAAAGAAAATAACATTATCATAGTTAGAACTCAAGGAGACAATTTATATTCTTTGGTTATGTCTTGAGAAGGAGAAAACTGGAGTATATTGTGGCGAAGGAAAAGCTGGAAGGGAAAAGATGCAGAGGGAGACAGAGAGAGATGGTGAACAAGTATGACATCACATTACAGAAGATCACCTGTCAGAACTCACAGAAAGTATTCAAGAAAGAAGGCTGTGGATAGATACGACTACCAATGCCACAGCATGGACTATAAGACAAAGTTACATACAGAGGGAGACAGAGAGAGATGTTAGACAAGTATGACATCATAATACAGAAGATCAACTGTCAGAACTCACAGAAAGTACACAAGAAAGAAGGCTGTGGATAGATACGACTACCAATACCACAGCATGGACTATAAAATGAAGTTACATCTCAATTCCTCTCCATACACACTTCACCCACCTGGCACTGTTTCATTGTTCCAGACATAATCATGATGAATGTTTCCACAAAATGGCTACCTATGTGACAAGCATGCGGTAGTACTAACATGACACAATGAAACCTTCAGTTTATACCTTCAGAATATACCCTTGACACCTGTTTATTTAACAATAATGCCCTAAGATCAATCCAGATTCATAAATATTATCAGATATTCTTTATTTTAAAAGCATTTTACTGACCTTGTACCTTTGTGTACTGTTTATTCTTAAAAATAAAAACTAGAAGTAACAATATCCTAGGGCTCAAGTCAACCTGAGAGCCAGGGTCTTTCCTGAAAGAAAAACCCCGAATCGATGCAGATTCAAAGCCCTGATCTTTGCCCTAGAGGAGGAGAATCTAGCAACTATAACACAACTGCTCTACAAAAGAAACCCTTAATTAATCATCGTTCAGGGCATACTTGTTGGAAGAGCAGTGGGTCTGTTCTTTATTCCTCATACACCCCTTTCCCTCCATCATGAGGCCTTGAAACCCACATGAGGATATATAGCCCTTAAGGACTAAAATGAACAAAATCACACCTTTGCTTTTCAGTATTTTCAAGAAAAGAAGCCTCCTATATCTGCAGGTGCTGTTTAAATAGTTAATACTACCAGTGGGGTGTCAAGTGTTGGCTTTGCATAGAAGGTGGAGAGACCAGTTCTTTTTCATTCCAGGGTATTTACATTGCGGGGTAGTGTTTTTTATTTCTGAAATTCAGCAAGCTCAATTGTGGTCTAAAAAAGATAGGCTGACTGATATATATACCTGTATCTGCTGATAAAGTGCCTCTCTGGCCTTGCTGATATGCTCCAGAGACTTCAATCCCTCCGATGGCTTTGCTTCTGTGTCTGGGGAGGGGGACAAACGTCGTCTCAAGGAGCTGTGGTGCTGTAGACTCTCCAGTGCAAATGGAGACTGAGATAATGGGGCTGCCCCGCTGTCCAATCCGCCTTGAGTTGTTCTTTTGATGAGTGCCTGAATAATAGCAGTCATATTTAATTTACTTTGGTAAATACTGTGGCAAATCTAGCATGCCAAAGTAAAAGAATAAACATATGGACATTATTTTCTAAATACTGTTTACCAAAAGTCACACAAATAATAACCTCCTTAATTCATTTCTCATTATTGGTATAACAGTGTCATGAGGAGTTACCAGGGGATCTGGCTGACGCTCAACACTCAAGGGAAAGGCAAGACAGATATCCAATCAGTTACTGGTGCCATTGGATCTGGAACTCATCACTTGCTGCTGAAGATGGGGATGCAGCGCTATGATGTCAATTCATAACTGAACATTCAACACTGGTGTATTATTCCGAGCGAGCAGGATGCAGACAAAGAATGACAAAACAAGCACTGAAATGGGAGGTTATGGATAGAGGAAGCAAGGTTATCAAAGAGAAATGCCACGATAAATATCAATGAGAGGGGTCAGATATGCCAGACTAGATTCCATACAAGAAATAGAAACAACTACAAGTGATGGAACAGAGAGGTGTAATCGACTGCAAGCACCATGTGACAGATTATGGGATAAAAGAATGATGATGATTGAGTAGGACAGGACACCCCCAAGATGCATAGTGAAGCATTCTTTTCAACTGATTCTTTTCACCTCTGCCTGCTGAAATGGTTTTATTTCAAGACAGTTACTTTTAGTGCAAATCCATGCTTTACAATCAATATGTCATTCTTTCCATGATGTGTCTACATTCAATATTTTCTTGTTTGCATATCTTTTTCTTTCGTGTTTACCGGCTGTTAACTATAGCAAGAAATCCAGGTTGTTCATCCACTTCTGGACTTTGGCCTTGTTTCAGAACATCTTTGCATGTAACTTTCAGTCAGTGAGGGGACTTCAAATTCTTATATTACCATTTATTATGTCCATAGAGAAGGCAACATGTTCAAATGGCATGTCATATACAACCCTAGTAATTCTTAACTAAGCAGTGAAGGAATGTGAATACACAGAAAAATGGGGCAACACAGTTGAAAGGCAAAATGATAAATACTAAATAAACTAGGGATGAATATATATACTAATTTCTATTCCAGCACACCCCCTCCCCCCTCCAATCCCCCCCCCCCCAATCAACCTATGTGCCCCCACACACATGCATGCACACACACAACCATAGAAACCTCCAATATAAGTCATTTACTAGAAGCTATATTTTACCATCCCTAAAGCTCTGCCACCCTGTGCAGCTGCACATGTTTCACATACTTAAAAAGGACTCTGGTTACAAGAATCTGCACACTTACCTTGCAACTGCCATCCTCCTTAGCTCCACAATCACAGAAGAATGACCCAAACTTGGCATAGGTCAGGTCATGGTCTTTGTGGCAGACCTTGGCACACACAGTGCAGACACCCACACCATCCACCATCTTGCAGGTGTGGCAGTGGTACCTAGTTGTACACAGATCAGAGTCAGAATACAGAAACAACTACATGGAGTCATTCATGGCAGGCTTCAAAGACCCAAAAATATCACTTGAAGGTCCATTAAGTTTTTGCATCAACAGCACTTACATAAAACAAGTTTTAATTCAAATACAGAAACAACGTTTATTATGGAGTTCAAGATTCAAAATTTGAATACAATGCTCTTCCCCTCTACAACGCCTTGTAGTAAAATTCTGGTGAGGCCAGCAGACCTTGTTATATGTCTGTACCCTTGCGTTTGCCATCTTTTCACTGCTGTTAAAAGAGGTTCATAGGTGGCAATGTCCTGTGTGATGATATGACAAACCTAATTTGAGGTGTGATAAGATCATTCAAACCAATATCATTCCCCGTGCTTGTATCTTCCTTTCAAGTTCAGATGTTAAGATTCACATTTCCCAGCCATATGTTAAGAAAGGTATTGACAGCTAGTAATCTAAGGTGTTATATTGATGGGTTTTTTAAATAGTAAAATTACAAAGTTAAAAAATGCTTTATTCTATGACGAATTACAACCTTACAACAAATTGTAGTTACAAAATTATTTAGCCCCCAGTTAAATAACAAAATGGCAATTTAATTAAATGTGCTTCTAAGCTTAGAAGCAATATAAACACTTGCCAATGTTGGTTCATGAACTCTTTCTGGGTGATGGTGAAAGTACACAGCTTGTTGTGCAATGTTTCTTCATCCTGTAAAGATAGAAATTCAATGGGATAAATTATAAGCAGCAAATTTTCTTTAGAAGTCCAAAAATGGCAGTCATCATATTTAATAAGCTTCCTTACAGGAAAATCTCCACACAAAATAAAACCAATCACAGAGCTATTCCCACAGGAAATGTACTGAATGACTCCATGAGTATGATCTGACAGGTCGAGGCAGGCTCGATACAATGGTACTAGATTGAGTCCCTGTAGAAGTTTACTATGTGTGGAGTTACCCTTATCCTTCTTAGCCTGAACAATGCAGGTGTTGTTGGCAATGAAAGAGATGACAGACTGGCTGGCTCTGCCACAGCTGCAGATGGCCAGCAGTGGATTGTGCCGACATTGCTAATGCCTTAGAGAAAGAGGGCTATAGGAGAATTTTGAAGGCAGAGCATTCATATCATAATTAAAAGTGTGAGATTTGGGAGTAAACATTAGCACAGCCAGGTACAAGAGGCCCCCCAGATGTACAAGAAGTCTTTGTCAACCAGCGGAGGACTGACACTAACACCCACAGAATGCTGATGTTAAAATAAGAGGAGAATCTGAGCACCAATGGATGTGTCAAGAGTGTCATGATGGAAACCTCAATTCCTAATAAAATCAAACCAATAAATTACACTGAGAAGAGATGCTGCCTCAAGTGAACAATACTACACATGGCATACCACTTTAGCTTTTTTTTTCTCCCCTTGTTACATCACATGAAACAGCAACAACCTTTTATTCTATTATGAAACAGAGGGGATATCCCTAAGTATGTGTTAATGAGTTAGTGAATTTCCACTACATTTAGTTTGCAATTTCCCTGTACATCAGAAGAACTGCACATTCACATATTAGAAATTGCTACAACTGATCAGCTAAATTTAGCCATAGGAAAACTACCACAAAGGGGAGACTGCTGTAGTGAGGGATTACAGACTCAACTTTCAGCCATAATAGAAGCAGATGAGACCTTTGTTTTTTGCTCAGACAAACTGGTCTTTCAAGCAGCCAAGACATGACATCTATGACAGAACCCATCTGATAGTCTTATATCTACCTCCAGGTAAGGCATAATTATTATAGGCATCATTCTTTCCAAGTAATTGCTGTATTTTTTATACCATCTCGGAACTGCTCCCTGTGTGTGAGAATCACCTCAGCCAATCCCGTACATAGGCCTACATCTTTTAGATGCTTTTTCCAAGCCACAGGTGTCAACAAGATCTGGTCTAATGATCTAATAAATTTTTTTTAAACCTGTTAACTGCTTTCTTGCCTCTGAGGAATATCTGGTATGGCACACTCTGTTAACAGAGCTTAGATTAATTTCTTGTATCCGTTTTTAATGTTTACATTTGTGTACCAAAATAAAATATGAAAGTGAGTCTTTTTCAAGTTCACCAGCTGTAAACTCTGGCGGAAAGTTTTGGTTGTTCATCCACTTCTGACTGCAGTCCTGTTCCAGAACTTGAGTTTTGCGTGTGCATCTGTTTGACAGATCTAATTTATATGCAGACTGTTGGTTTCTAGCCTCTCTTGCAGATGCACTCCGACTTTGAAGGAAGCTCCCAATTAGTCAACTCTTACGACATACTTTTAGGTAGGCAGTGGGGTCTGTTCTTGTTTCCACCTATAATAGGGCCCTGGAACCCACACAGGGATATATGAAAGTCTATTAACTTACTATTGTGTTACCAATATAAATTCATTTGTCTAAAAACTAACCGAGTCCTCTCCAGCTGAGTCATCATCATCATGAGCAAGATCCTCTGTCCACTCTCCCTCAGATTCTGAAGGAGGTATAGGTTCCCGCTCTAGCAGAGGTGAAAAGGATCTGGCTCTGTCTGATGGCCGCTTCAGTGCCCCAAGGATCTCTCCAATGTAGGTCAGAAGACAACAAAGTGTTTCCAATACTCCTTGCTGTAATTTAAAAAGCAATAAATATGATTAATTATACAGTTCAGATTTTGATTAAATGCTTGTTCTGATTATATAATTCTACAACTGTTCAAGTTTTGCTTCTTCTTTTCTCTAGATACTGTTCTGCTTTCCAGCATCTGGATTTAAAGAGGTATCTAGTGCGAATCTTGTTGTCTGCTACGTAGATGCTGGTATTCACTGCCTCAGAAAGTCCATCTATCCACAGCTTATGAGGATGACTGAACTTCTGCTTCCACTGTGTCTAAGTGAGAAGGTTATCTGTGGTGCACCATGCTGTGGTAGTCTTGACATACGTCGAAATCATTCATTCTGTTCTCTTGACGTAGTTCAGCACTGGTTCCATCCCAACTTGTTCCTCATATCATCATTTTTGATCCTGTCTCTTCTTGTTAAATTAGGGATTGGTTGCAGACATTTCATTTGTTGTTTCATTTCAGCATCTGAAATGTCTTTTTAAGAAATAGTCACTCCACACTACATGTGAAATTTAGGTCTGCATCTACTAAAATTGAGTTCTAACTTAACATAAGATTGGTTAACAGAAACTGAGAACTGGCTGCCCAAATCAGAAGCTGACAGTCTATATTCTCTGGTAATGTCATGAAAAGGAGACAACTGGAGTACACTGTGACAGTGGGAAAGTGGAGGGGAAGAGAGGTGCAGAAGGAGACCAAGAGAGCAGATGCTAGGTAGTTTGACATCATGGCATGCAGGATCATCTGAGTCAGAGTTGACTAAAAGACGGAAGACTGGATAGACATGACAACAAACACTACATGGCTTGGACTTTTAAAGAAAAAAAAAAAAGACAGAATAGTCACTCGACTTAAAAGCAAAGAAAAAGTAAAAGACCCTTTTCATGCCTACACAAGCATCAGACATAAGATGCTAGACCACAAACTGTATAGACAAATCAGCATTCAATAAGAGATTCAGCCAACATCACACCATCCTAAACTGTCTAGGGCATAAGTCAAAACACTTTTAGACAAGGTCAACAGCAACAAAAAGTTAGTTGTGTGTCCCTTACAGGACTTTGCAGAGCCAACCTCAATATGCTTCGGCCCTTTGTGATTTCACAAGGTAAGTTTGCATCCAGTAATTTGCCATTGCTTCTGAACAATCAACTCTTGATACCACTGTCAAAACCAAGGCAAAGCGATCTCAACATGAAAGCCAAGGTAAATTTGTTTCAGTCTGTATCTATGCGAGAGGCAGTGTGGTGTAGCGACTAGACGATTAAAGGTTGTGGGCTCCAGTCTGCACCAAGCCAGTGTTTTTTTGGGTTTTGTTTTTCAGAAATAACATTAGCTCCCAGTTTAACCCAGCCTAAAATGGGTACCAGGTAAAGTCCTGGAAAATAAAGGCAGCCAGTGCGATGTTGACCACATCACCCACCAAGTGCTGATTGTTGTATAAAATAAAGGTGTAGCACTATATGCCCAATACGCCTTAGAGTGTAGAAAACGGTCCTCGACTTGTGCCTCTAAGCGAATTTACTCCCATAATCAAAGGTTGCAGTGCACCATGTGTGTGGAGACCTGGCTGCAAGCTGTGGTTAGATACATGGCTGAAGGTATTTCAAAGCATTTTTTTTTTTAAATAACTGGCTCCTAAATAAACCCAGCCTAAAGTGGGCATAAGCAAATGTCCTGGGATGTAAACACAGACAGCATGTCAATGACCACATCACCCACTGCGTGCCAGCTGGTCCATTTAAACAGCGGTCTAGCACCATATGTCCAATGTGCCACAGGCATAAAAACAGTCCTATACTTGTGCCCCTTGTCTGTTGGAGAATTTATATATAAAAACAGTCCTATACTTGTGCACCATGTCTGTTGGAGAATTTATATATAAAAACAGTCCTATACTTGTGCACCATGTCTGTAGGAGAATTTATATATAAAAACAGTCCTATACTTGTGCCCCTTGTCTGTTGGAGAATTTATCAGCAACTACTGAGAATGTAATCTTACCCTTTCAACTTCATTGTTGATGGCAGCCTCTAAAGCCTCCTTTGTGGCTAACTTTGATTTGCTGGAAAATATAAAATATTAAAACCTTATCAAGTCTCAACAAATTTCTGCTATCAGTTAATCAGTGAGTTGCAATTCCAACTCTCCGACAAATGGGTCAACCCATAATTTTTCTGTTTATGCGTCAGCACAAACCACCCAGAATTGCCAGTGCTGTCGACAAAGGCAATAGCATACACACATATGCATAAGTCAGCTGTCAAAAGTGCCAACTCAAGCAGTCCGCTTTAAGAATAACAGTTAATTGTTAATGGAAACAGTGGTTACATCAAATCAGTAGTTCTGTAGGTAATATCGTAAATATCACTACGATTTCTGTGACATAGGGCCCATCATCATTTTCTGATTTTGCAGTTCACAACACAAACCAAGCTGGGCAGTCGAGAACATTCCAAATTTAATCAGCAGCTCACAGTGCTGCACCATGGACTCAAATCCGTAGCTGGGCCACGGAACTATATACTTTCAGTCGACACATTAGGAAAATGCAACAACAGCTAACCACATCTAAGCAAATAACTCGCCAAAACAGTCAGCCTGCCTATCCGTCATACTGGACTAAATTAGCTGTTTCTGTCACAGCCATCTAGTATATTTCAATGCATTAAGTCCAAATTTTATTTAACCTCATAACTAGACAGCTGTTGCTTAAATCTATTCAAATATGTTTTCCATATTCTTTTGCGCATATCCATCACCTCAAATCAACTTTTTTTCCAGCTGTAAGACAAAGTTAAATGCACAGCCTGAGATATAAAGTCTGCCTGATGAAGACTGCCCTGTTTTTTTTAGTAATAATGAGTTTAAATCTATTCTTCACCATTATATCACTGCTAGGCTGACCAGTTAGCTTCTCTACCATTCTTTCTAGCGGAAAACAGGGAGGGGAGACAGTCAGACAGAGAGAGCTAGTGGCAGACTGTGCTCTGTGTGTATAAGATTTTCATGTTATTTTTGTTCCCCACCATTATATCACTGCATTGAGGCAGGCTGATGACCAGTTTCTCTGCCATCCCTTTTGGAAAACAGAGACATGGAGAAGGAAGGAATAGAAGGAGAGAGAGTAAGGGGGGGGGGGGGGGGGGGGACACAGATGATGGCATAGTCTGTTATGTTTGTGTATAATTCAATGAGCTTCATGCTCTTCAATACAATATCACTGCCTTATGACAAAAAAGACAGAAAGAAATAAAGAAAAATAAGAGAGAGAGAGAGAGAGAGAGAGAGAGAGAGAGAGAGAGACAGAGACAGAGAGAGAAGATAGTTTATAACAACAGATTCTGAGCTGTACTTAATGAGATAGACATGACATGACACAACTTTTCCTCCTTACCAGATTTCCAGCCACTGTACTGCAGACTCAAACAGAATGACATGCCCATAGCCTGAACCAACTCCAGCCAAAGTCTGCAACACCATCATCAGATCAGGGAAGATTTGCAGATCTCCAGGCTGGCCAGATTCCAGGAGGGGAGCTGCCATAGGAATCAGAACTTTGAGGATGGCTGTCACGCCTTCTTCACCAATAGGGCTGTGAAATGTGGAACAGTGTTTTAAAATAAGCAAGCACCAGATCTTGATTCACTATTATTTGCCTTCTTTGACGAAGTTTCAAAACAGTGTGACTTCTGTGACAAACTGTTCACAGCTGCATCAGGCACACTGAGTGGTGCCACCAGAGTTCATTGCAGCCACTGAGAAACTTCCTACTCCAATCATACACTTGCTGGACTGACAGGCATGCATCACCAGTTTAGACTTTCATTTGCGATGATTTTCTATAGGTTTCACCACTTATTTTTCTTCATCATTCTGAGCCCTTGATGTTCATTGCTGCAGATATCACATGCCTTCATTCATCTCTCTGGTTGGCCTTCACTTTCCAGTTGGTGACACCAAGTGTGTGCAGGTCTGTCTGGACATTATTTCTCCATCTTCTTCTTGGTCTGCCTTGTGGTCTAAGACCATTCATCTCCCTTGTGTATACAGTTTTTACTTTTATCATCTGATATTCTTACAATATGCCCCAACCATTTCACTCTATTAGCTCCCATGATGCCAGTGATCAGTGGTGATTTAAACAGATTATGAATTTCACTTTTGCTTCTCACTCTCCATTCCCCACTGTTTGCATCCCCTTCACTGATCCCAAATATAAAAAACATGGATAACACAACTCCTCTCTGATGCATGTCAAATGTGGGTTCTTTAACCTGACATTATAATGTCATCATGTTCGTCTACGCCATGACATTGTGTGCTTATCACTCCTGACTTAATACAACAATAACTGACAAGTTACTAGATAATGGCATGGTTACCGTAATTTCTATCAAATGTTTATGAGACAAAAAGAGTTAAACTAATAACAGAGATACAGGGAACTGATGTAACTAGCGTTAAGCCTCTCCACAGCCTGCGATCTCCAAAAGCATGTATCAATGTATCAGTTCAGGTGCTGAGAGCCCTTAAATCAATTCAGGTGCTGATACCCCATGATAAAAGGCTGCCAAGAATCTCCACTCGTTGTCTTACTCTATCTCTCTTACCACAAATGTTTCTAGTGGTTACAACATGTTTCAGTTTCCTTGCTCTCATAATGTGCCACCCAGAAATGATGACCAACTCCTTCTTATGTTTCTGATAAGGTGTTTTCAGGCCCTCGCCTCTTTCAAGACATCAGGGTTACTCATTTGGGTTTTCCAAGTAATATTAAGCATTCTGGCGTGAAACCTTCTTTAAAAAAAAGAAAAAAAAAAGATTAAAGTCCAGAGGCGGACAAACGGCCAGAACTTTCCACCAAAGTTTACAACCAGTCAATGCAAAGACAAAGAAGAGAAGTGTCAATTGTATGTAAACAGTGTCTATGGAATGTATTCTCAAAACAAACCTTTTCACTTTCACAATGTGCTGGATAAGAGTGAGGAGAAGGTTGTTGTTTTCTCTCACCACAGAGTTATCAGATGAACCCTGAAACAAGAGTAACACAAAAATTCATGTTACGGCAACTCTATATAGGTCTCTGCTGAAATAACACTCTATCACACAGTTAAAGCTTAAATACTAATTCATAATAAATACTGTTTAAACTACCATACAGATGAAACGTGCAGTTATAAAAGGGTTGTTTAGCAAAATTATCAGGAATAACAAAAAAAATTCATGTTAGGGCAACTCTATATAGGTCTCCGCTGAAATAACACTCTATCACACAGTTAAAGCTTAAATGCTAATTCATAATAAATACTGTTTAAACTACCATACAGATGAAACGTGCAGTTATAAAAGGGTTGTTTAGCAAAATTATCAGGAATAACAAAAAAAATTCACGTTAGAGCAACTCTATATAGGTCTCCGCTGAAATAACACTCTATCACACAGTTAAAGCTTAAATACTAATTCATAATAAATACTGTTTAAACTACCATACAGATGAAACGTGCAGTTATAAAAGGGTTGTTTAGCAAAATTGTCAGGAAAAGGCAAAACAGAAAGCCGTGAATGATGAAGGCCTGAAAATACTGGCGTACTAACGCATCTGCCTTTAAATACTGTGCTGCAGTTTTGTATTTTACAGCTTGGTTGCGATATCTGCACCCTTTGGTCCAAAACATCTGGCTTCAGGAAACACCCAATTAGTCACTTGTTAAGTCATGCTTGTTATGGGGCAGCCGGACTATTTTTTTGTCCCTATAAATGGGGCTCCAAAAGTCACACGGGGGAAATATTGGCCTACTATTAAGTGACCTTAAATTCATATGCTTGATTAAAGGTTAGCCCCTGGCTGTTGTGTGAGTTTTCTAGGCAAATTTACGTCCAGTAGTTTGCCATTGCTTTCTGGACGGTCGGCTTTCTTGATACCACTGACAAAACCAACGCAAGGCCCGCAGCTGGGATCGAACCTGGCATCCCGGCATTACAAAGCGTTCGCATCGACTTAGCCACAGAGTCGACCATATGCTTGGAGATAACCCTAAATAATGGGCCTACTGTCATGAATGATTTGATTGATCAGTTCTTCCCCTCCAGGCTCCTACCGAAATGTTTACCATACCATTTTGAGATGTAAAAATCCCAATCTAGATGGCAGACAAGCAAGGTAGATCCTGGATACGACATTCAACCTCCAAAGAAGTTATAATTAGGTCACCCAAGCCAGCTGTAGTCTAGTACTATGTAAGGACCATCTCAAATGGAAACAGCCTTAAATGTGTCTCCTCTTCTTAAAGATTGAACTGTATATGTAAGAAGCATTACCTGTTCCTATTTTACCACTGCCCATTAGGGAAACAAGAACAGTATCACTGCGTCCAAGCAAGAATAACTAAGATAAAACTAGGGGCATTTGGACAGAATGGTGACACAATCTTTTTCTTGTTTTAACACTTTAGCTGTAAAATCCAACCACTAAGAGAAGTCTGCATGAGTTGGTTGAGAGCCTAAGCTCCACTGGATGATTAAAAGCAGGAAAATTAAAGTTTTACTTCAGGTATCATTATTTAACAACAATTTTTTCTTTAACAAACTGCCCTCTCCTCAGTGGAAGTAGCTGAAATGCATTCACTGTTAACTATGAGGATATTACGTGGTGAAGCCCCATCGTGTGGTACGCACTTCTGTCTTAAAGCCACGTATATAACCTTTTTCTTAAATGCCTACCATGGGAAATGTGGTTTAAAAAGGAAACACACAGAATACTACACACCTCTGACCCCTTGATAATCTTTGTAAACAGGTTCTGTATGTCTCCTTTGTCCAGGCTGGCAAGACCAGACAGGCTCTGACACAGAGCACGAAGGTTCTCATCTCCTGGCTCTCTCTCTGCTGTAAACACAGAAACAAAAACAAATTAAAGCAATGTGTGACTTTTATCCTGGAAGTAGCAAAGCACAGCTTTGTAAGCAAAAGAAATTATCTTGGCTCCCATGCCGGGCCTGCCTGAAATGGGTGTCAGGTAAAGTCCTGGGAAGTGGAGGCAGCCGGCATGATGTTTCACCCACAGAGTACCAGTTGGTTCATAGAAATAGGGGCCTATCATTATTTTCCCAATGCACCCATCACTGGGGTATGCAGATTCAAACCCAAGACATTCTGTCCATAGGTGAACATCTAGCTCAGCTTTACTTATGGTCTATTTCTTTTGCAGATTTTAAAACTCCATGCTGCAAAAACATATCTAGTTTCCACCTCTTTCTCTACCCCAAGTCCATGACATTCATTATTTTACTTCTAATCGTGTTCTTTCTACCTACATTTTATTCTTATATACCATTTGGTAATTTATCTGGATTTGCAGTCTATAATTATGTATACCTGACCATCCTAGCTACTAGGATGCAGAGCTGCTGTGAATTACATGTATTGATGCGCCAAGACTGGGGCTTATTCTGGTCAAGAGATATATATATACACTACTCTGTTGTCATTCTAGAAACAGATTCCCAACTGAGGGTCTGGCCAACATAATCAGTGTTTTCTTTGAAGTCAGAGTGCATCCGCCAGAGAGGCAAGGAACCAACAATCTGTACATAAATAAGCCAGATCTGCAAAACGGATGTGCATGCAAAGCTCACAAACTTCAGTAGAAGGGGACGACCTACAAGGACTTTCCACAGAAGTTTACAGCTGGTGAACACAAAGATCCTTGCTACAGATAAACTCAACTTTGCCAAACTTTGTCTTTATTGCCACCAAAGAACGCATGGTTAAATGCAGCAAACAAAATATTTTCTGCTCTTCTTATTCCTTAAATCATTGCAAGAGTTCCAGCAGATGCAGTGTAAATAAACTTCTTTCTTTATATACTGTCATTCTAGAAATGTACCTTGAAGTTGCAACAAAACTGTGGACACCATAAATCTTTGACATTTGCATTCCCTTCCATCCTCTTTGAAAATGGTGCTATGCAGCATTTCAACTGTACCTGGTTATTATTTGTATTAAAACTTAAACCAAAGTGAAAAGATCATTACCCAGATGGAAAAGCTTGTTGAAAAATTTCAGGATGCGGGATGTGTAGCTATCACTCAGGTTGCTTCTGGTAACTGACAGTAAGACAGATGTCAAGTCTGGAGTCAAAAACAGATCAAGTTAGTGTTCATTCTGGTCTTTCAAAACAAAACAAAACAAACAAACAAAAGTGAACAAATTTAGCATCTATTAAAAAAAGCAAGACTTCAATTTGAAATGAGAGTTCTGAAGATTAAAAAAACATTTGATAGTTAATGCTGTCCTCAATGTTAGAACAAAATCTGCAACCAACAAGTATGTTTTTGTATGTTACATAATATTAATTTAATACATAATACAATGTAATCCTATTGAAATACAACAAAATGATGCACAATATAATGTACTGTAACAAAGAAATTAAAAGCAATTATACTGTATTCTAACACAACAGCTAACAGACATTTATAACCCACTGACTACCATTAACTCTTGCACTTTCCCAGATACCATGCACTTTAGTGCGTTCTAAAAATGCCTTAGCTTCATGACTCTTTAATATAATTTGGTGATATTTTATATTTTTTGCACCAAATTGAATGGAGAACAAATTTCAATAACAAGAACTGCCTAGTCTTGTTTGATATCTTTATCATCATCATCATATGGCTGTAGATTTGTGCAAAAAAATGCAACCAAAAACATTTTTTTTTCTGACAGCAATATAAATTCCATAGCTTAACAACTATTTAACATAAAGCCATAATATTTTGCATTTCTGCACCAAATTAAATAAAGAAAACAAATTTTAAGAATTAAAAGAAGAAAAAACGGCAATAGAAAAAATGTCTGACTCCCAACAGAAAAAAAATGATGTTGAAATAACCTTGGATAGAAGCTCTGCCTAACTGAATTAAAATTCAGCAAATTCATTTATTGTTTGCCATTTAGCACCATTACCGGCTGATAAAGTATGATTGAACTGTATCAACCTCAAAAAGTCACACACAAAACGATTTTTTTCCCAAAACGTGAACAGTGTAAAACGCTTCCAAGTAAACGTCCGACTACCACCCCACTACTGCAAGCAAGATAAGGTTTTCCAGTCTTGACACAGTTTTTCATAACAGTTCAAAAGAATTATCAAACTCAGAAAACTGTTCAGAAATATCTCCACCTTCCCTTTCCGATTTAAAACAATTAAGACAGTATCTCATAGCTTCAGCAATATTCCCCAAACTTTTCCACCATGCCTGCCCTAACGATTAGCTGCCATTATCAAAACATTCATTTATGCGCCACAAACATGGGAGCTCATCAAAAATATATTTGGAAATTTTACTTTTAATTTTAAGCACTACTGATTTGTTTCCCTTAAACAGCCATAGCGAAATAAATGGACTAATGGTTTCAACTAGATTTAATGCAAAAGTCGTAATTTTAACATGCCGGCGAGCATCCAAAATTACAATTGCAGGGGGTGCGATCGTGACTGGTTGTCAGGCCCAAACGTAGGCAGATCACATAACGTACGGTCATGGTAGTTCTGGATACACTCCCAGAGGGCCCTTACAACATCTAGCCTGCCATACATCAGTTCAACACCATGTGGTGCAGAACCAACCAGTTTATCTCCTTGCTCAGTTCCCAAAACATGGGATGACCTGGAGAGAATATCCAAAGGATGATAACTACCCGGCACCTCTAAACTGATCTAGATAAACTTGAACATTATAATACAGAAATAAAAAGATATAGAATTAACAACAGCACGTGATTGAAAACCTACCAGATCCCTCAGTGTAGACAGCCTTGAATGCTTTTCTGGCAACTACTTTCTCCAAGTTTGTCTCCATAAACTTGATACACTCATAGAGAATCTTCTCATCCAGGCCACTGTGATAAACAGGTAAAATTAAAGGTAAATCCCATAAAAGTGGCTAAATAACTAGACTTTAAATACATTTATCCCAGCATTTTGTGTGTGGGAGCAAGTTTCTGTCTCATCCGTTTGTCAGAGAAACCTTCAATTTCAACTTTCAAGGTTGTTACACATTTTCTTAAACATGGGACTGAACCTGGACAGCGTTAGCAAGTTCAGAAACAGACACAGTGACAATGTCTTTAATCCTTTTGTCCCAGAAATACTGGACAGAAAAATGGGTCATGAACCCGTAGAAACGTCCAGAAAAAAAAAATTTGATTAAAAAAATACATTACGTAAATCATTTTAAAAATAGTGACTAGATTTAGGTTTTCCTGTGCGACAAGGTAAAGTGACCTCACCTTTCAGAATCAGAGAACTCCACAATGATCTGATTACAAGTCTGGATTGCATGTTTGTATGCCTTCTCTTCAAATCTCTCCCCTTCCTGTCGATCCAGAAACTTGGCTTTCAGGAATACCACCTGTAAGGTAGCAAATTTAAACATGAACAGCTGTTTGCGCACGTCAATTAATGAACAAAACATACAGAACTGTTTACACAGACTAATTAATAAACTAACTATGAGTAAAAGTTCACACAGTCCAATAAATAAACTAAATATGAACAACTGCTCACATGGGCCAATGATTAAACTAAATAAGAACAACTGTATATACAGTATAATTAATAAACTAAATATGAATAACTGCTCACACAGGCCAATAAATAAACATGAACAACTTAACTGCTTTCATAGGCCAATCGTTAAAATAAAAATTAAAAATTTTTTTTTTAACTGTATATACAGTATAATAAATAAATTAAATATAAACAAATGCTTACACAGGCCAATCAATAAACTAAGCATGAACAACTGTTAACAAAGAAACATTTATAAACTAAACATCAGGGGTTTCCATGGCTAAGTTGTTAATCCGTTTGCCTTGCTCTGGTTTGTGGGTTCATGTCATTTGGTTCGTGAGTACAAGATTTACAGATATCTCTGGAGACTGTCACTAGAACTACAGAGTTTATGCCTTGTGTGACCTTCCCAGCAGGCATCAAGCCGTTCTGCAGACAGAAACCAAGGCCATAAAGGTTAAATTGTGGCCCAATGAAGCTGATCCTCAAGATTTTGAACCAGGGGTGGGAAAACTATTGCCCAAAAGTGGCCAGTTAAGCAGATTTTACTGATTAACGCTCTAAACGACTACAGGCCAGACAGCAATTTGACTTCTCCTCACAGGAATGTGATTTCTCCTGACAGCATGTGATTTCTATCAGAAATACATCAGCTAAGTGATTTTATGTACTCTGTATTTGTGGTAGTATAGTTTTATTTAACTTTACTGATGAGGGCTGTAATTGTGGTAGTATAGTTTTATTTAACTTTACTGATGAGGGCTCTATAGCTGCAACGTTCAAATGTTTGTGTTTATGAAAATGTGCGGCGGACTGGTTCTACTTGTCGTCTGCTTTATATCTTAAAACAAAGATATTTCAACCACAGAACAGTCTACTTACTATATCTCCAAGGTATTCTGTAGTCACATCATAAATCAGTGGAAACATCACTTTCCCCAAGTCTGCAACGCTAGCACCTTCAGGACACCAGCTGTAACAGATATATAGCAAAACACTCATTATGGCATAATTAATATATTGTGTGGACATCTCAAAACATGATTATCAACCACAAATAATCAAATCTTAAAATATGCCTAGCTGTCTAAAACATGAATAACAAATGACAATAATCATGAAATGTGCCCAAAACCTGGATATTAAGCCATGCACATGAAATAAACTGGAACTAGATCTAGATCTTCGCTTCCCACCTGGTCTATATATCACAGCTTGCTGTGGTAAGGTCTGCTTGCTGTTGGCATCAGCATTATATGGGAAAACCATTTCATTTAATGTTTTCTAATATAATCCAGAGCTGCTGCAAACTCCCATTTTCCTTTGGATTTTTTTTATTTCTGACCTTATCTCTTTTTGTTCAGAAGAGCAGATGGATCACCACAGTCTGGTGAGACTGATGCAGTTGGGGGTGAGGACAGGTTCTGGCAGATGCTCGAGGCTCAGAGGAAAGGCAAGACGGACGTTTAATCAGAATGCTACTGGCACCGTTAGTATCGGAACTCTTGGCTGGCTGCTGAAGCTGGGGATGGAGCACTTATGGGAATGCCCCGAGTGCTGTAATGTCGGTTCTTGAATCAAATCAAATCAAATCTCTTCTTGTTATATTAAAAGCCATTTGCAGGATTCTCATTTCAGTAGCTGTCATTTTTCTGTTCTCTTTTTCTGTCATTATCCAGGACTGGCAAGAAGATTGTGTCATACAGTGCTCTTTGGAGATACCACAGATTGGCACTTTTTTTCAGCATGCTAGACACCATACTCAATGTTTCAAATAAGACTAACAACTTACAAATAATCTTGTAATTTTGTAAGAGTAAATGGTAGTGTGTATTTAACACCAACATCAACACCCACTATGTTAATTCTAGCAACAGTGACAGTCATTGAATTTCACAGATCTGTATTACCTCATTCATCAACAACTATGACAGCTGTAAGTTGCAGAATGTTAATGGTTCTGTGAGAATCAATACTTACACAACAAGATCACTTCCAAATCTGACCAGAGAATGCAGGACATGACGAAGAGATGCATTGATGCAGAATGGAGACAAGCCTGAAATGAATTTGACAAATTTAATCATTTACAAACTCGTAACACCAAAATTACTTCTCAACTTTCCTATCCAAACAGACATCCAAGCCCATCAGTCTGATTCATTTGTGCCCTGTTCTACAATGAAACAGCCATCTCAGTGTCCCCATGCTCAATGTGTACAGTAGGAAGTGACTAGCCTATCTTATTTCTTTGCTTTGCAACCAGTTTCTGCCTGCTTGCCCTTGTTATTTCATCTCTAATAGACTGTTCATCATCTCCGACTGCTTTATCTTAACATCTCTGTAACACAGTGCATTCAAAATGTCTACCCAGTGTGTACTTCTTCCTCCACTAACCACTGCAGACGTGGCCAGTCTGTCAGCTCTTTTATTTCCTTCACCCCAGCATGTACAGCCAAGACAGTTTCTTGAGGCAGGCCTTCAGAATGCTGTCAACCCATTCTAGTCAGAGTCTGCCAGTCTGGATCTACTTAAGCATGTGTAAGTCACTATAAAAGTGTTCCACCAGCTATGCAAAAGCCCCTGTGACAGCTACTGTCTTGATCACCATGCTAGATCTAAAATGAATGTCTGTCTTCTTTTACTGTCTTCCCATTCACCTGAGCAGTGTAAAAAACCTAATATCAAGGTGAAGTCAACATATATGTTTTTCTTCAGAAGGAATATTCCACATTTTCTCTCAAATTATACTGTCTGCTTAGCTCAGCCTATTAATTTTAAATTAAGAGTACAGCATGTTATTTCAAAAGATTACCATCCATATGATTTGTTAATTGCTGTGTGTGTTTTGAGGCCTCATTTAGGGAGACAAAAATGGAACAGAAACATTTCACCCTTGAAGAAAAAAACAGGTTTAAAAATGTGACCAAGGACTTACTGAGATCCTGTGTGTTGGTATAGAAAACGAAGCTATTGCAGCCTTGCTGTAAACCACAGCATAATGTACAAACTACCCTTTTAAGGTCAAACCCAGAAGAAGATCTGTTAATATATCTACTTACTGTATTATAGTGTACACTGATAATGTGTAAGCATATACTATTAATTATAACTTTAGTAAGTGTTTATGTAATGTTTCAATAACTGTTGAATTTGTTTTATTTTCATAAACTGTTATTATGGTCGCTCATGGAATCTGTCAAGTCAAAACGGTGTCTTAGATTTTTGAACTATTTTCTAATGAGCTACTCAGCTCAAACTGTGCCCAAAACACTCTTTGTGGATGACAAGGCAATAAAATGGTGTAATAAAATTCAGCTTTAACAATTTTTCCATCAGCAATCTGTGATTCTGATGGTATGAGATAGTAATATATTTTTTCTTAAGGAAAACAACCCATATCACATGGTGTTAGGACGGCTGAACCTGATAAAAAAATTTCAGTAAATTTGTTTTAGCACAAAACTTTCCCATCAGTTTTTAAACAAAATTTCTTGTATCCATTTTTATGATCACAGTCATATCTGAAGATATGATATCTGGATAGTAAAATATATTTTTAAGGAAAAGAACCCAAAATATCATATGGCGTTAGGACAGCTCAACAGGACAGAATCTTCCATGAATTTGTTTTTGCGCAAAACTTTGCCATCAATTTTTAAATAAAATTATGAAGATGGAGGAACCCACAGCCATACTGGCCAGAACCAAATGATCCTGCTTCTGCTGGAACTGAACCAGAACCGCTGTCGTGACAGCCAAATTAACCACTAAAGACATAATGGCTTCTTATGAAATTAATGCCCCTTCCCTATTCCGATCTGAAAAGCTGTTTTGACCTCCTGGCACTAACAAGCAGTAAGCTGGTGTTACTTTTACTTGTTCTGTTCTATGCTGCTCCTTTAAGTAACAGCTGCTTGAGTCTGAGAAGTTGAAATAATAACACTAGGGACAGGAGGAGTTAAGTGAGAACATAGGCCAAAATATGCGAGTACAACTGGACTGGCCATAAGAAGTTCAGGAAAATATATCATGTCAGCCAACACCAACGAATGCATGGTGAGCTATTAGTCTAGGTACCAAATAAGTTAATCCATTAATCCAGCAGATAAACTAGGTTACTCACCTGACAAGGTGACCATGTGGGCACTGTGGATAGCATCAATATAACTTTCACTTGGGATGGCGTCAGCAGCAAATGCATTTCTCTGTTAAAGAAATAGTTTTGTTACCGCACAATCATGTCGCTAATGTAACTGTTGTTTTGCTCACATCCCGCCGCATTCTCCACTTTACTGGCTCACGTGTTGCCACACACAGCGACAAGGATTTGTCCTCAGACTTGTGCTCCAGGACACAATAGATGTTTGGAGAACTATTTATCGACTATCGATTGGCGATTCATTGATAGGAAGAGTCATTTAAGGTTTAAAAAAAAAAAAACGTTTAACCATGTGATGTGTATAAACCAGTGCTTATGTAAAACAAAAAGACAAGTGTAGACTCTTATAGCCTCTTTAACAACTTCAGGTAAGATGGAGATATAAGATTCTGCTTCTTGCACTTCTGTCCACCTCAATCATAGACACATCATACTGTTGTAGAGTTTCTCTGATGTTATCTTTCCACTGTGTTCTTGGTCTGCCTTGTGCTCTATGTCCTGCTCCTCTTTTGATGTATGTCTCGTACGTTATGGCACCACAAGTGGGCAAACTATTTCATTTCATTTGCTGTCTTTGTATGTAATTTAGAACTGATTATGTGCCGAACTGATCTCTTAGGACCTTTTTTCTGATTTGATCTCTTCTGATCACTCCTGCAGCCCTTCTAAGACATCGCATTTTCATGGTTACCAGTTTGTTAATAATTTTTTTTTATGATTTTATTTTATAAATATGCAAAATACAGTTTCATTTTGGAGTATTTTCACATTAGTTATATCACTCAATTAGATTGCTTTGTGATCTCCCATTACAAAGAGCGGAAGCAGAAAATCTATCAACCTGCTAGTTTCCCCAGACACACACATATCCTGAGCAGAAAATTAACAGCATATTCTAAGCCTGTCTTGACAAGTGATGCAAGCCACTCTACAAGCTAGCGTATTTACTCTTTTCCAAAGCATGCTCTATAAAGCTAAGAGATTAACTAAGAATGCTTTAAGCATCTTCACAACAGAATTAGTCTTCTGCATTTAACACCAGACAGACGGCCAACAACATAATTTACCAAATAGCCAGTTTTGAAGCAGATCTGGTGTGTCCTTCTATTGTTCTACTTCTTTCTATGAGTGCCGATCAACAGAGTATGTTTGGTTGTTATATATATATATATATATATAATTTAGAGGGCCTAAAGTGTCCTATCTCTGTTCTAGTAAATTTAAAGCACACAAATTGAAATGCACATAAAAAAGCAACTGATATTACACTATTTGTACCAACTTTGTGCTCTCAATGACAGATATAGACAGTCCTAGGAAAACTTAAATGCAGTATTACAACTTGTGGGATGAGATGTATTAGAAACGCGGCAGGAAAAACAAGAGACAGAGCAACCAACAAAGAACTAAGAACAATGGATGTCACAGTACGGATAAATGATTTCACGGAACACCAAAGAATCAAATGGTTCATTTATCTGGTCAGAATGGAACAAAATCAGCCAGCAGCTAGAGAGTACTACACGAGAACAGCAGGTTACAAGTAACGAGGCACTACAGAAACATAATAGGACATTAACACAAGCTATGAGCTACACAACTAGGAAGATTCAAGACAGAGTTACGTACCCATGCACCCATGCTTGGAAACTCATTTCCACCACTGTTGTTCCACTTGTCCACTGCATTCCTGACAGCACTGGGTAGTAGTCCAACCACACTGGAACCCAAACCTTTAACAGCATTGGAGTGGTTTGAACCAATGCTCAAGACCTTGCCAAAGGCTTTCAGCCTCTGACTGGTCAAACTTTTGTCATCAGTGCTTGACACTTTGCTTAGAATACATGATCTGTGGACATAAAAAATAAATGAATGGTGAAATCTAAATTTACAGATACAGGAACTAAAGCAGTGGTCTCCAAACAGGAAAATCTGCCTCCATTTGGATTTAAACCTATGACCATCGGGCCAAAAGGCAATGGTACTAAAATCTTGGGTTCTACTTTAACTAACAGTTTTACGGAGCCAGTGCCTTAACAACTTACACATTTTTACATAATCATCAAGAGTCAAATGTGAGGCTGTGAATACAGGCATCTAAGCAGTACAGGTACTTCTTCAAAACGTAACTCTGAAAGGTAGAACAGGACTAGAAAAAAGAAGTCAGTTATAACAAATACAACACTTAGGCTCACCTTGCAAAAGCACTAAACGCCTCGATGAGGGTGAACACTGCTGGAATCAGATCTTGTGTGAAAGTCATGGCTTTGCTGGGATCTGGGTCCGTCTAGAAGACATTTTCACACAATAATTAACTCTTTCAGTACCAAACACATGATATTTTAACTCATTCTATCCACTGCTATTCTAAACTAATAACTGTTGTGTCTAAAGTGAAGTTTAAATAATAACCTTATTGGACAGCAAGCGTTAAGGCACAAGGAGGTAAGAAAAGCATTATGCATGCATTTATTTAAAAAGTTCCAAGTGAGCTGCCTGTTACTGAATAAGTTAATTTTTCTGTACCAAGCAGCGTACCATACGTTTACTGATTGCTCCTTAAGCAATACAATTTTCTCAACTGAATTTATTTGATTCAATTGTGAACACTCCTCTGCCTCTGTGGCTTTGGACAATCTGTCTTGTTTTGGTTTTGACCGTGGTCATGAGAGCCGACAGTTTAGTAGCAATGGCAAACTACTGAATGTAAAATTTGCCTAGAAAAACCACAACAGCCGAAAAATGCTGGGGTTGGTTCTGCAACGTCCTGTAAAGGATTCACAACTAACTGTTAATATTTCAATTACCGAATTGCAACTATCAGTGTAACCCTATTCAAAGAGGATATAACTGCCATCCAGCATGAAGCAGTTTAATGATTTATACAAAAATAATAATATAATATATATATATACTCACACACACACAAGCGCACGTGCACGCACGCACACACACAAAATCAATAATGTAAAATTTTATATGTGTGTGTGTTCAGTACATAAGTTTTCTATATCCGACAATATGACAGACTTACTGTAACTTTAGTGTATGTGTCATCCAGTGAAACTTGACATTTGGCCACAACAGCGTCGAGAATAAGGATGTCTGACATGCCAGGAAGATCTTTCGGACTAGGGTCATTTGTGGCAATGCAAGGCAGTTTGGAAATCTGAAGCACATCACAATGTAATAGTTAGATGAAGACAATAAATCAAAGCTTAAAAGAATAATTTTTATTAATTTTTAAATTTTTTTTTACAAAACCATGTCTTATACATCATAAATTTTTTATTCCGTGGCAAATGATGCATGAAATCCTCAATAGGCAAACATAACTGTTACTGTGAAAAATATTAAACTTTTTAAGTCGGCTCTTTGCACAAATATGAAAATCGGGAGAGGAAGCCATATGCAGACCACCAGAGTCATAAACAACTAAAGTGAAAGAGTGGGAAGGAAGTTTTAAAAACATTTTTATTGCCCTAAACAACTTAAGTGAAAGATAAAAGGTGAAAGCAGAATTAGTACACACTCAGATAAACCAGACACACAAAAACAATGCAGTCTCTACAACATGAATGCAATAACACATTAGCTTTTTTAGACGTTCTGAACAGACTAAGGGAAGATGGCACTATTCAAAGATCAGTATATAGGAAAGACATATGACAGGCCAGTACATGAATTTTAAGTTTTACACCCATCCAATATAAATGTGGCCTAGTGCAAACATTATTTAACTGGGCTAGAAAGATTTGCTGCGTAAAGTGATACGCTACAATCAGAAAAAGAAACTCTCAAGAAAACATTATTATTATTATCCAAATGGATTTATTAGGCACCACTGCCAACCTCCAAAACCAACTACTACAGAAAAGTCAGTCATGAAAAAACACACTCAGTGCATACTACTACTCAGTAAGCAAGAGAGAGAAAGAGGGAGAGAGACTGGGAGAGTTAACTAGCCTGGTCCTTAATGAAATAGTATAACAAGCAGAGACTGTTAAAAAAGTCAAACTAAGTCGGGGCAACTACAGTGAAAGAGAAAGAGTGACCTAAAATAAAAATGAGTCAGAAGAAGCTAAAATCAGAAGGAAAAAAAATGTCAAAAGGAACGATCCCCGTGTGGATTCCTGGGCCCTTTTATAGGGAAAACAAGAAGAGACCCACTGCCTACCCAAAAGCATGCCAAATGAGTCGACTAATTGGGAGCTTCCTTCGAAGTCAGAGTGCATCTGCCTGAGAGGCAAGCAACCAACAGTTTGTATACAAATTAGTCAGATCTGTCAAACGGATGCACACGCAACACTCAGGTTCTGAAACAGGACTTCAGTCCAGAAGTAGACCAACAGCAGGAACTTTTTGCTGGAGTTTAAATGTGGTGAACGCGAAGAAGAAGAAGAGAAGGAACGAAAGTTTTTAAAAAAATCAACAAACTATATTGGATAACTTCTGAAAAATAAGTGCTGGTGAATCGTCTGGAAATGATGAATCATCAGGACATCAATCACCAGAAACTGATTTACAGAGATAGAGAGGTAACTAACCTGGTCCCGTATGTATCCCATTGCCAACATGACATCATATCTGCTTGTATTGCTAAATGCTGCTGCTGTCTTCAGAAGCTCACTGGCATCAGCTGCACTCAAGCCCTGCTTCACCAGGCAATCCTGAAAGTAATTCAACAATTTACTAGACTTTTATACAAAAGCAACAGCCTAGGGCCTGACACCAGAAAACAAACATGTAATTCTGAGAATGTGCCATCACTGGGGCAACTTATGAATAGGGGCCATAGACGATTATGCAAGAAAAGTAAAGGACCTTTTTTTTTCATACCAGTAGCGCATCAGGCATATGTCAGACCCATATTTTGATAGACCAACCTCCCGTGTGAGTTCGAGAGCCACAGGGGGAGAATAGACCCATTGCTCCCCTCCCCCAAACAAGCATGTTGCAAAAGGGGACTAATTGAGAAGTTAAAACTGAATGTAGATAATACAGCCTTGCTGTAAACCCCAACACATTTCAAGTGCGAACAAAGCAGAAGAGAACAGGCCAACTGATGGCTGATGCGGTTACAATCATGCCAGCCACCTATATCTTCCAGAGACATTACTGGTACCCATTATAGGCTGGGCTGACAAGATAGTCAAGATTTGTTTTCCTTATCTGCCCAGTGCGGTCAGCAGGCAAGTATCTAGAAGAATGTTTTCTTTACCTCCTCTTTTACTAAGTCAGGTACTGAAGGAATGATATAAAACCAAACAAAAAGTATATCAGCGAGCTTCACACTTCATAATATAACAAACACATACAAAACGTGAACGTTGCGGATATAGAGCCTTCGTCAGCAAATACATAAATCAAACATAAATCACATGGAGACGCAACATCACTTAACTTACGTATCCATATGCAGCCACGTGGATATCTTGCCAGTGCAATAAATGGTGCTGAAGGAAAAAATTGGCTCTTGTTTTTAATCCTCTGGCTGCCCTGCCCATAAGCACTTGAAATACTGCAGTTTCTCTGAAGTTTTCTTTCCACTTTTTTTTTGTAAAGCTATTTGTCCCTATCCTCTAATATTATATGCCTTGTTCGATATGTCATCGCAAAGCATTCTAGGTGGCCAAACCATTTTTTTTTTTTAGCTGCCTTAAAATGTAACTCAATATTTGTTCTATGTAAGCTTTTTCTTTCACAACCTCATTTCTGATTTTCTTCTGATCACTCTTACAGCTTTGCTCAAACATCTCATTCCTATGGTTACTAATTTCTGTTGCTGAATAGTTGTAAGTGACCATGTCTCACACTGATAGCAAGGGGTGAAGATGCACATACTTTGTAAAAAAGTTTCTCTGTGCTGACCAGTGTGCTGACCAGGACTGTCTTTCTTACTTTGTAGGAAGCGAGCTAGTGGTCCCAGCAATCAGTTTTCAATTTCATAAATGTAATTATACCTGGATCCACGATGAGTAAGCCTTATGTCCAATCCGAGGGGCCCATCGTAGAGTGTGTAGCACATGAGCTCGTCCCATGTTGAGGGCTGTGTCACGTAGGAGCTGAACATACTCCACAGAAGGTGGCAAACATGACAGCAAGCGCCACAACAGCAAGAAGTGATAGTGCATGGCAGATGTGTCCTGGTTCACAGTGGGGGAAAAAAAATGTTATTAGGTAAGTATTTGGGTAATGACAATGACTAAAAAAAACAATTTTTAATCTTAACTGGATAAGTATATTTTTTTTAATTTGTTCACACAAGAGGATAAGCATATGCGAGAAAGTAACAATTTAAAATCATTAGCAACTCTTTATTCAGTAAAGTAAGTTAGCCAGTCAACAGAAGGCATATTAAACTATTCAGTCCATAATTGCCTTGATTTCCCTACACTGTAAATCCTAAAGTGTGTATTGGCTGATGACACCAGTTTTGTGTTCATGTATTTTTTTTTTTCATGCTTCCTGCGCAGTGCTTGCCTGACTTCATCCCATATAGCTTAAGGTTTCAGCAGTCTGATTAAGGTTGCAGATTCAGTCTTTACCTGGTTCTCAAATCTTGTACATCATTCAGTATGTCTAGTTTAGTCGACAGATCAACATCATGGCAAACTGGTGTAAACCCATAAGTGCTCCGTTCTACTTCTAACTCAAACCTGAAGACTCTCAGTGCAGTGCACAAACTCTGTTACACCCGCAAGGATCCTGAAATACTTTTGGTTAATTTTTTAACTCCAAATTTTGCCCGGGCAGCTCCTTTAGGCTACTCTTTTTTGATTTCCAAATGCCAACGCATTTTTTACGTGCACAGCAATACATACTGGCAACGGGTCTTGCTACCCAGAGACCAGAAGTCCTTGTGAAAAAAAAACAGCCTTCACCAGGCTTTGAACCCGGGACCTCCAGCACTCAAGGCGGATGCCATACCTCGAGACCATGCAACCCCCAACATCATTCAGTATAGCAGCCTGATCTATTGCTTATATACCTTCCACAGTAGCCTTACCTGCAAGCCTATCAGTTTATCTATTGTCTTTTGCACCTCCCCCAGCTGGCCCCAAAATCCCCCCAAAAAAACTGATCTCTGACACCTGTTATCACCTCCGAGACTCCAACCACTATCTGTAGGCCCAGCCCATTTCTATACTGAAAGATACTCTAATGATAATAATTTATCATAAACAGAAATTAATTTCATTTATTCACAAATTAATGGAAGGAAAAAATATCTACACTTAACAAATATAAGAAATTAATGTCATATATTCACAAATAAATGAAAGGAAAGAAATATCTACACTAAATCAACAAATATAAGAGAAGTTTGCCTGAAATCACTCACCAGAGGTGAGAGTTTGTCTTTGGTTTTGTCACACTGAGAGCCGGCCATCAAAAGTTTGATACAGGAGTTGTACAACTGGTTGTAGTTGAGTACATCTTCACGGCCCAGGAGGACACTCACAGCCTACAAGGAATCATATACAACATGTAACAAGCTGGCATCATTCACAACAAAATGTTTCTAACTGGAATCATAAACAAAGTGTGACAAATAACTGGAATCATATGATGGAGAGGACAAAGAAGAGAGGGGGCAGGAGGGAGAGCTAGAGAGAACGGAGTAAGGAAAGGAAAAGAGGAAGGATGGAGAGAGAAAGGAGAGGAGAGGGGTAGAGGAGTGAAAAATCAAAGGAAAGAGAAGGGATGATAGAAGAAAGACATGGCATGGGGGGGGGGGGGGGGGGGGGGGTGGGGGGGGGGGGGGGGGGGGGGGGGGGGGGGGGAGAGAAGATAGAACAGGAAAGGTGAGGGTTAAAGGAAAGACAGAGAGAAAGAGAAAAACTAGGAGAGAGAGAGAGAGAGAGAATGCAGAAGACAGGAAGAGAAAAGAAGAGGGAAGCCAAACACCAAGTCCGTCTCTAAATAAATAGCTAAAGTCAGAAGTGCCAAACACACTATAAAGATAAACCATAAATAGAACTGGGAAATCCAGCTGACATCACTTTGCTAGCCCCACCAACTCCCAGTGTAATCATGGCTTCTAGAAACAAAGGCACACAAGGGGCTGCTTCCATCTGCCCCATGCCAGCCATACAGCTGCTGTCTGCGAGTATCTGTGGGCTGCAACTCAGCTCGCCCTTCCATAGCCCTTAACAAGCCATTTCAACTAAAAATGGTTGATAATCAACTGCCCAAACACTGTAAACTACCGTAAATACCCAAAATAAAGGTAGCCAAAAAAAGCCAAATGGCCTAAATTAATAGCCAAATGGCCAAAATTAACAGCCAAATGGCCAAAAATCACAGGGTTTCCATGGGAGTTTATTTTACTTCAAATCTACCATTGCCTTTTAATTCTACCATTGTCAAGGCTAAAATTCCAGGTTTATCCAGGTCAGTATATCGCTTCCAAGGTCAAATTTCAGGTTCAAGGTCAAGGTACCAATTTCAAGGTTATATTTAAGATTTAAGGTCGGCTACGAACCCTGATACACAAAGTGTAACAACTGGAATCATACACAAAATTACCAACTAACAGAATCTCTACGCACGGGGTTGGCAACCTTTTTTGCTTGTAAGTCTCTCTCACACACACAGACAGAGAGAGAGAGAAAGAGAGAGAGAGCGCATGCTGAAACATATTAAAATATGACTGGCTTCAGAAAACAAAACTTTTTCCAAGATAAAGGCTGCTCCAGCTTTGCGTTCACTTGGCCACATCTGATAATACAAACAAATTATTTAGTTTGTCTAAACACTCACCAGACCATCAATTTTCACCACTTCCTGGATGTTTGGATCAGGTGGGCAGAGATGATAAAATCTGGGTTTAACAGCCCCTGCTGGGAAAAACAAACAAATCAGCCCTACTTGAATCACCATAAATCAGACTAACAAATATGCTCATTTAAAGAAGAAAAAAAAGGAAGATAAAGAAAAAAACTTTTTTTGTATGTCTTCAGGGCTATTGGGCATAGTGCCAGACCTGTAATTTTTATACCTATCAGCAAGTGTGTGGTCAACATCATGCCAACCAGAGTCATCACTAAAAAATGACAGACTCCCTTTGGATTTAAACCCATGACCTTTGGATCAACAGGCGAGTGTCTAGCTGCTACATTCTGGCGGCTCCAATATTGCTTATAAGCAAGCAATTTTTTTTTTTACTTGGTCAGTTTTCTTTCAAAGAAACTGACATGATGAATGCATCATATTTTATGTAGGTAATAAGGGACTACCTTTAAATTATCATCATGATCATCATGTAGCAGGTCCTTTGCAGAACGTCACTCTCATCACAGTCTGCCTGAAAGAAACTCAGTCTCTCGCCAGTTTTCCCACCTCATGTACTTTCATACTCAAAGAATCACTTATATCTTCATGTAGGTCCATCTTCATGTAGGTCGGCCCCTGCCCCTCCTTCCTGGTACCACGCCTTCTGCTATAAATTTTTCCAATTTATTGTGGTGCTTGATATAACCAAAATATTTCAGCTTCTGAGACAGGATGCTGTTTATTAGCCAATTCTCCTTGATGTTCAGGTCTTTCAAGATGTCAGTATTTCTCATCTTCTTTGTCCAAGATATTCTGAGAATCTTTCTATAGCATTTCAGCTCAAAAGCCCCTATTCTCTTTCCTAATGACTGAGAGATAGTCCACGACTCACATCCGTATGTAGCCACAGGAAGAAAGATCATTAAATTATATATTTAGCAATTATGGTGTTTTAATTGTTATACTATGCAAGGTATTTACAAACAAAAGGAGAGGTGGGCAGAAGGAGAGGTGGGCAGAAGGAGAGGTGGGCAGAACAAGAGGTAGACCACAACAAAGTGGAAAGATAAAAGAAACATAATACACCTGCTAGCAAGGTTAAGGCTACCAGAAGAGTAAGAATTAGAACCCTGTAGCTTCTCTGACACAGTAGCTAAGGAAATTAGAATAATGTAGAGAAGAACTGCAGAAGTTGAAAACATTCTCCCAATGAGAAGTGTCTGCCTCTTGCTAACATTCCTATCAACAGTCTTGATTATGCATTTGAAGAATGCAAGTGTCTCTGTCACACATTTATGTATAATAGTCTAACAGGATGATGCTCTATTTGCAATCTGAACTTAAATGTCTTTACTGTTGCTTATTCATCTGAAGGAAAATGTACACATCTGATCAGATATACAACAACCAGCAAAAGCATGCATATGGTGTGGAAGTGCTTTCATTTGTAAATTCCTTATTAGTGTTATCTGTATATCATCAAAGCTAGAGCTGCTTATGGAAGGATGAGACAAATCTTGAAATCCAACAGTTACTGCAGAGGAACAAAACTCCCACTATAAAAGTTTGCCAGTTCTTCTTTATGGAGAATAATGCTGGAGATTGAACAAAAAGTAAAATACACAAGCTATCCACCTTCCACCACACACGTCTAGGTAGAATTATCAAAATTTTCTGGCCAGATACAATCTAAAACACTAAACTCAAGTCACAAACCAAGAAGCTCTAGTCAGTATGATAATAAAGAGAAGATTAAATGGCTTGGCTACGTTATGAGAATGAATCCTGATATACCTGCCAAAACAGCTCTCACTTGGATACCAGAGGGAAAGAGAAAGAAGGGGCACCCAAAAACAACATGGAACGAATGATGGAAAGTGACGTGAGTGCTGCATCCCTGACATGGAAAACTGCACTGAAGATTGCACAGAACAGGAAAGCATGGAAAGTCCTCTCTGAAGCCTCATGTGCCACTAGGCATAAAGAGAACTGACGACTGATGTATATCATCAACAAGAATGCTACAGACAAACTCACCTTCTGCTGTTTCTGGCACTGGCAGGCTCTTGCGAAAGTTTTCCTCTACCTCACGGCAAGCAAAGTATTTTGTAGCCCTGCTGGCACCCTCCTTATCAACTGGGATTGTGTGTGATGTGAACAGATTGTGCTGAACCTAATTAGAGAAAGAAGCCATTTGTAGACACTGCTATATTTTAAATAATGTACTGTATTTTTCTGTGTATAAGATAACATTTCCCTTACACACAAAATTTTAGTTTATAACTGGGGAGTCTTTTTCACAGAATGTTTTAAACACATTTATTTCTTAATTTTGGGGGTAAAAATAGTGGTGTCTTATTCATGGGGGGCATCTTATACACAGGAAATGTGGTATATTATACTACATACTTTGGCAATTAATTTTTGCTACGTGTCTACCCAAACATGGATTATGAACAGAGCAGTCTACCTGAAGTCTTCATTGGCCCTTGATAATTTAGTTTACAGAATTGCTCCCATGTGTGTGACTTCCATTGTTTGCATTGCTCAAATATCAATTCCAGGTTTGCACCACAGTGTCAAATATGTCTGTTAATCAATTGTACAACAAGCTTGAGTCTTTAGGGCCCTTTTCTGCGCATTTTTAAACACAGGGTTCATGGCCGAATTTACAAACCTTGTTCAATTTTTCAAGGTATTCTCAATGTAATTTTGCCTTTTCAAGGTTGTGCCGGGCATAAGCAGCACTTGATTTGTGCATGGATAAACATATAATGTGTTGACAATAACTGATATTCTATACCACAAGACTGACCAAGAAGACAGCTGAGATAACATCCAGACAGACCTACAAAACTTGAAACTCAGATATAAAGAGACAGGCATCTTGCCTCAATGGCTCAGAATTCTAAAAAAGAAAACTTGGTGGGAAAGGGGAGAAAGCAGAAGGGATGATCATTATTAACATTCACTTAACACACTTAACATTACATAACTAAATGCATGATAGACATCCCCCCCCCCTCCCAACCCCACCAAACTCCAATTTGCTTTATATACAACAAATTACAACAATTAAACAGGGTCAAACTTTCCCATATCTTTCTATTCTTCGTGGAAAATATGAATTTGATGGAAGGTGTAAAACATAGATTTTTATAATAAATTTTGAAATATTAATATTAAAGAAAAAATAAAAAAGGAAATGACATATCCTAAGAATTGTTAACAGGATTAAGCAATTAAAAAATGTGCTTAATGATAATGTGTGTGGTTGGTTTTATATTGATAAAAATGCTAAAGAAAGCTGAAAGAACCATTCATGCCAAGGTATGATATATTTCAAACTTTCCAGCCACTTCCTTTCCCAAACCCCATAAGCATGGGATCCTGAGATCCTTTGGATCTATATGCTAATGGTCACATGGGATCTACAGACTCACCTGTTCTATCAGCTGCATGGGAGGATCATAGAAGAAGTGCAACAGATACTCTAGTACCAGCACCAGGCGACTCAAAGTCAAGGGGACTGTCTTTTCCATCAAACTGAAACAATTAACACAAAACATAAAGTAACATGATCTCTAATTTGCCATAAGTTTATACAGAGGGAAGGTGGAGATGGAAAAAGAAGAAAAAGTACAGCAAAGAAGGGGACTGATTAATTTCATTTTGTAAGCCATGATCTGCTATGTTTCTAATTCTTAACATTTCATGCAATTATACTGACATTTTTCAAGGCGTTATACCTTGTTTTTAAATTGTACTTTTCTGTCATCTCATGATCTCCCCCCCCCCCCCCCCAGCCTGCTTTGTGAACGTCAAAGAAAAAAGTAACAGCAATATATTTAGAACACCGCAGGCTGCCGGATCAGAAGCCTCGTTGCTAGAACAGCTGCCAGCCCTGACATAATATAAAGTTTTCAGGTTGCACTTCCTCATCCTAGAATAAAGCTAGTATTCTCCCTCGCCTGTTCCTTGGCCGGAAGCTGTTGACACAACTAGGATTCACGCTTGGCATTCACATCAGGTTTCCTTACGATATTAAAGAGAGTAGGCAAACGGGTTTTTTTTATAACATTAAATAATGGAGTAAACATCAGGTTTCCTTACGATATTAAAGAGAGTAGGCAAATGGGGTTTTTATAACATTAAATAATGGAGTAAATATCAGGGATTCTTATATTAGAAAACAGAGTGAGCACAAGGGTTTCTTTTGACACCAAATAATGGGGTAAATAAATGTTTCTTTTGACACTAAAAAAGTCAACTAAATTGTCTCTTTATAACATAAAATAATCAAGCAAATACCAGGGTTCCTTATATATAACTAGTCAAACACCTGGTTTCTCAACTAGTAAATTGTGACAATAGCTAATGAATGAAGTCAAACCAAAATTTCCTGATAAAAGATGACACTGAATTGATATCAGGATCTATGAGGACTTTGGCTGAAGAAAACACAAAACATGACACCTAGCTACAACCTACCTCCTCTCAATCTGTGCCACATCCAAGACAAGCTGACAAATCTTCACCAAGATGCCTTTCTTCTGTGTCAGACGCAGTCCATGGAAGAGGAACATCAGAACCTGCATGTGCTCCACATTCACATCTGAGAAGTCAAATTTATATCAAAGTCATTTTTTAACAGTTAAGGACCTTATTCTCCAGTAGTGCAGAGGGCAGTGCTACTGAACTTGCAGCCCGCAGCTGAATCCAGCCCACAGAAGTTTGAGGTTTGAACAACGGATCAACATTAGGGCACACGAGTAGTAATCCATAAGTGCTCCGTTCTTCTTCTAACTCAAGGTCTGAGTCCGAAGAAGCTCAGCACAGTGCACAAGCTCTGTAGCACCGGTGAGGATCCTGAAATACTTTAGGTAGATTTTGAACTCAAACTTTTGCCTGGGCAGCACAGTTAGGCTAGTCTTTTCGATTTCCAACTGCCAAGGCTTTTTTTTTTAACATGCTCAACAATGCACACGGGCCTCAGATCTCACCACTCAGAGACCAGGGGGAATTACTAGAAGTCTAAATCCACGTGAAAAAATCCCATACCTTACCAGGGGTTGAACCCGGCACCTTTAGCACTCGAGGCAGACACCATGCCTCGAGACCACGCAGCCCCTATCATCCAACCCCCAAGGGCCTAGCAAAGTAGCCCGAGACCATTGCTAAATGAATTGTATTAATGATATTTCTACACTAAGGCTCTGGCTTCTGAGTAATATTAGCTAAATGAGAGTGATAGACTCATATTTTTATAGACCAATCAGCCCTTGATGGGTGATGTCAATATCACGCTGACCGTTTTTGCTGTCCAGGAAATTATCAGGCACCCATTTTAGGCTGGGCCAATCTAAAAGCCAACTGTGAAATCTGTTTTGACTCAGCGTGGATTTGAACGCAAGATCTTCTGGCTGGTAGACAGGCATCCAACGGCCATCATACCAAAGCTCCTTTTTGAAATTATGCTGTTAAATTATATGTTAAAAATATGTAGATATGGCATATATGTTTTTTTTTTCAGAAATATACTATTCTTCTCGACCACAAACAGTAAAAACAGGTGTTGACATAAACAGATAGCAAAAGGCATGTTACCTTCCATGACCTCTGTTTTATTCTCACAGCTTTCTATGGCAGCACGCAGACGTTTCAGGAACTTGTCCCAGACAGCAATGACAGCACTATCCGATGAGCCAATGTTTGTGATCTCCTCATCTGCCCGCTCCTGCTGCTGCCTGCGCAACAACACACTGACAAGCACAGCCAGGCTTCGAGGGTACACAGTCAGGGGCCAAGGATCGGTGCTTGTAGGGCTCACTCCTAGTGCAGTCAGGTAAAAGTCCTGTCACATGGAAGTGAAAAATAAAACTTATGCAAAATTGGCAATATGATTATCTCATAGATAAACCTAAAGACAAATGAAGAGAACATAAACAAAGAAGAAAAGGAAGAAAAAAGAGACACAAAAACAATAAAGAAACAGAGAAAGAACCTGGATAAACAACATTAGGCAATATAATGATCTCATATTTAAACCTACAGAAGAAAGAAAGCAAGGAAGGAAGGAAGGAAGGAAGAAAGAAAAAGAAAGAAAGAAAGAAAGAAAGAAAGAAAGAAAGAAAGAAAGAAAGAAAGAAAGAAAGAAAGAAAGAAAGAAAGAAAGAAAGAAAGAAACAAGGACCCAACTTTACAAAAGAACAGAGATAACTAACTATTAGTAAGACTAACCAACCTGAAGCTGTTCTGATAGACAGGCAGTAGCAACGAGGTTATGGTTGAATCGAGCCAACGCCAATGACACTGCAGTGTAACCTTTATCTGCAAATAATAATTGAAAACAAAACATATACCCCAGTTTGTTTTAATATAATGTCATTCTTAGTTTAGTCAACATCATCATATATTCTTTTTCCTTATCAGTTATTCTAAAAACAAAATTGGCTGCAGTCTGCCCATTTACAGTGAAACTATATTTGCATCTTCTGATATTTTCGCCATTATAATTTGATGGAAGCCTTAGTGTTAGAGCCGTGGCGTTGGCAGCAAGACGCCCGCTTGCAAATTCGGGTCCTGGCGGAGCCGTACTTCTTTCAATAATGACCTTGACTCCCAGGCCGACCCAGTCTTGAGGAGTACCAGGTGTGGTCCTAGGAAGTAAAGGTGGCCAGCGAGATGCTGACCACATTACTCTTAAAGTGCCATTGGTCTATACAAAATATAGGTCTAACCCTATATGCCCACACGCCCAAAGGCGTGGAAAAGGGTCCATTACTTACTTAGTGTTCAATTTTTGACAAGTTACCTGACAGTTTTTTTTTTACATGTCTGGGAATTAAAAAAAATTTCTGATTTATTCTTTAAGCGTTTCCATGACGAAAGGGTTAATTGCCTGTTTTTGAGTATAAGTAAACATAGCCAACTATATAAATATTATACTGAGCAAATCCCTGTGTGGGTTCTGGGGCCCCATTGTGGGGAAAACAAGAATAGACCCACTGCCCCCCCCCCCCCCCAACAAGCATGTCATAAGAGTCGACTAATTGGGGACTTCCTTCAAAGTTGGGGTGCATCTGCCCGAGTGACAAGGAATAACCAACTGCTCAAAAATAAGCCAGTAAAACGGATGTACATGCAAAACTCAGACTCTGGCACAAAGCCAAAGTCCAAATGGAGGAACAGCCCGGAAAATTCCACCGGAGCTTAGAGCCAGTGAACAAAGAAAAAGATATTGAGCTTTTAACAAATTCACAGAATTTAAACTGTATATGTCTATCAAATTTCAAGATCAAATTTCCAAACATATTTTCGTACATAACTATATGTGCTCCTGCAACTTCAGGATCAAACTCACCATTGTCGACTCTGGCACACTCCCTGTCCAGATCCTTGGTAAGCTGAGCAATCATGGTCACATGTTCTTGTGTGAAACCATTGTGGGGAAAACAAGAATAGACCCACTGCCCCCCCCCCCCCCCCCCCCAACAAGCATGTCATAAGAGTCGACTAATTGGGGACTTCAAAGTTGGGGTGCATCTGCCCGAGTGACAAGGAATAACCAACTGCTCAAAAATAAGCTAGTAAAACGGATGTACATGCAAAACTCAGACTCTGGCACAAAGCCAAAGACCAAATGGAGGAACAGCCCGGAAAATTCCACCGGAGCTTAGAGCCAGTGAACAAAGAAAAAGATATTGAGCTTTTAACAAATTCACAGAATTTAAACTGTATATGTCTATCAAATTTCAAGATCAAATTTCCAAACATATTTTCGTACATAACTATATGTGCTCCTGCAACTTCAGGATCAAACTCACCATTGTCGACTCTGGCACACTCCCTGTCCAGATCCTTGGTAAGCTGAGCAATCATGGTCACATGTTCTTGTGTGAAACCATTGTGGGGAAAACAAGAATAGACCCACTGCCCCCCCCCCCCCCCCCCCCCAACAAGCATGTCATAAGAGTCGACTAATTGGGGACTTCCTTCAAAGTTGGGGTGCATCTGCCCGAGTGACAAGGAATAACCAACTGCTCAAAAATAAGCTAGTAAAACGGATGTACATGCAAAACTCAGACTCTGGCACAAAGCCAAAGACCAAATGGAGGAACAGCCCGGAAAATTCCACCGGAGCTTAGAGCCAGTGAACAAAGAAAAAGATATTGAGCTTTTAACAAATTCACAGAATTTAAACTGTATATGTCTATCAAATTTCAAGATCAAATTTCCAAACATATTTTCGTACATAACTATATGTGCTCCTGCAACTTCAGGATCAAACTCACCATTGTCGACTCTGGCACACTCCCTGTCCAGATCCTTGGTAAGCTGAGCAATCATGGTCACATGTTCTTGTGTGAAACCAGATCTGTAACAAAAAGTGCAAACAAGGTCACAACATGACAGAAAATAGTTAGTGGATAAAGCACAAGGTTTGTATTAATGTTCTTGCATATACTGGCTATTTTGAACTACCTTTACATTCTTCCCACATGTTCATACAAATATTGACTATGCACAAATACTTTAATTTTCAACATCTAACAAGGGAGCAGCCATGATGTAGCGGCTAGACGCTTCCCTGCAGATCAGAAAGGCAATGAGTTATAAATCGAATGAAGCTGGAGGACTTTTTTTCTTCTTCAAAAAATGACCCTGACTCGCAGGTCGACCCAGCCTTGAATAGGTACCAGGAGAAGGTCCTGGGAAGTAAAGGCAGCGGGTGTGATGCTGACCACATCATCCACACGTGCTGATTAGTCTATAAAATATAAGGCTAGCACTATACGCCCAATACCTCTGAAGGCGTGGCAAAGGATCCATTAACATTTAATAAACAAACAACATCAAAGCAAAAGGCTGCATGCCTTTTTAAACGGTCAGTTTCCTAGCATGTCCTTAAACCACCCAGGTCTATCCAGTTAAGTTTATTCAGGGACTAAAATGTTGAAAATAGGGACCATCACTGACCTAAGGCCCAAGCCCTAGCATATAAAGATCATGAATATATTACAGCCGCATATTATCCATGGGTCATTAGCTAGGCCTCTGCGGGCTGCATTTGGCCCACAGTTGAACAGCCCTGCTGGGAACTTAATCTTCAAGAATTCAAGAATATGCCAGGTAATAAATGTTAAAAGCTGCTGTTTGTGTCTTTTCTTTATTCAAACATTTCCAATATAAAAAAAATTAATGCATGCAGCTAGAGTTAAGAACAATGGATATTCAGGTCACTCCGAAGATTAACTTCTAGCATTAGTAATTTTACTATAAAATTTACCTACAAGAAAAAAGCAGTGTAGGATGGACAATACTCACTTGGTAATTGCCCTGATGGTGTTGTTTCGAGATGTCAGCAGATGAGCATTGAAGAAGTTCATCACATTACTGACCAGTGTTGTGAACTGTGAAGTATTTTTGAAAATGGTTTTAAAAATTAACATCAAAGGGTTCTGTTAGTTTAACAAAACCTGGCTTTTTTTTTTTTTAAATCACCTTGGCTCTCAGGTTGACGAGCCTTAAATGAGTACCAGGTAAAGTCCTGGGAAGTTAAGGAGGTCAGCGTAATTCTGACTGCCGACTGGTATATAAAATATGGATCTACAGCTATAAGCCCAATGTGCCAAAAGGCATGGAAAAGGTCCCTTTTTTTTAAAAATAAATATTACCATACACACACAACCACTTTCACAATTTCACTCTTTAAAAAAGACCACATTCATTATTGCCTACTTAGGGCTTCTGAAAATGATTTTTCTTTTTCCATCAAGGTGAAGTCAAAAGGTAGGTCACGAATGGTTATGCCATGGCAGGAAAATGTAGTGGTGGTTTCTAAAGGTGTCATTAGTGCTTAAATGGTCCTGCATTCATCAATCAAGGTATGATTTTACTCATAACAATGTAACCACACGACAGGTCTACTCTCAAAAAGTTTGTATCAAACAATTTTCTGGAAGGCCTGATGGTAATCCTGACACTAACCATTCAGTCGAGAGCTGTTTGATCAAAAAATCATAATCCCTTTGAGCAAATCCCCAATATGTCTCAGCTATGTGGAAGCTTTGCCGTTGATTATTTATTTTTAACAAGCTTTTAACGCACTAATTTTTTTCTACCTCCTTGCACGGATTTCAGAGCTCTATTTAGAGAACAAAGAATGGATTCACTGGCCCCTAACAATCATGTCATAGGAGACAACTAAAAAGGGGGTTGCCTTTGAAGTAACGAATGCATTTGCCTGAGAGGCAGGGAACCAGAAGTCTGCATTTAAGCTAGATCTGTAAAACAGATGTTAATGCAAAACTCAAATTCTGGATGAAGAAAAAAAACTTGTGTGTAAAAAACCAGACCCTTTCTGCTGGAGTTTACTGCCGGCGAACGCTAAAAAGAGGATATTCTGCCAACAATGGAGAAGAAATCAATCTCAAATGTCAAGAGACTTACTCCTTCTGGTTCCCGCTTATCCGGAACAAGATTAGGTCCTCCTTCCCCAACACTGGCTTCTCTCTGCCTCTTACTCTCCAAAATCCCATCCACACGGGGAGGAGGTGGAGGCGGTGGAGTTGTGTTCACAGAATCACAAGGTGATAAAGCCTCCTCTAGCCAGTGTCCAAGAATGGGTTCCGAGTCATCATCTATTTAGAATAACAACAGCAACCATTAACAACCACAGTGAAAACAGTTAACACATCTTACTAAATCAATGTTCAGAAATGTAACTCCTCCTCTAACAGCACCAGAGACTGAGGTTTAGCTGGGTAGTGGGAAAAATCCCAAATTTGACCCAGCCCTGAAGAATCAAGCATATTTTGGCTGTTTGGTTTTATTGGGCATGTTTGAGATCAATAGTTTGCCACTGCTACCCTGAATGGTCTTCTCTCGATACCACTACAGAAATCACTGCAAAACGGTCTGTCGCCAAATCCTCTGTGACTGGAATTGAACCAAGTACTTCAGAACTGTCAGCGTCTGTGGCTTAGGCGTTGCAAATGTGCTTCGTAATGCAGGGTTCAATCCCAGCTGTGGATGATTTGTCTTGCGATGGTTTCGATAGTGAAACCGAGAGCTGACCGTCCAGAAAGCAATGGTAAACTACTGAACGTAAAATATGCCTAGAAAAACCACAAGTGCCAAAAAATGCTGAGGTTAGTTCTGCAATGTCCTGTAAAGGATATGCAACTAACTTAACTTCAGAACTACCAAGTTCGCTGGCAAAGTCTAAGCCACAGACATCGACCCTAGTAAACATACTACAAAAATATGCCCAGGGCAGATTTTTAAAAATACATAGGAAGTAAAGGTAGCCAACGTAAAGTTAAAAATCGCCCAGTAACTGCTAAACCGTGCATAAAGATATTGGTCTAGTACCATATGCTCATGTGTCAAAATGGCTACTGATTCAGAATCCTGAGAACCAGTTACACACACACGATGTAACTGAAACACCCATAAAGTTTGCAGAGAATGGTTGAGAAAGGCTTGCTCCATGCAGAGTGACTTTTTGGTCCCATATTTTTTTTTAATTTACAAAGTGATAAGCAGAGAAACAAGCAGAGGCCTCCAGTAGTTAGCATACTTTGAATATTTTCTGCTTAGGAGAAAGGTGGATTGGGAAATTAACAGGTGGATAGAGTAGCTGGTTCTGCAATACTGGGTGGTTAACTGATGCATGATAAGCTAGGTGTGGTAAAGGCCCTTTGACAGAAGTCACCAGGTAATCCGACCGACACTGTACACTCAGAGGAAAGGCAAGATGGACATATAATCAAACTTCTACTGACACTATCAGCATTGGAACTCTTAGCTGGCTGCTGAAAATTAAAATGGAGTACACGTGGGAATGTCCCAAGCATTGTGATATCAGCTGTTAACTCTATTTCAGAATCAGAATAAGTAAAACATTACAACGTACCTTCACTACTCTCCTCAGATGTGCTGAAGACATCTTCAGAATAAGTAAAACTATACAACGTACCTTCACTACTCTCCTCAGATGTGCTGAAGACATCTTCAGAATAAGTAAAACTATACAACGTACCTTCACTACTCTCCTCAGATGTGCTGAAGTCATCTTGAGAATAAGTAAAACTATACAACGTACCTTCACTACTCTCCTCAGATGTGCTGAAGTCATCTTGAGAATAAGTAAAACTATACAACGTACCTTCACTACTCTCCTCAGATGTGCTGAAGTCATCTTGAGAATAAGTAAAACTATACAACGTACCTTCACTACTCTCCTCAGAAGTGCTGAAGTCATCTTCGTAGAAGGTGTTTGAATCTGAAGTGCTGCTACTGCTAATGGTCTCCTGAGAGTCTGAGCCTTGTTTCATTCTCTTCAAATACACAGCCTAGTTTAGCAGTACAAAGTATTCACGTTTATAAACGTTTCAGGATTATCATAAACTGAGATTACTTGCAAGCAAATGCATCAATTAAATAAAATATCAACCACGTCAGAATGTGCACAAAAAGTTACAGGATACTCTGCCTTCTTGCAAAGTGTTCTGTGTCCACCTTCTTGCAGGGTGTTCTGAGTCCACCTTCTTGCATAGTGTTCTGTGTCCACCTTCTTGCAGGGTGTTCTGTGTCCGCCTTCTTGCTGTGTTCTGTGTTCCACCATCTTTCAGGGTGTTCTGTGTCTGCCTTCTTGCAGTGTTCTGTGTCCACCTTCTTTCAGGGTGTTCTGTGTTCCACCATCTTTCAGGTGTTCTGTGTCCGCCTTCTTGCAGTGTTCTGTGTTCCACCATCTTTCAGGGTGTTCTGTGTTCCACCTTCTTTCAGGGTGTTTTGTGTTCCACCATCTTTCAGGGTGTTCTGTGTCTGCCTTCTTGCAGTGTTCTGTGTCCACCTTCTTTCAGGGTGTTCTGTGTTCCACCATCTTTCAGGTGTTCTGTGTCCGCCTTCTTGCAGTGTTCTGTGTTCCACCATCTTTCAGGGTGCTCTGTGTCCATACTCTTGCATAGTGTTCTGTGTTCACCTTCTTGCAGGGTGTTCTGTGTCCACCTTCTTACAGAATGTTCTGTGTCCACCTTCTTGCGCGGTGTTCTGTGTCCACCTTCTTGCAGGGTGTCTGTGTCCATTTTCTTGCATAGTGTTCTGTGTCCACCTTCTTGCAGGGTGTTCGGTGTCTCTGCTTTCAGAAAGCAAAACTCCCATCGCTCTTCTTTTTAAAGCCCTGCCGCATTTTATATGCCCAAAGTATTTCAGATGCCTAGACATAATGCTGTTTTTGCTGCAGTTTTTTTTAATGCCCAGGTTTTGTAGAATGTCAGTATTTTGTTTCCTGTGTGATACATGGTATTTTAAGAATTTTTAATTTAGTTACCAATGAGATATATTACCATAAACCTGCAACAGACAGAAAGCACAAAACCAAAACATTAAAGCAGATGAAGAGACATGAAATATATGTTTTTAAAAAATGAATTCAGGACATAAACTTAACAAGCATGAAAGTAAAAGAAATACTGTCCTTGCAGCAAAAATCCAGACGAAAAAAGCCAAAAGAAACAAAGAAAGCAAAGAAGATGAAACTTCCAACCATATCACTCAAGCCAGTGCAATTATTTTTTCCATTATGAAAAAAAGAGAAAAATGAAGAAACTTCAAATATATTTTCTTCCTTTCCTTGTTCCTACCTTTTTAAAAGTTGTTGACATTAGCTGCACCAGCAGATCAGGAAGGTTGACAGTCCTGAGCAAAGACTTGACCCTGCTCCATGCCGTGGGACTATCTTGGATGTTTATTCCAAGAGAAGTATCCACGCCGATATGGTGGCTCTGAGAATACAGAAAAAGTGTAACTTTTACGGTGGAAACATTTTTACTTTTACAGAGGAAGGTAGGGGGATGGCGGAAGATGCGCACATGTGGATGTGTGTATGTGTGGAAAAAACAAAAACAATGAATGCCATAAATTTGCCAAAACACAGAAGCACATTGCTCGTTTGAATGACGTGCTTTTATTCTTGAACAGTGTAACTAAGTAAAAAGTAAAGATCCTCTTTCACGCCTGTAGGCACATCGGGCATATGGGAAGGAGACCCATATTTTACAGACCAATCAGCACTAAGTGGGTAATGAGGTCAGCATTACACTTGCTGTCTTTACTTCCCCAGGACATACATACTGGTACCCATTTTAGGCTGGGTCGACCTGCGACGCCCCAAACCATAATAAAAATCCATGCAGCCAGCAGTGGGTTTCGATCACGGTACTTTGGAATTAGGAATCGGACTTGCAACCTCTAAGCCGCGGACGTCACTTGAACGGTGCATTTGTTTTTAAAAAATCAGTCTCATTATTTGTCAGACAGTAATAAAATCTGTATTGTTGCAAGACCTTTTGAACTTCTACACATAAAATTATGAAAGACCTTTACAAAGGCTTTTGAAGGTAGCAGGATCGACTTCACTGCATCAGGGTTTTCTTGGTCTGTTTTGGATATGGCTCAGTCTTTCTCGGCAAGGTGACCTAAAGTCTGAAGAGCTGCTACTGCTAATGGTCTCCTGGACACATAACTTCACTTCCTTCCAATATGCAACTTGGTTTAGCAGTACAAACATGCTCTTAGCATTCACAGACTGAAACTCCAGCAGAAAGTTCTGGTTGTTTGTCCATTTCCAGACTCTGGTCTTGTTCCAGAACTTGAGTTTTTGCATGCACATCCATTTTGCAGACCTGGCTTATTTGTATGCAGACTGCTGGTTTTCCCCTTTCAGGCAGATGCACTGCAACTTCAAAGAAAATTTCCCTATTAGTTGCCCAGTACAACATGCTTTTGTATGGGTGCATTGGATCTATCTTTCCCTCAGAATGGGGCCCTGGAACCCAAACAGGGAGTACAGAGTATGCAAGACTATTTAATGATGACCCAAGGCTGAGTATACAGCCGGTGAATGATCACACACAAAAAACTAAACAAAGCAACCTCTACAGATGCTATTGTACAGGTGTAGCAGTAATGAAGGTTCTTAACGAGTCGCACCAAACTGCTCCGTTCATGCGCCAGCGAAAATTCTGCAAAATCCCCTTCAAAACTAGTGAATAAACAGTGTCCGGTCAAAATCCAGAAACATGCACAAACAGTGTATATAAAGCATTCGCTAGAGGTGCTAACACCAATAAGGTGCCACCAGAAATGCACGAAGTCATCAATCATGATATGTCCGCATTACAAACTCAATATTAACGTGTAAGGCACTTGGCCAGATCAAACACAAACCAGCCACTAGCAACTTTGAATTTTATGAATGGCATGACACTGATGGCACAAACAAAACACATTCTACATAAAATTCACACCTGAGTGTCACACCAAGCATTTAACTCAGTAGCTTAAGCAATGAAATCATTTACTTTGGTCAATATTGTGGAAACTGCCTTAGCAAACTAGAAAACTTTAAAGCTTTAAAGGACTGTCTGCAAATCTGCCATATTTAACAGGAATTATGCTTTGTACAGGTGTGATCTGGATTCCAATCCTGACTTCATTCAAAATTTTTTTTTTTACCTCACATAGTTCCTCTACACTCAATCCTGTCTTATAAAATGAAAATTACAGATTTATCTATATAGAAAAGGCAATAAGACTGTGAATTGGTCAGCCCATCTAATAATGTTATGTCCTGGTATATGTGAAGCCTTTTTACTTCAAACAACTTGTGTAATTTCACCATTGACACTTACATCCAAAGACTCATCAACACCTTCAACACTCAAGTCATCCAGCAACGGAGTTAGCAGCTGAATTGCATTTGAGGCAATGGCAACTGCAGTGGCACTCAAGAATGGGTGGCCGCATGGTAGGAGTCTAGAGCAAAAACAAACAAAACATATGTCAAATATTAACAAATGAACTAATCTACTTCTTCAAAACGCCTCTTTTACCACTTCAGGCATCAAGGGAGATATAAGGTTTTGCTTCATGCTCTTCTGGCTGCCTGGACCATAGACAAATCATGATGATGTAGAGATCCCTCTGATGTTATCTTTCCATTGTTCTTGGTCTACCTCTTGCTGTATGTCACTCTCCGCTTATAGTATATGCCTTGTATAGTATGGCATCACAAGACATCCTAAGTAGGCTAACAGTTTTTTGTGCTGTCTTTGTATGAATTTAGAAATGGTAACTGCGCCGACTGTTATAACTTCATTCCTGATTTATCTCTTCTAAGCACTCCTGCAGCCTTTCTCAAATATCTCACTTCCATGACTTCTAATTGTCTTTTGACCTGTGTTTTTTCCCTGTCAGTGACCAAGTCTTGAGCTGGTAGCATAGGGTGGCAATGACTACCCTCTGTATGAACTAATCTATAACTTGTCATAATTATTTGGTAATGAAAATAGTTCACATAACCAGATAAGCAACAAGTACTTCAACAGATACTTTTGATAAGCTAATGATCTTTTTATCAAGTAATGGGTCAACTATCTCCCCTGTTGACACACAAGCAGATACCTCAGAGTACTAAAGTGAATCTTATCAGAACTATTTTTGGCCAATACTATGCTATCAGTGCCAAACGTGGACACTTACATCCTCCAATGAACGTAAAATTGTGACAACAGAGATGAAATGCCTTAGAAGAGCTGCAGGAGTTTCAAGGAAAGACTGTACAAAATCATGAAATCAGACGAATGCTAGGAATAAAGCCAGTCTTACAGGTCATCAAAGAACAACAAATGAAATGGTTTGGACACCTAACAAGAATGCCCTGGTACTATCTGCCACAGCGAGCCACACTAAAACGTTACAACGGGTATAAGGCGAGTGGAAGACCTCGGAAAAGATGGAGTGATGGCATTAAGAACAGCCTTACAGAAATGAACATCAGTTTTAATAGTGCTCTTGACAGAGCTCATCAACGAACATTACATCTCCCCCTGACACTTCGATGAGGTACAAGGTGGAAGAGAAGAAGAAGAAGAATGATCTTTTTATGTAGAAATGTGAAGACCTTAAAATGGTGGCTGACATGTTGTGTTTTGGTTTACAGCTAAGCTGCAATAGCTGCTCCTGTCAGCCAAACACACACACAACACATTCACATTGTGGCAGATTTGTTCAAAACCGATCTTGCCTCCTAGATTGACCCCCGCCTACAATGGGTCCAGGTAATGTCCTGGCAAGTAAAGGCAGCTGGCATGAGGATGACCACATCACATCAAGTGCGGATTTGTCTATAAAAGTATATGGCTATCACTACATGCCTGATATGTTACTGCTGTAAAATCGGCCATCACATTTATGTTATTTATTTTTTTGTTTTTTTTCGTGACCCAAGCATACATCCTTTCATAACGCTGGTATGTATTTCTTTATTCCAACTACACAGTAATTTAGCACCATCAGAATATAACATATTCACCCTTCCACCACTGAAGCACATTATTAAAGAAATGATGAAAAAAAAGTTCAACACTATGTACACATAATTTTGCAGCCCTAGGCTTATATTCCATCATAACATTTTATAAGACAAAGAAGCAGGAGTATCAGAAACTAACCCTTTTGTGGAAACTGCCTTGGAAGTTCCACTAGGCAAATCTTTCTTTTGTGAAACATCAAGAGACTTGGGTTTGATCTCTTTCCTCTCCAGGATCACAGCTGGGGTAAGGACAAGGATCAGCTGTAGGCCCCTCAGAGTCTCCCATGCTGCCAGCAGGTTCAGGTTCTGCGCAACCTGAGGAGACAGCAAACCAGTACAATTATCCTAGTGTTGAAAACTGAATTGTTAAGGAACTGTGGGGTGAAACTCAATGTTGTGAAATGCCCAAACAAAAGCTAGTTACAACATGAATGACCTTAGTATACAAATACCAGAGCCAATTTTTGCAGTCTCAAACAGGGCATACCAGAATCAACAGCACTGAAATAATTTGGATCGTTAACTTGCACCTGTGTACCAACATTGCTCTCACCCATACAAAACCACCCAGCTTTCTTTCTAAATGCCCCGCACTTTAAAACTGTAGGGAAAGCTGTGCACCTGTGTACCAACATTGCTCTCACCCATTCAAAACCACCCAGCTTTCTTTCTAAATGCCCCGCACTTTAAAACTGTAGGGAAAGCTCGACATTCACATCCAAAAGTTTCTTCTTCTTCGCATTCACCTGCTGTAAACTCCAGCTAAAGGTTATGGTGCTTCATCCACTTCTGATCTTTGTCTTGTTCTAGTGCTTAAGATCTGTGTGCACATCCATTTCGCAGATTTGCTTATTTGTATGCAGACTGTTGGTTCTTTGCCTCTCAGGCAGATGCATTCCAACTTCAGAAGACCAACAGTTACAAACTCTATAGATCCCTGGACTAGCTCAGTGGATCTCTAGACTAGCTCAGTGGATCTCTAGACAAACTCTACAAGTCCCTGGAACAACTGCAGACAGCATACATGTACATAAGAATGGCATTAGGCTGCCAAGAGCAGACAAGTCAGCAGCATTAGGGTTTTTTAAAAAAAACAATCAAGGAGGTGGTACAGCTTTGATGGATCGATCAGTCTGTCCCCCCTGGGCTGCGACCTAAAGGTTTACCAGGATCGATCAGTTTGTCCCCACTGGGCTGCGACCTAAAGGTTTACCACGATCGATCAGTTTGTCCCCCCTGGGCTGCGACCTAAAGGTTTACCAGGATCTATCGGTTTGTCTCCACTGGGCTGCGACCTAAAGGTTTACCACGATCGATCAGTTTGTCCCCACTGGGCTGTAACCTAAAGGTTTACTAGGATCAATCCAATCAGTTTGTCCCCACTGTGCTGCGATCTAAAGGTTTACCAGGACCGATCAGTTTTGTCCCCACTGGGCTGCGACCTAAAGGTTTACCAGCCAGAATCGATCAGTTTGTCCCCACTGGGCTGCGACCTAAACATTTACCAGGATCGATCGTTTTGTCCCCACTGGGCTGCAACCTAAAGGTTTACCAGGATCGATCAGTTTGTCCCCACTGGGCTGCGACCTAAAGGTTTACCATACCATCCTGAGATTAAATCTGGATGGCAGAGCAACAAGGCATAATTGGATCCCAGATACACAGTTCAACCTCCACTGAGGTTATAATTAGGGCACCTGTAATGGCTACATTAGCCAGGTGTAACCTGCAGTCCTATGCGGTAAGACAGAGTCAGGGTACAGGTTAAATGTGTGCGTCTTTTATTCTACAAGTTCAAATTCTCCGAGTCTGACAGATTTACCCAGACTATCCATGTGAATCAGGGAGAAATCAGTATCCTCATGTCTGATGTCTTCAGTGTGAATCATCTCTCTGGTTTGCTTATTTAGTCAGTCAACTTGTAGTTACAAACTAATTGTCTTTTTTTCCCCAAACATTTTGGGAGTTTGAGACCCCCCCCAAAAAAAAAACACAAGACAGAATATGTCCATGGGTAGAAGCAATTTTAGCGCAGACAACAGGGATGAGATGTGAAGTATTAAGACTTTAAGCAAATTACATCTCATAATGAGTTGGGGGATTTATTCATATTACATCTTACAATGAGGGCATTAAATACCTGTCTGACAACCTCTTTCTCCCCCAAAACTACATCAAAACTAGGTTTACAATTTAATAAATGAAGAAGATTCTACAACACTGTCTTTCTGTCATACATAGATGGATGGTTCAATAAGTGAATAAAAGATCAGATGGATCAATACATGAATAAAAGGAGGGTGGCTAAAACAACACATGGATGAAAGGCTGAGGAAGGGGAGAAAGGATGAATCGATAACATAATGTCATATACCGATATCAAATAGAAACGAATATGTCGCATGGAAACTTACACTTCCTCCAGCTCTTGTGGATGTTTTCATGGCACTAGATACCCAGCCAAAGATCTCAAGCTGTGAATTTGAATCAGAATAGATATTAGTATAGATAAGTATACATCTGCTGTAAACACTAGCAGAAAGTTCTGTTCTTCGTCCACTTCTGGACTTTGATTTTGTTCCAGAACTTGAGTTTTGCATGCACATCCATTTAAAAGACCTGGCTTATTTGTATGTAGACTTGGTACCTCGCCTCTCCCGCTTCAAAAGACACACCCTTAATTAGTCACCTTTTTATGAAATGCTTGTTACGGAGGCAGTTTGTCCCCCCCCCCCCCCCCATATGGAGCCCAGGAACCCACATAGGGATAATCCAAGTTGATCTGATGTTATGAGGTTTTTCTTCTCTCAATGCCCTTTTTGAGAAAACCACAGTCATATCTGTCATACACTGTGCATATTCTGTGACAGTTGCCTTAACAGATAAATGTATTAATTCACTCACATTCATTTGTTCAATTCCCAGCTGCAGGGCTTGAGGGGGTTATAACTGTTTTGCTTTTAGTTTCTGTACATATACTTTCATAATTCATATTCTTGCTGTTTTAAGCCAAAAAACAAGACTGGCTCCCAATCTTTGTTACAGACCATGCACAACACTGATAACAAACAGTAAGAAAATACTTATTTGCATGCAGACTGTTGGTTAATTACCTGTCAGGCAGATACACTCCGACTCAGAAGACAAATGTAACTAAATAGTTGACTCTTATGACATGCTTGTTGGGGGGCAGTGGGTCCATTATCTCCCCCCCCCCCCCCCACATAATGGGGCCCCAGAAACCACAAGAGGATGGCATACTGGGTATATGGTCCTATTTTCTATACATCTGTCAAGTAATGTGATTAACATGAGGCCGACAGCCCTTACTGCACAATACATTTCCTACTACAGCACATTTCAATAACAACATGCGAGATGAGATAAGAAAAACTGCAACCAAAAAACAAACAAGACGAGTCACCAATGAAGAACCAAGAACAATGGTAGGCACAGTACCCATAAATGATTTCACAAAAAGACCAAAGAAGCAAATGATTTGGTCATCTTGTCAGAATGGAACAAAATCAGCCAGCAGCTAGAGCGAGTTATATGACAACAGCAGGCATCAAGACAAGATGACCAAGAAAGAGATGGGTATAGGGAATAAAGTAGATACTACAGAAACTAAATGTAACTTCTCCCTGCCACGCTTCATGGCATAAACAGGACAAAAGAAGAATACCCATTTCTAGGAAACCCAATAGCTCAGATCAATTCACAAATAAATTCTATCCCTTGAATGGGGATGCAAACACATGACCAATAAGCCAACAGAGTATTAGCCACTACACCACCAAGGCTCCTTGTGTTTATGAGTAACATTTCAACAACTGCATCACACCATACTACATGATGTATTACAATTATCTGGAGATATAATAATTTAGCCTATGTTTAGCTGTTGATATGTGTGTGGCATAGAAATACCCCAGCTCAATTCAGCTACAGGTGATTCGGCAGCAGTCCGCTATGCACTGATTTCAATAATGGTATGGCCCATAGACCATATTTAAAGAAAAATCAAACTACTGAACGTAAAATTGCAAGTAAAATAACAAACATCCCCCCACCCCTACAGCCGGGGTTGGACTACAATATCCTCTATAAGATGTGCAACTAATTTGACCAGAGCACGTTATTATTCTATGCCCTAGAACAGGACACAATCGACTTCGCAGTCACGTGTACAAAAAATTTTTAATCGGAAAATCAGCCATGTGCACACATAAACTGGCACCTGAGACAACAGGATCATGTCCACCAAGACCGCCCCAAATACAACATATCAAGGCACATTTTTTTGCCAAGAGAAACATCGGTGCAAGTCAAACTTTACGGGTCGCTGAGTGAATTACAAAAGACAGTAAAGTTCATACTAGAGACAACATTGCAGATATAGATAATTTATTTCAAGCGAAGAAGAAGAAGAAGTAAATTTTTTTAAGTTTAGTAGTTTAGTTAAAGTTTCAGTCTTTAAAACAACATACTCACCGACTTCTGAACAATGCTCTGTCCCTGACTGTCCATCTCCTCCTCTTTGGCTCCTGTGGTCTGTGAAGGTCCAGATGGTTTGACAGCATTCACCACTGTGTCAGCAGTCGCCACAGAGATGGCAGCAAACAAACAGCCCAGGGTGACTTCAACAATGGTTTTCAGCCGTGACTGAGTTAAAGGTTCAATGATTGGCAGAGAGAATGCCCTCCACACATCTGATATTTCAGTCAGCAGAAACTGATAGCTGTTAACAGATGACAAAAAAAAACTGTATGTCTAGCAAACTACACTTTCTACCAGGAATAGTAACTCTGATATCTAGCATGCATCCCATATGAGACAAGTGAGGAAGATTAGAGTGACATCTGCTAACTCATTCCATAGAGACTTCCAGCTAGGGTCTGCTGATGCACACTCTCTATTTCCAGACCGGAAGTCTACAGTTTTTGTCATCCAGCTACAGAGGTGAGTGCTTGGTGTGACACTGTTAGCTGCTTATTTTATGTGGAATGTTTTTTCAGTTGTGCAATGGCATGTTGTTGACCGCACTAAAATGGCAAGTGGCCGGTTAGATTTATAATGATGTGTTCTTTAGTGGTGGTTTGTTAAGTGATTGTGTAAACAGTGAACTGCAATTCTGGTGTACCGTTAGCATTAGTACATATGATAGCTGCCTTATGCACTTTTACTTTGCACGTGCAAGCTTCAAGCTTTTGCTAGGACTGATAAGTGTTTCACTCGTTTTCAAATGGAACAGCGAAGGACATTCTGTCAGGTTAAATATATTGACTTTCAGTATCTCTAATAATATATACAAAATGTCCACCCGCCTATAGTTACCACTTTTAAGAGTGGTGTAGTAAAGAGCCCTTTTCCACAGATTCAGGCACACTGGGCACATAGTGCTAAATCTATGTTTTAAAGACCGATCAGCATTCACTGTGTGATGTGGTCAACATCATGTCGGTCAACTTTACTTCCCAGGACCATATCTAGTACCTATACAAGGCCGGGTCAACCTGGAAGCCAAGGTCATTTCTTTAAAAAAAACCAGCTCTGTATAAATTTGATTTTGATGGTTATAGTTATGACGGAAAGGAGGCTGTGTCTCAAAACAGAGGATTACGGGCCACATGACAAATGCAATAGCTATGAATTGAACAAGTTAGGATTTTTTAAATTTTTACACTTAAAAAAAAAAACAAATGCCATTACGGTACTAAGGATTCAACCCAGGGATCATAAATAAAAGCTAGTATTCTAACCGTTCAACAAAACCAGCCTTTTCTCATTGATAATGTATACTGACCCAAATGTCCACCTATATTACCAAGCTATGATCTATATGTGGAGATCTGATCAACGGTTAGAGCATCATCTGTATTAGGACTATTAGTACCTTTTACAGGCATGATAATCAGAAAGTTAATAGTGCTAAAAAATTGGAACTTTTCGCTTGCTGCTGAAAATGGGGACAGAGGGTTTACAAGAGTTTCCCAAGTGCTGTGATGTTGATTCTTAATTCAATATTCTACAGGCTTGATAAGTGAGACAGAGACCAAGATTAAATGACCTCTACATAAGTCAGCTTCTACTGTATTTCACAACATAATATATTACAATTAAAATATTAGCCAACACAATAAACTGACTATATTTCACAACATATTAAGATAAAAAATTAGCAAAAACAATAAACCTAACTGCTTACCCATTTCTCATTGTCAAGCCTGTGACAAGGTGCCAGGCAAGACAAAAGGCAGTGCCAGCGAGGGCTTCTCTGTACCTCTGCATATACTTGCCCAAAAACGTCAGCTGTGTGCATGCATGCAGTAGTACGTCAGCACCATTCATGCTCAACAGTGCTTCTGTGTTTTTCTGAGCAAAGAGTGTGGCAGAGTCCTCCAGAGATTCTGTCACTTGAGCTATAATGAAATCAGGGAAAAGTGATTCAGTATTGTCTTGTCCACTGCTCTTATTAAGTCTTTTAGTCCCACAAGGTCCTAGCTAATGTCCGAGGGAGTTAAGAATGGCAATACTAAATTCAGGGGTATATTACTTCCAGAAGGGCCGAAATGTACAACCCTTGCAGGAAACAATGTTTTCAGAGTCGCCTGCTAAACATATACAACATGCTGAATGGAACATGGCAACAATACCCAATCATACATAGTGTGTTGTCTGGGGTAGACAAAGTTGAAAACCTTGGCATAACATCAGGCAAACCTCTTTTCCAGCCAACTGGTAATCTTCTTCTTTTCTTTACTTCTGGAATGCCTCGCTGCATCAGGGCAGGAAGAGATCTCAGGAACATACCCTTCTGTTCGCTTTGTATTATGATACGTTTCAGTATCTCTGATACTTCTGTAGTCCATCTTCTGGATGGTCGATCTCTGGCTTTGTTGTAATCCAAGCACTGGTAATCATGTCTGTTCAGGGCCTTCTGTCTCGTGTACTGTCAACCATTTCTGATGCAGACCCCAACAATGTCAAACTGTCCTGACAAATTCTGTCTTGGTGTCTCTATGCCCTGCTCCCTCCAACATGCCACAATGTGCTGGATCTCATTACTGTTTCAGTGTGCAAACTGAAGAGACTGGGTGCTCATTCGCAGCTAAGTTTAAAAACCTTATTTCATGTGTTGAAAAATGTCAACAAGTGTCACTGAATGTAGATCACTCCTGTAACTTGGAATTTGTCATTCAGAACAGTGGTTTTTAAACTGGGGAAGTGCACCTCCCTGGGGGCAATTTGGTTTTTTTTTTGGGGGGGGGGGGGGGGGGGGGTGAGCTGGTGAATTTGCCAGTTTGAAACTGTGCATTTGTACTTATAATAATGTTATACAAAAGTTATACTTACAATATTTTTCCAGTGTGATTTTAGATAAATATTTTTTTTAACTATTTATAAAACACAAAGCCAAAGACATTATGTTATCTGACACTTTGACTGATGCGTAGATGGGTTTTCTTTATTTCTTGTCCTCTTTAAATCCAAATTTATTTTATTAAGGTGAAAAAAGGGGGGGGGGGGGGAAGGCCCCTTGCCATATATTCGGGGAAAGGGGGGGGGATGTGAGAGAGCTGAAAAATCACTAATTCAGAACATCCTGCAATGCTGTACTTTCCTGGAAGAGCTCAAAACAACAGGTAGCCATACCCAGCAGACCTGACAGCTAAGCTTTCGGAAAACCTAAAAGACATCAAGCTGACATCCCAGTTTATGGCCCATAGTGGATCAAGTGCTTGACTAGGTATCCTTCAAGAGGAGCAATTCACCATTTCATATATTCTTCCTTACAGGGTTTAGCTAAAATAACAAAACAAAACAAAAATCAAACTTACACACAACAGACACTGGAGTCTTGGCATCTCTTTCTGGCACCTCACTCACAACTTCAATCTTTGGGGCTGCGGCCACTGCTGGTGATGCTTCAGCAAACACAGAGGTCATCTGGTCAAACAGGTCAGTCTGTGTGTCCAATCTGGAGACTTTCTTCTCCTTAGTCTTTTCTTTTTCCTGGCCAAGTGACTCTACATTGGTTTTTTTTTTAAAGAAGTAAAAACGTTAGTAACTATTTAGGATTGTAAATTTTATTTTTATTTGTACTATGAAATGTAAACATTAATTTTCTTAAGTACTACAAATTTATCTTCTTCTTCTCCTCCTCCACTTATCTAAATGTTGCGGGGAGATGTATCTTCTGTTTACCCTTTTCAGTGAAATGTAAAGCTGGTCTTCATTTCTCTAAGGCTGTCCTCGATGCCATTGTTCCATGTTCTGTGTGGTCTTCACATTGCTCTGTATCCATTATATTTCTTCAGTGTGGTTCTCTGTATTAGCTGGAACCAGGGAATTCTCTTCAGACAGCCAAACCATCTTATCTGTTGCTCTTTAATAACCTGAATGACTGGTTTACGTCTTAGTTTTCTAATTTTACCTCTTCTTGCTATTTCAGCAACTCTTCTGAGACATCTCATCTCTGTTAGGATTTTGCACTCATTAGTTTTGGTAACCGTCCATGTTCGACAATAACATGAGATGGTTTTCTATGCCTATATTGATTGGTAGTGCTGTTTCTGCAAGGTTTATGTAACTTCTGTTTTTTTTTTTGTTCTATTCAAGGTAACTTTTATTTGGCTGCTTTGTTTCTTCTTCTTCTTCTGTGTTCATCAGCTCTGTGGTACATACACGTAGGAAAGACTTTTTTATATAAATCTTTCAGCACAAAAGAATGCTGAATGTACAGGTCCACAGACAAGCTCGAGGATAATAACAGTTGTACCTTTGTCAGGGTCAGCCGATCCAACTGGTAACTCTGTTGGTTTGAACAAACAAGTGAAGGTGACCACATCAGATCTGGACAAGCACTGACCACCACGACACAAGCCGCTGATCAAAATCATCAAGTATTTCTGTAGGGATGCACCCAAAAAAAAATTTAGTCTTACAAAAGTCTAAATCATAACAAAGTGAATTCACTGAACAAAGAAAAGTAAAAGGTGGGGGGGGGGGGAGGGTGTGTGCACACAGAAATAACTGTTTCAGCCTGAACTTTAACGAAAAATTAGGTCTGACTGAAATATAAAACGACACTAAATGCATTTGTTATATTCTACTGTACCATCTGCAACTGGTATGTTTCTTCTTCTTAGCGTTCACTGGCTGTAAACAGGTGGAAATTTATGGTTATTTGTCCACTTCTGGACTTTCAGTCTTGTTTCAGAACTAAAATTTTGCAGATCTGGCTTACTTGTATGCAGAGTGTTAGTTCCTCGCTGCTCGTGCAAATGCACCCCGACTTTGGAGAAAAATCCCCAATTAGTCGCCCTCTGCGACACATCTGTTAGGGAGGGAGGGCACAAAATGGGGCCATGGAACCTAACAAGGAAGTCTGCTTCAATATCCAGTGAATGTATCATACGAAAGCATTAAAAACCTGCACTTGTCATGACAGCCACTGTAACACAGTGGCTAGACGCATGCCTGATGGTTTGAAGGTCTGATTTGCCTCGGCGCCCATAGTGACCTAACTGAAAATATATACCAGGAAATGTCCTAGAGTAAAGGCGTATCCGACTCAGATGGGTGTCAGCTAATATATTTAAACGTCTTATTCGACATGAGTGTGGACCAGAAAATTATAACTTATCATTAGAGTACACACCAATATGTTAAAATGTATTGATTTAAATGTCTCAGTCATGTAGACTAAAAAATGCAAATACTATAAAGATTACCTGCATTTAGTGAGTATAGAGTTAACAACAGAACACTGTCAAAAATGAAAACTTAAGATTATCATACCGGGGTAACAGTACAGGCTCTGTTTGGGGTCTCCAGCCGGCTCAAAAGAAATGACAGCAGCACTTTACATGCTGCACTCACTTGAGGCAAACTTGCCTTGGATACTGTAAAGAGAAACTATATGTAAATGCTGCAAGTTTAAATAATATCTTTAATTTAAAGTAAATTTAGAGCAAAGGCTGTGAAAAGCCAAGACCACCCATATTAGTCTAAGAGGCACTGGCAGAAGAAATGTTTTAAAGAAACGATTCCTTTCATTCACTGGCAATTTATATGCTTCTTTCTTGTATTCTTTTTTAAATTTTATTATTAGTCCACAACTACCCATGATCTGCAGTAGTATTTCAGAAACTCCATTCAGGCAGCTAAACATCTGCCCCAAAGGTCCCATACATAATCTTTCCCCTTTCTTTTCGTACTTGAAAAGGAACTTGATACAGGAAACTAAGGCATCACCTAAATTAGATTTTTTTTAAAAAGAAAATCATCCTGCAAAATGCTGCTAAACGGTGTTAAATTCTTCTGTGTACAGTCTTAAAGAGGCAGTTTGAACTTTGTGCTGTGCTTGACAGCTAGGCTGTATTAACTGTCCTTTTCGGCCCAACACTGTAGATTGCAGCAAACCATTAATAAACTGTCTTTGGTGACATGCTTTTGTGTATCTATTCATTTTCCAGACACCCATCCCCTCATGAAGCCTCAGATTCCATAAAGGGAAAATACATAGAGCTTAGTATGACCTATCAATGTTAGTATATTCCTGTGTCAGTTCCAGGGCCCTGTTGTGGGGAAAACAAGAACAGACCCACTGCCTCCTTAACAAACATCTCATAAGAGTCGACTAATTGGAGGCTTCCTGTGAAGTCAAAGTTCAGTCAGATCTGTAAAATAGATGTGCATGCAACACTAAGATTCTGGAACAAAACAAATGTCCAGAGGTCGACGAACACCCAGAATTTTCCGCCAGAGTTTACAGCTAGTGGATGTGAAGAAGAAGAATGTTAGTCTAGCGATTAATACTGGCTCCAGATTTCTTGTTAGTACAATCCAGCAAATGGTGAGGCTCCCCAGTCAGCATCAGGCTGACAGAGTTGGTCATAGTAACACTGCTGGATTTACTACAGAAGAAATGGATGTGTCCAGAATGCAATGAGTATAATTCAAACTGAAAACAATAAGGTTGACTCAAACTCATCAAATAAACATAAGGAATTCCTCTGGGACGTTAAACACTGCTGATTAGATGATCATTTCGTCAGTTGCATGTCACCTAGTCATCAACAATGAAAATACAAGCCAAACATCATTATCATGCTTGGTGACGATAACCATAGGCTGTCATGTTCTACCAACTCATACGATCAGTAGAATCACACATCATGTCGGTCATCTTGTCTTATCCCACCCATGTGGCCAAGCCATCCACTTTTTTTTTTTAAATATCTTTGCCTTTCCCTTGCTCTCTTTCCATTAACCTTGCCAACTGTTACAAGTTTTTGAGTTAATTCCTTTTCATAACATGTCTAGGGGAAAATGTCTAATTTTCCCGATCAGTTTACGATTTTCGTCAGCCTTGAGGAAGGCTGCCTCATTTGTATTTCAATTATCTCCTGAAATTTTTTGCGTTTTAAAAAAAAAAACATCTGCGCTGCGAGGAAATGTTTTTTTTTAAGCTTGTCCGTTTACTCCATATGTCTTGCATGCATATAATAAAACAGACTATATAGCAATTTAACCCTTTTTCCACTGCTACTAACAAATTCTGACTGCTAAGTAAGCAAAAATAGTGTCCTTAATATGTCTTAATTTTATACAAACAATGTTACATTACTCTTCCTTTACAGATTATTCCCCAACAAATTCATCTTATTAAAACAGTTGTGACAAATAACTTACAAGACCCAGAAACAGAGCAAAGTGTGTTGGTTGCCAAAGCAACAAACAGGGAGTAAAATGCCTCGTGTTCCTCCTCATGATGTAGGATTTCTTTTTCTCTGAAAGTGACATAAACCAAACAAAAATTATGAGTTTATTGACCAAGATAGCATGTTCAGTTACTGAAACCTGGTATATGTAGAAGAATATCAAATAATAGGTTGATCTCTTTTCTACAGTTTAACAAGGGGTTTCTAAAATATTTAGACTTAAACTAATTATTTTAAACTACTACTACTAATGGGACAGATGTACTGACTGAGTCAGTCATCAGTGAGTAATGATGACAAAAATTAAATCTGGCAAGTTTTAAAATACAGGGGGAAGGGTGTATATAAAATGCCTGGACATGAGATCGATAACTGAAACTTAGGCCTTCTCATATTCTGATAGTGATTATGTATAACACATTTTAAGACAAGTAATTTGTGTTTCGGCAAATGCTTAATGAAAAAAAAAATTATGTTAAGAGTTATACTTGTTGGCTAATACGCTGCAGATCTATAAACAAGTTTCTAGTTGGTTCTGATTTGAAAAAATACCCAAAATCAGCAGAACATTGTTTGACATGTTCTAAACCTGCTGTTTTCTTGTATTCATGATCTTTCTACGCTGGGGCTCTAGCTTCCAGTCTGTGACAATCCACATTTTCAACATTTTGACCCCTGATTTGAACATCCATGCTCTGAACAATTAAGCACTTCAGCACCTTGATAACAGCAGACACAAGAAATAATAATCATTTTAAACTGATTCCGCTAATCTGGCACTGGCATCCTTTACACTTTCCCAAGAAAAACCAGCACTGCTGCTTTGGCCAGTCCCCTACAAACCTAGTTAACAGCTTTGGTTCTATTTGCACCTGCACAGTTTTTAGGAGGTCTGGGTTTATTTATATTCACTAAAGGATAGCATGGAGGGAGGGGGTAAACTGAAGAAGAAAAAAAAAGGCTCACAATGATGTCATAGTTCGCCTTTAGCAGTCAATGAGGGTCTCAGTATGTCAGATAACAGTTTCAGGCACAAAGAAATGTATTCCAAATAATTTTCACTGACTACTTCTTCATACATTTATTTATGATAAATTATTAATGCATAGAGATAAAAATTATTTATTAGTGATATGTGTAAATAGATTTTTATAAATTCAAAGGACTTTTCAGGATTTCCAAAGTTCAGTGCTTTTTCTCCTTAGGGGCTTACAGAATCAAACAACAAAGTGAGGTCGACATGCCTGGCAGAACCCGCGCTGAGCGGCTCAAATTAGCGACTGCGTTCAATTACTGCGTCTTGCGACGCATTACGGAGTGGATTAGAGGAAAGGAAACAAGTGACATACTTATTGTGTGTTGGCGATAGACAGCGTGCAGTGCCCTAATGTCATCATACGGTTAGGGTTTGGGTTAGGGTTGCGACGTTGAGTTTCTGCGACGACAAGATGCGGCAACACTAACCGTAATGCTAACCCTAAACCCTACCCCTAACCGTATGATGACAGCAGGTCACTGCATGCTGCCTATCGCCAACACACAGTAATTATGTAATTTGATTCGTGCCTTCTCCAGTCCGTAATTGCACTGCAGCCAAGGGACAGAACTCCGACTAACCGGCCGTCACATATGTTGTCTACCGGCCGTAGTTGACAGGAGAGCCAACATATGTATCAGAAATGGTTGACAGTGAAAGTAAATGAGACTCACATTGAAGGATGTGATAAAAATTATTACCACTGCCACACAGGACAGACTAAAAAGATGAATTGCCATTACTATTAGATATTAGTCTATACTATTTTGTTTTTTTTTTGTCTTCGGAGGTGGGGTCGGTCAGCATGATTCAGCATCTCAGGCTTAGGAGTTGTGGAACGTAGTTTCAGTTTCACAATCCCAACATACCAACCAAGGTTTACTTTACTTTAGTAGCAGATCACTTTTGAGATTTTAACAATGGTATTAGCGCCATACTATATTATTCAGCATTCATTTATTGATGAATCTAGTCAACACAAAACAGCCTAGTAAAAACCACACAAGAGTCAATTACTGGTTTTGGTCTGCAATGGCCAACAGCAGTGTCTTGAAGAAGATCTTTTATTCAGATTAATTAATTCACCATTAATTTTCGAAATTCAGATTGTATTCCTAGCGACTACGGTGTTCGGCAATTGGCGGTCTTTTCGGCAATTTCCGTTACCCGGAAACCGTTCGCAACTTGTTTCGGGAAATCTCGGCTGGTTTCCGGATGGGTCCAAATCTCTCATGAAATTTTGCCATTGGTGGGAATTTGGACCAGCTATAAATAGCTGAAAACAGCAGGAGGGAACCCCATTAACAGCGCATGTCTATGACAGCCGGACGTCCTGTTTTTATGTTAGTCATCAGTTTGATTGAAAATAGCGGTAAATTCGAGGTTGGCTTTAGGCTTTAACTGTTACTCGTCCTGGTAATGCTAGTTATAATTGAATTCTCCGTCCAATTTTACATTTGTGTATAAAATTTCTTTCTGAACGGTGGCTAGGTAGATGTACAGTGACATTTTTCAGGCAATCGCTGGCTCAGCCAGTGGCTGTGTCTCATTGCCTGCCATCTTGTCCAATGACAGTCCAATGTAAACAAAGCCGATACAGAATTGCGCAGTAGGTTGCGCAGAGAAAAACTTGTTTTTTCTGGGTCACAAGTTTTAGCGGCTGTTTCTTACATCTCATCTCCACAAAAACCTACATATCTCAGCTCAGAAAATGACATACAGGCCTAAATGAGATACCATTGGAAAGAAATTGTTTACAGCTATCTAACTGTGCTGGTTTTATTGGTGTAGAGGGCATTTTAAAAATTTTACTGAAGTAGCTAGTATTCCACTGAATGATTATGACGAAATACGAAATATATCGACAATATTTTAAATTACACATATATATTCCCCATATGATTTCGTAAACTGTAAATAGTTATAAATAGTATTATTAGTATGACTTTGAAAAAAAGATGTAAATATTACTTTTTAAAATTCTTTATTAAAAATGTTAAAGAATATATAATGTGAGCAAAATGTGTTGGCATATGGAATTTCGCCCAAATTGTCCTGTCACCGTTCATTTCTGTTTCGTTCAGTAGAGAACTGAAGATAACGATTTGCTCATTTTGTCAAATGAGCCATCATTGCTGGAGACATTACCATTATCATGTCCTTTTTTTCACAAAATCATGAAAATAACAACTGTTACCTCTCTATGATAAGCTTTGTAAAGTCAGGTATATCACTTTTCTTAACTGATGGATACGAAGTGGTCAACAAAGTCTTCGCAGTTACCCAATTCAGCCCACCGTCAGACAGCGACGCCATTTTGTTTTAATCAAAGCTGTCATGGGAAATTGTTCTAGGTTTTATTATGCATCTACGCGCACGGCTAACGTGCATATTTTCAGTGCGGTTATTTGTACGGCTTTTGTCGTAATCAATCATCATCCTGTGTTATGCCGACAAGTGGTGGTAATGGTTAGTTGCGTATCCTTTACAGAACGTTGCAGAACCAACCCCAGCAGCCCCTGGCTGTTATATGGTTTCACTAGGCAAATTTACGTCCAGTAGTTTGCCATTGCTTCCTGGACGGTCAGCTTCCTGATACCGCAGCTGGGATCAAACCCGGCACCCCGGCATTATGAAGCGTTCGCATCGTTGGTGGTAATAGTTGCCATAAAATATGAACAGATTCTCTGATAAGGTCTGCGTTCTTGTTCTGATATTTTTAATAAGTCAAGCCATTCAGACCACTTTCAGTTTGTCTTCTCTCCGCTTTTGTTCCCAACTGTCACTATTTTTTTAAGTTGTTTTTTTTTTTTTTTTTCCGAGCATGCTTGAAAAATTGTGTAATTTGTGTCTACGTATAATTACTCTGATCATTTTACGGTTTCCATCAGTTTTTCGAACGGCTGTCTCAATCATGTGGTATTTTGTTTTTCCATCTTCGCCTGAAACAATATGTTGGAAACCATTATATGGAAGACGTTAGTTTTCTCCAGTGATCAATGTTTTATATGCGTCTTGTCTGTTGTGCGAATTCGCTCTTGTCAGCCACAACCACATGGAGCAGTGTTAGCAAGATTCGTTAGATGTAGGTGTGCTCTGAGTAAACAGTGTCCCGTTCTGAGTCTGAAAATGTTGGTATAAGTGTTTCTGCCAAGCCTGTTTATACTGTCATGCTTTGGTATGTAATTATTCTTCTTTCTCCAGCCTGTCTGCATGAACTGTTTTTTAAAGAAATAGAAGTAAATAGTTTTTCTCCATAGCACAGTAAATAGTAAAAGTTGACGTATTTGAGACAGAAATGACTACACTATGTGAGAAGAGATTGAATGTTTTCTCCGCCCGGCTGCTGCCTAAGTATTTGACACGCAGTGGCGAAAAAGAGAGAACAGTAATGGAAAGTATCTTTCCTAGAAGCAATGCAGTGGTCAACCAGCATAAATGTGGACACAGGACATCAAAAACACACAGGACATGAAAGTTAGCAAGGTGGGAATATTGGTATGGTGCTTAATGGCTCTCCAGAAATGATCGAACTGCATGATAATGATTAGCTACAATAAATTTGCATTAGGGATGCCAATTAATGAGGATAATCCCAGATACCTCCTTTACCCTTCTTAGACGTTATACTTATAATTATGGAAACCGTAACGGCTACATTAAGTACTACCCTGGCGGGTGGGGACTGAGCAATATTTGACCCCCCCCCTTTCCCACACACACACATTGCAATGTGCTATATAGATTGTAGGCCCTCTTCACACTCCCAGTTAAATGTCTTTCGAAGTATGGATACTCTGTTCGATTGCACTTTCCACTTGACCACAAAGAACTTTCACACTGTCCAATTTACCTCACAGTAGCTCACTACCCATAGGGGTAGCAGGAGCCAGTCTATCAGCGTGCTCTTTATAATGTACACTAAATAGTGGTGGAAAATGTGGCGAAGACTGCAGTCAAGCCAATACCAAGAAATTCCAGTGAAATGCATTTTCTGCTTTCCCTTTTCGTTAAACTCTTTAGTCAGAGTTCA